GCGGACTGGCTGAAGGCCGCGATGACACCCTGGGTCCTATACTTGGGAGCTGTTGACCACCGCCATCACCACCACCACCACCCCCCCTCTTTCCTGAAAATGACGTGGACCCCAAGCGCACGAACCATTCACGGTGCAGCGAGGATGCTCCGTGGTTCTGATTGAAGGGATTTTCTGGTTCCGGCGCTTCCTGCTAGCCAGCACCAACGGACAGATTGGGGGGGGTGACCTGTCAAAGACAAAACCAGCTTTCCCTAGACTATGGGTACCCGATGCTAGGGGGGGTTCATTCCAAGACATTACACGGCCGGCTTCTACTTTAGAGTAGGCTGTCACCGTGCTCTTCGCTCACAGGCTGCTGTGTCGTCCCGTGTGTCTTCCCTGTCCAGCTAACTACCGGTACGATGCTGTTAGCCGCTATACCCCCCCCCCCCCCCCCGTTTCCCATTCCAGCACACTAAAGGGCATCAAGCACGTGTACAAATGTACAAAGGATTAGATAGCACAGCATCCGAACCGCTAGCTTAACCAGCTCAACCATGGTTTTGGAAGGACGTCACCCGTCCCCTAATGCTGATACTAGCGAAGCGAAGCGGAAAAACCTTGGCCATTCGTTCCAAGTCATCGTCCAGACACGAACGGGAGCCCACCAACACAAACTGGGACGCGCTAGCCCCCCTCCAGCACTGTATCGTATCGGTGGCATTGGGTGGTGGTGGTGAGCGTCGGCCGCAACCCAACGCCGAAAAAAACCGGTACTGTACTGTGAGCGGGCGGGCCAACTGATGACTGAAAGCCAGGGTCGGTAAAGAGGCCAAGGGGGAAATTCGGTTCGGTGGTCATCTATGGTTCGCACACCTGCTTCGTTACATGCCATGTGCATGGCGTTGGATTCGCTCAGAGGCAGCCGCCGAAGAAAAAAAAAGGGACCCTGGATTCCGGTTAAGCCGGATGTGGCGTCGATCCCACCCGGCAAGAGAGAGAGAGAGAGAGGGAGCGTTCAAGAGAGAGTTCCCGTCAACTGACTGTCTCGTCTATCGTATGCCATACCGTCCTGTGGTTGACCCATACATAACACATAATACCCCAAGCAGCAAGCCGAATTCTTTTCTTTCTTTCTCCTGGCCCCCTCGTCATGTCAAAACCACCTGCCTCATAGTGAGCAGCTGCCGAGACGCTACTGTGGCATCCTGTTCTTCTAGCGTTAACTGCTGGTGTGCGGCCCAGCTGCAGGACACAGTCAATACCAGCTCAAAAGTCTTGTTACAGCCAAAGAAAAAAAAAAGAAAAAAAAAAGGGATGACCCAATCAAAAGGAACAGATGGTCCCATTGGCTTGTAGTCAGTCACTTCATAGTGCACCACCAGGAATCCCATTTCTCACCAACACCCCACTACAGCTGCTGATTGGGTTGCTCCTTCTTGCTCTAACAAGACTTTTAAGCCGGTACTGTAGAACCAAGGGCAGTCGTTCCTCAACAAGCGACGACCACTCGTCCTCCCTTTGCCAAGGGGTAGACAGTGAAGCACACACACATACACAGTATGCAAGTACGGGGACTCGACGTGCATTCGTCATTATCAACGCATTACTATGTATGTTCTGAGCCCATCCATAAGGCTAACTCGCTACGGCGACGCTTGTCAGGGGGTCGCCATTCTAACCTTTCGGGACCTGGGCGATGCAATATGGCACCACTCTGGCAATTCGGGACCTGGGCGTCCCCCCCCAGTCCGCGGTAGTCGTTCTTATTGGTATGTGCGCTTGTCTGCGGGAAACCCAGTCGCTGCATCCGGGCGCCTCAGGATGAAGTAAAATTGCGATGCCTGGCCAAAGCTGCCTTCCCCGAACCCTTTCTGGGAGCGCCCCCCCCCCCCTTCCCTCTGGATCTCTTTGCGGATATGGGACGGGGCCGATGGCATCGACGGGGTTCCTGGCCCCAGCTCCGTTGCGGCTGTGGGATGAACGGTCAGAAAGTTTTGATCCATCTCCAGGATTGGCTATCGGCACTCGACAAACTGCCTTGCGGAGTCCCGGATTGCCGTGCCATTGCGGTTGAGGGGTGTGGGCTCCTCATAGGTAGTCTGCTGCTGCTTTGAGCCTTTCTCACTGGCTGGTCCTTACTGCCCATCTTCCCTTCGGACCCCATCGACGGCCCGCCACATGTGAGAGAGAGGGGGACCGGTGAGAGACCGAGGGAGGGGAAATGATGGTCCTGCCAACCCGAACTCCTCTCATCCTGACGACCAGTTTTTTCCTTTCCAAGGATCGGTCGGCCATCAACCTGTCCGAGTGGTCGACGCTATGCCTGTGAGATGGAGCCGCAGGTTGGGCGCCTGGGTATGACCGGGGTGCTGGGAGAACCAAGAGAGACACCTCCAACGTTGCTGAGCTCTCCTCTCGGAAATCAACTGGACCATCCAAGACTCCAAGCTACGGCACACCATGCTCAAGTGTAGGCTCTCGAGAGTGCCGTCAACCTATGCGTCTCTGTTGGATTTCCCAGCCAACAGGATAATTTCTCAAAACTAGCGGCTGACATTCATGACCGCTTCTGCCTTGCATCGCGATCAACAGCCGCCATTCCGACCTGTCATCGTGCCTGAGTACACGACCCAGTCTAGAATGCCGAGGCCACCAACAACAAGAGATGGATATCTTCCAATGCGGCTTGCGCATGTACCTCCCTACTTCAACATCTTTCTCTGGAGGGTGTGCTGGACCGCGCCCGTGGTTGCTGAGACGTGAGGAGAGACCTGACGGCCCTCTCTCGCCGCGGAAGTGCATTGCGCATACATGCACCAACGCAGACCCTCCAGCGGCGCGTGTTCGACTGCATGCGCTCTCTCGCCGCCGTTAGGCATCCGCGCCTGCCACTCCCTTCGTCACCAGCGAGTTATGATACGGCTTTTCTTTCCGTCGTTGGCTGGCTTCGAGTCCCGTATTGCCCGTCAACCCAGTGTCGACAACATGCCATCTGCACGCCTCTACGTAGCCTCTGGGCGAGCCTTCATCCGGAAGGTAGAGGGCAGGCAGATCCATACAGCCGGGACCGACCGTTGGAGTGAACACCGTATGGAATGCGCGGATCTGAGGAAAGCCTACGAGAGGCCGAGAAGCAGAGGGGTTGAGGCGCCACCAAAGAGTCCCTTCCAACTGCTTGATCGGAACGCTTTGCCGGCTGCAAAGTTCGAAACAACTTCACATCCCCTCGTACGTGGGCCAGAGGCGCAGCAGGAAGTCGCTAGCAAAGTTGACCAGATGGCAAGTGCTCATTATCTTCGGTCTCCGCAGAGGGCACACTGACAGCGTCCCTGCTGATGGCAAGGGACAAGTCGAACTTGGGTCGTTCACCTACCTTTGCGTCGACAAGCACGTTTGCCACCAGGGCCATGGAGAGAGACCATGACTAGACGAAGAGGGCCTCATTCCCATCTGCCCAGGTAGCTAGCCCCCAGCCGTGACTTTGGCTTCGATCATCCCCCCCCGCGGTAAGTACGCAGGATTCGGTGATGGCCAGGGAACGGGGGACGCATGGCCCAAAGAAGAGCGAGTAGGTGTCGTGGGCTGCGGGCGAAGGAAGAAGCACGCCGGGCGTCCGCTGCACCTCTTGCTGCAGCCATTCCTTCCATGCCTCTCAAGTCCCTAAGGCTAAATCCTTTCTGGGCCTCCCGCCCCTCTTTCCCCAATCCTTGACGCGCAAGAGGGAGGGACGAGAGACGCCTTCGAGCAAATCCTAATCCACCTCCCCCCCCCCCCCCCCCCCCCCCTTCTCAAAGCAGCCATCCCCAAACGAGAAGACAAGACTGGTCAGACAGGAGGAAAAGACGAGGACCTTTGCTCTCGCGGCGCGAACAGACAAAGAAGAGCGAAACGAGGAAGGAGAGGTTGCTTCACTCTGCGGATGGAGATGAGGACGGCCTCTTCTCCCCTCCCTTGGGCCTTGCCTGCGCATTACGTAGCCGCATAAGCGATGGATCGTCAGGCTTTTTTCTTGTCCTTCCCCCCTCTCTCTCTTCTCGTCTTTCTACCTTTCGTCAGGCAGTTTGGGCTTGTCCGGCCAGGGGGGAGAGGCCAGGCCAAGGGGCGAAAGAAGGCTGGCTATACACTGCAGACAAACAACAGGATAAGTTCCGAGGACTTCTATAGCCCATAGAGCTGTCGAAAAAAGACAGCGCTACAAAAGACCGGCTTCGGACGAATGGGCCTAGGTATCTTCAACGCTTTATAACGTCATGTGGGTGAGTTGAGACGATGTGCCGCTCGGAGAGATAGATACACACGCAGATGCTACCTTCTGTCAGCAACGGCCGCAGACTGAAAAAAAAAACTTAAAAAAAACTTTGCTTTTTGGCACTGTAACCTCCTCCTCGTGGCAATCTCTTGTGAATACATGGACGAGCCACATTGCTTTCTCATCCAACGACGAAATGAAGTCTTAGCGTGACGGGTTGGGAAACTTGGCGACACACCCGAACGGGTGCTCCGAAGCCGCCACCATAGAGCCCGGCCTGCTCCCAGAACCACCAGCCAACAGCCCACGCGTCTCGCCCATCAGAGAGCGTCGCCAGGCCCGGGGCTCGCAGCTGAGCGCCCGTCCCAAGTTCGGAGCGGCGCACGGGGGGGGAGACCGTCGACGAGGTTGCGAAGAACGAGGGGGCGCAAGGCGGCGCCCAATGGCTGCTCGTGGAGAGCAGTCCGCGGACTCGTTCTAAAGCCCGTCTACAGGACCTCCGTACCCTCATCGGCCGACGTGGGGTCCGGCACATGGAGCTTGACGCGGCGGTGAAGAACCTGTGGCTAATCGCGGTGTATTGGAAGTGGGCGTTCACGGGTATGGGAGTCTCGTGACGGTAGGGAGCGGTGTCCAAATCGTAACCAATGCGGGTATCTTTATTCCGGTGAATCCAATGCTGAACTAAAAACAACTTCCCCCTTCTCCCTTTCGGCTGATGGACTTGTCACCCCGCCTCCCTCCACGTTATGCGCGTACGCGTCGTTCAAGCCACCGACGACGTGTCGGTGTCGGGCTTGTGAGCCTCCAACGTCAAGGCTTTGTACCTTCCCTGTAGAACATCCTTCGGCAGAAGATGTAGAATCTCGTTCCGCAGCCTCTTCTTGTCGAACGGCAGCTTCTCTAGCTTGATCGCTTCCAGAATGTAGCTCACCACCGTGTTCGTCTGCAGCGGTGGGTCACGCAGGACTTTTGCAATGGCTTCGGGTGTGAGATCCGCATTGTTCCTCCAGATGTAGTATGACCGCACGGCGGACGGCGTGGCGCGTAGAGTCTTGATCGTGGTGCGGTACCTGGCCAGCTGTTCGTCGGCAGCAGCGACTCTGGGGTCTTTCTGGCGTTTCTGGGGAGAAACAGCTGACGCGGACCTGATGCTTTCGGCAATCGACGGTCCTCCGCCTTCAGGCTCTATTTCGAGACTCGCTTTGATGGCCTCGACATGCTTGTATGACAGGGCTGTAGTTGTACCGCGGTCATCGGAATCAATAGCCTCCGCGTTGTCATCTGCCGCTGCGATGAATTGTCCATCCGCAAGCCGGATGGGTCGATTCAGCTCGGCATCGTGCGGCCGTGGCGGGATAGGGTCGAGGCTCTCACGCTTCCCCTCAAGGACGTGGTACAACTGGAACCCGGCATACGCATCTGAGGCGGAGTCTAGATGGAGTTAGGATAAGGCTTATTTCAAAAGACTGCCACAAAACCACTTACACATGATCTGGCTCATGTTGAGGGGCTGTGACCAGTCGCTCGACCGGACGTCAGACCCCTTGAACATGGGCAGGCCTAGGTTTTCTTGGACCAGTGAGGCGAGAGACACTAACCTCTTGTTGATCAGGCCCACCCGCCCATTCGCCGAGTATTTGACAAGTTTATACAGATGACTGAGCTCGAAGATGCCTTTCGTGTCGACGCCCAGGTGGGTCCGCATCCGCGTACAATCCCCCTTGATAGCCACGCCGACCTTCTTCACGTCGGCGTTTTCCATAATCTTACGAAAAGTCGGCGCCTCAAAGTCATTGTTGGGAAATAACGCGATGTGGAAGAGCGCTATCCGGCTCTCGTTGGCGACCTGAATCAGGGAGACATTCTTCTTCGGGCCCGAATCCTTCCTGGCATCTGGGAACCATTCGAGATCAACCCCGAGCACCTTATCGTTCACGAAGTACTGACACACTCTCTCCATCGTGTGCTTGCTTTTGCAGTAGTGGACCTTGACCTTCTTCTCGACGCCATCCTCAGGAGGACCTCGGTAGAGTGTGTATGACCAGAACGACTTCGCAGACTCCTTCGCGGCGCCCTGGGCTTCGCGGAAATCCTTCAGAGAGATCTTGAATTCCAAATTCGTGCACGGAGGCTCTGAAGGCCCTGCAGGCCCCATGTCGGTGCTCACGGCTGCACTCTCGCTTTCCTTTATGACACCGTTCACGACTGATGTAGATGGTTGAGCGATGGGCGTTGTGTCCAACGTCCCTTGGTATTCCGGAGGCGTAGAGAAAGGTGCGTCATCGTCTGATTCGAAAAATTCCTCGTCCGATCTCACTGCTGCATTGGTCTGGTTGGCGGGTGGTCCGGTTGAATGTAGAGAACGTAGCATGTCGACCACCGGGTACGACGTCTCGTCTTGCCTCGCCGGGGCGAACGCAATGCCATGGCGGGGGTTCCAAAGATTGCGGTAGAAGGTGGGATACATGGTCGATTTGCAGCGTCTATGAATCGTAACAGCGTCAGTCAAGAGCGAAGAGTGAACAGAACGGAGAAGCAACGCACATATGGACGAGCGGCTGCAGTAACGAACGGGATTGATATAGTATTGAGCTGCTGAGTCTAGGAAGTCTTATCACGGCCGCTCGCAGGTATCGGAAAGCCAGTGAAGCGCCATATTTGCCATTGGGCATTGGCGCGACAAGTGAAGATGGGATTTTTTTTAGGCAGACGCGTCGTGTAAACGATGGAGGGGGTTCAATTGGAGCAAAGCTGTGAGTAATTAGTGACGCGGAAAGCGGAACCTCAGTGGTAAGGTTGCTTAGTCACCAGCGAGTGGTCGCGCAGTCACCTGACATTGCTATTACGTTCACCCCTCCGTGCCCATGTGTGCGGCGTCCCATCATCTCAAGGCCCGAGAAACGAATTGGCCGCCGACAAGAATCTCGGTACTGAGACCGGTATCAACCCTTTCTGACGAAAATAATCCCGGCGATACCTCACAAAGGAATCTGAAGAGCGGAACTGTTGTATACCTGCCCCAGCAAACGACATTTGAGCGGCAGTATGGCGGCACAACTCCTCCCTCTGGGTGAGTGGGCGAGCCTATATGTCGACGCGCGCAGTAGCTGACCAGCTTAGAACTCATCGACAAGTGTGTCGGCTCGAGAATTTGGGTTGTCATGAAGGGCGACAAGGGTATGGCGGTTCCGTCCGGGCTCATGCGAACCCTGATACTGACTTGATGGGACGGGCAGAGTTCAGTGGCACACTCCTCGGGTTCGATGACTACGTCAGTGAGTGAACCACAAGCTCAATCCAATAACTCATTGTAACATAACTAACGAACTCGTAGACATGGTTTTGGAGGATGTCACAGAATTGTAGGTGGCCACTCTTTGTGAGATGGAGCTACCCCTGCTAAGCCCAGGCCAGCGACTACTCGGGGAATCACACGAAGCTGTCCAAGATTCTTCTGAATGGCAACAACATTTGCATGGTAGTGTTCACGTTATTCTGGCTTCCAGCTTCACAAGACTGACCGGGCAATAGCTGATTCCTGGAGGGGAGGGACCAGTGAACGCATGAGGCACAGTTGGGCAAAAGACAGCATCGGGCTAGAGGCAAACGTCCAGCCTATAAAAAGGTCTCAGGCAGCACATTTGAATCCTACGGAGGACAAGATCTGCCGCGCAGGAGCCATTCGCACGGAACATCCGAACGGAACGCAGTACGAAAGCCGGCTTCGAGGAAACCCAGTAGTCAGCATATTTCACCAAGCAGAACCACGTTCGGACTGGACATAACCTGTCACAGATGTCACAGTAGAGGCCTCAGGGCATAGCGTAGTGATTGACGTAATTCGCAAAGATAAGCTTCTTGTCTGAGAGCCACCTTCTGTCGTCCCAAGGCCGGGAGATAAATCTACGAATGCGAAAACCACTTGACAGTTTTTCCCATGCCAACTTTTGGTATCAGACCGTTATTCCTTAGTGTCCATGTCCGCCCCAAACGCCGACAAAAACAAATCCGATGAGTCGTAAACCCATTCATGGTTCGACAGCAGAGCTCGACTCACTGGCCCTGCTGGTTGGAACGGCCCGCCTCGACCATGCGACGCAGTTCAAATTCACGGGTAAATTCGCGGCTGAGGTGGGACAGGTCCTGCATCAGCTTTTTGATCACCTGGACGAGTGCCTCCTTGGCGGTGATCGAACCATCCGTCTGGACACGAATGAACATCTCAGGAACATTAGGATGAGAGACTTTAGAGACCAGTCAGTTTAGGTGACCCCCAAAGGGATTGTGCAACGCACTCTTGTAACCCGCCATGAGGACGTTCTTGTGCATCTTCAAGTGCTCGGACAAGAGGTTGCCGAGGGTGTGGTCCTCCTTCTTGATTATGAAGTCGGAAGTGTTGGACATGCCTGTACGCTGTTCAGTTCATCCGAGTCGAATACTCACCGCGGCAAGGATTTAAGAGACATACCGGAAAAAACCTTCTCCTCAATCTTCTTCTCGCCATCGGCGAGCAGGAAGAGCTCGAAGCTGGAGACGGGTTAGCGTCAGGGTCCATCATGTCTCTCTTTTCTTTCTTTTCCAAGCTAGGCAACTTCGCACGGGGTGACGGTGGCCTCTGAAGGACGATACATGGCGATTTCTGGTATTCAGAAGTGCTGATGATGATTTGGTGCTTGAGAAAGATGGTGGTTTGAGTCCATGTAGTGATTGCAATGTTTGTGGGAGGGCACAGGTCTGAAGAGGAAATCGAGTAGAGAAACGGAAAGACAAGAAGTCAGGAAGGAACCTGGTCTGGAAAGACCAGAGAGCGCAGACCGTGAAGCCATCGAGAGCCACAGCCAGCCAGGTCCATGAGCAGCCTGACTGACGGGTGCTCTTTCCGTGTCAAGCCACAGCAGCTTAGTAGTACTGACGTCTTGACCTGCTAGACTACATTGTTCCCAATGATCCCGAAGGGTTTCATAATGCCAACTTTGACTTACCGATCAGGGGCGTTCATCTTGGCGAGGTAGAATGTGGAATAGTGAGGTCAAGCGAATGGTGATGTTCGAGGACGAATATAAAGAAGATGCGCAATCATAAACGATTGAAGCACCAGAGAGGTGAGATCCTGGTGGTCTTGTGACTATGCTGGCTCCTTGTGTTGTTCCAGAAATTCGCACTCTTGTTGTGGGTGCGACTTTGATGTACAATGGTACTGTGGGATGACAGATGGTTGGTCAGTGAAGTAGGCAGCGGGTTAAGCGTGCGCGAGGTCGATAGATGAAAGGTGGAAGCCATTAGTGGACCCACTGAGGTGAAGGCAGGTGAGCTGCGCCACATATTTGCAAGCGGGATGTGGCGGTGCACTCGTGTGCCCATGCCAACAGCTACCAGTTAGAAACCATCAAGTTCATGGACCACCAGGCCATTCACCAATCTTTGTTTAGCATGCCCATGTAAGAGTACCACATGTTGTTGTTGTTAGATCAGAGTATTTTGCTACGTATGCACATACAGAACTATAAATGTGGCGATGAGCCGTCTGTTCTTCAGTCTATTTACAAGCCCACGCTCATATGACCAACAAATGCTGTTGAAACCTCTTGAAAGACTGAGAAGAAAAAGAAGAAGAAAACCCGCTGGAATCCATGCAATGACTTCCCAACGCTTTTCGGCTAGCACTTTCATTGTACAGAAAAAATCGGTGATTGTATGCGCTTCTGCACCGGCCTCCTTGCCAGCTTAGTGCCCCCTGCGGTCGCAGTATGCTGGAGGGCTGGGCTCGCTGGAACCGCCAGCCCAGCTGTAGACAGTCAAAGTGGTGGTGTATGCCATGGCGATTAATCCAAAGACACAGAGCACAATGTCAGAAATCTTCCAAAGTTTGTTCTTTGCGACCGCCTTGTAGTGAAGTAGGGGCTGTTTTCTGGTTAGCGAGGGCACATGAAAAGGACATCTCGTCTGCACTGACCGGGTAGATGTAGACAAGGGGAATGCAAGCAAAGTTGCCAACAAGGGCAACAAATTTGTCCAGGTCATCTGCGCCACCCCATGCAATGACTGCACAGAGGATGACAAAGAAGAAGCGGTACAGATTCTTCTGCCACTTGATGTAAGGGTTGTACTTTCCACTCTTGGTGAACAAAGCATTCTCAGTAATTTTAATGGCAGGGAAAAGCTGCAGCGGGATCGACAGCATGATGGCAATGGAGTAGAGAAACTGGACGCTGTTGACCATTTTGTTGTCCTGGGGCATGTTGAGCAACACCACGGTCTCCGTCTTGGATCCGTAGGCGGCGTAGGAGATGGCACCCATACCGATGAAGATGACCGAGATAATAATCATAACCGCTAGCATGACGCCAGGGAACTTCTTGGGGTTCTTCATCGACTCCTGGATGGGAATGATGAGGCCAATCCCTTCAAATGTGAAGATGGCGGTGCCTATGAACAAGGTCCAGTCGTTGCGGTTGAACAAGATTATATCCGACAAACCATTGGTGCTCAAGGTGAGAATGTCGTAGTAGAGCAAATAGGCCAGCCCGAGCAGAATGAAGGCATCCGCAATCAGAGCAGTGAAACTCAGCTTCTCAATGTCTCGCAAAAGAGAGAAGGGCAGGAAGACTAGGACCTGCAGGAGGATCAACCACTTGACGGGAATGTTTGATTTGCAGTCAGACACCGCCAGGATGACGGCCTGCAGATTCTCTGACGTAAAAACCATGTAGGCAGCCACGAATCCGATCTGGCTTATGACGATAGACGAGAGAATAGTGCCCCTCATCCACTTGCCATAGAGGATGCCACCAAGGTCACCAAAAGACCCCTCGACCTTGAGACGAGTCGTGACCAGAAGCACGAAGCAGTAATAGCTCAGCGCAGCCACACCCAGCAAGACAGCGTTGCTGAAGGCCATACCACCATTCAGGTAAGCCCGAGGCAGGAAGAGGACTCCGGTACCAACAAAGGACTTGAGCAACAGGAGCGCGGCGCTCATCGGGCTGTTTTTCCCACTTCCTCCACGTTGTCTCCGTCTCCTTCGGTGACGCGATGGCGTCAGCAGCGCGCTGTCCTCCATGGGCTCTCGATCGTCCTCGCTGTCCTCGCCGCTGTCGTAGTAATCCTCGCCGCCGGAGGAAAAGTATTCGCCAGGCCTGAGCGCCTCGTCGTCTTCTTCCAGCTCCTCACCTGCAAAGTGACCATAGATTGTGAGAAACTCGAGGAAACTGGACGTGAGCAGCCGGGGTTGTGGGCCATCGCTGGCCTCGCCACGCTCGCCGCCATCTCGGACCGTGGAGGGGCTCCTAGCCGCACGACGCAAGTAGTTACGACGGAAACCTCCGGGGACCTTGATGGCGTTGATATCGAGAATATCGGTCTCGGGATCGGGACGGGAGATGCTGAAGCTCTTGCTGCGCTGCACCTTGTTTCGAGCCTCGGCCTCTTCGGTCCACTTGTAGATGCCTCGAGTCACGTCTCCGCCCTGCAGCCGTAAACTCGAGAATTCGTCCTCATTCAGGCCAGTCTCTGTATCGGTATCCGCCGCCTGCTTGCCTTTGACTCCATCGCGCACGCTAGAATCTTCGGAGGTGGCGTCGGTAGGCTGGACCAGGTGCCTCTTGACGACTTCGGGGTCTTCGTAGGCGCCGGCATTGCGAGAGCGGGAGTCGAAGGAGCCGTAGTTGGTCATGGGTGTGCTCGAGAGCTGAGCACCAGCGGCAGCAGGAGACAAAGGCCTTGCCGGGGGAGGAGTGGCAGTGCGCACCGGAGGAGTGCCGTGTCTCGGTGGAGAGGCGCCCAGAGAGTTGGAAAGCGCAGCGGCCAGGGCCGAGACGCCGGGGCCTTGGACGCTTGAAGGCGCAGCACCGGCCAAGGGGGCGAGGCTGGCCGTCTCGCTGTTGTCGCCTAGCCTGCTCGATCCTGGGCCGACGAAGCGGCCTGTCTGCGGAGTGCCATATTGCTGGGACGGGACGGGCGAGGCCAGGCGAGCAGTGGCGTCTGCTCGGGGAAGAGAGCCAAATTGTCGAGAGGGCGAGTCGGCTCTCGGGATGCTGAGCGGATCTCTTGAAGGAGATGCCATGATCCTGTTGGGTGAAGCTGTTGGGGGGACTATCGGATACCAGTCTGGGGAATATCGAGGAGCATCCAAGCACACCGTCACAGGCTCCGATCTGGATCAACAAGAGATAAGAAAAGTTAGCAACGTGTCATGGAAGCGTAAGATAAGATGGAGCCGACGGAGGAACGGAAGCTTATAATGGGAGAAGGTAGCGATCGTTGAAGCACGGAGAGCGTTTACCTGGGACTCGGTTGTAAGACGGCTGACGAGATCAATTGCAGCGCACGGCTCAGTAGGTGTGTGTTTGAAGCTGTTGGTATTACTGGGAACGCGTGATAAGGACGCTTCGTATGCGGGTCGGGTGACCTAATCTGGCAGGTCTATCTGGAGGGCCGGTGGCTCATACTGATAGCGTCAGGTAGATGCACCACACAATCCAGGGTAACTACCGGCCCGGGCTGTTGTGGGTGTAGGGCAGTGCTACCTGGTATCATACCTACCTACCTAAGGGCCTAGGTAGGTACCGACAGGTAGTGTACTGTACTGTACTTATCTAGGTAGCTTACCAAGGTACTTAGGTACGAGTGAGTACCTAGAAGTGTGCCACATGTGCTATGTCTTCTTGCCGAAACCCGCCGCAGGAGCTCTCGGGCTGTTCAGCCTTCCGCCAGGACACCACCGACCGCCATGTTTCTATGCCTGTGTTATCCGACCCAACCCGGCCGAGGTGAGGCGAGGTGAGGTGACCAAACACACTTGGACTCCCGCTGTCACGGGTTCTTTTTCTTTCTCCCACTCTCTCTCTACGTATATATCTCTATGTGTGTGCGTGTGTGTGTGTGTGCGTGTGTGTTGGACTTGATACTCCAGGTATCAGGCGGGCCCAATTCTTCACACCGCGACTTTGACTTGCAAACACCAGCCACCTACCTTCACACGACCATGCTAGGTGTGTAGGATGTTGGCTTGCGGATTTGGCGGGGTCTCTGCCTCCTCGAGTCGGCACATGAGAGAAGGCAATTCTTCAAGACAGGCGGCGTGTGCTTGCTTTTCGGCCATCCTCCGACGGTGCTGGGGTTCATCAAACGCAGAGAAATAGACATGAATCCCCGATCCCACTCGGAATCGACCGAGTATTCCTTCCGTCTTGTTTGCCAGCGCTCCATGGTCACAAGGCCCAGGTTCCAACGGATATTGCCAGCTTAGGTAAGGCAACTAACTGTATGGATTACAGAGGCAAGCGAGCGGCCATTATTGGACTGTATGCACCTTCCGCCTCACTTGTTGCACATGCTACGATGATACGGGAGAAAGAGAAAGAGATAGAGTGGGGGGCACCCCGCGACGAGCCCTCTTCAGCGGCTTTGGAGTGGGGAGAGGCGGGGGCTGCGCGCATGCAGCGGTAGGCGGGAAACCTCCCATGGGCAAGACAGACAGACAGACGGAGACACACACCCCTTCGCATTTGGTATTGAAACCCTCATCGAGTCATGGACGACGGTGTGGATAGATAGGTATTAGACAGCCTCATACCAGATAAGCCACGCCATGCATGCCACACCACGCCACGCCGCACCCATGCCTGCCACGGTAACGCCAGCCAATATTCCGGACCGGTATCGTCGATCTACTTGAAATCTGTCAAATGACGGGGTTTCTTTTTCCTATTTTAGAGCAGTGGTCTGGCAGCCAGCCCTGTCAAGTATCGGACGAAGCAACATCGAGCCGGACTGTCGGCGTTTGAGAAGTACTTATTCTCCTTGTCGCTCTTGTTCTCGCGTTGACCAGTGATGTCCACTCATGACGATGAGACGACATTGTCATGAAAGCTGTCGCACAAACCTTGTCCAGCCCATTGCTGCACAAAATCACACATCGATTCCGCCGAGTCTACCTACCAGTCTTTTGACACAAGGTACGGTAGGTGGGTGGATAGCGAACCCACCGCCATCACCAACCATGTGTACTATACAGTTCTGTACTGCCTGCCTACCTGGTCCGAGCTGTCGTTCGCTGCCAGATGACGTCGGTCTGGCTTCTTCCTTCGGGCTTTGTCGCCTGCATCTTGCTGCATCTCGTTGCATCTTTGAATCTTGAAGCTTGGTGGTGTGGGTGGATCACCAGTAATACGGCACGACCGACTGGAGCATATCGCAACTTTCCAATCGGCACGCGGGGTAATAATGGAGAGGCTTGCTTGCATTGGATCGGCTCCCAGGCGTCCCCTCGCTCGCAGAAACCGTGAACCCTGAAAACGAGACGGTAAGAAAGGACGCGAGACATGCGCCGGGCCAGCTAAATGCCTGTGCGGCCCGCCCATACTTCAGTTAGGCAATCCTCCTACTGGCCGCCATGATCAACCACCGCCGTCGTTCAACCACACTTGGACGCTTCTGGGAACTGTTCGAATCAACCCGAAGCCATCATTGCAAACTGCTGCAATTGCGCGCGGGGATTTATATACCGAGACTCTCCCACCTGAAGACTCCCTCGTCCAATCTAATTTCGCATCAGTGTTCCTTCTCCTCCCTGTCGACTCTTTGCTGTTGTTCGACCAAGGGCTAGGTAATCAACCCAACAAGAGAGAGAAAGAGAGCGAGAGAGCGTGGCGGCGGCGTCTTTTTTGGTTTTCTTTCCCCCTTCTGGTGAGAGTTTCGCAGTGCTGTGCCTAACCGAGGACGGCCCCCTTTCCGCGCAACGCGCCCTCCACCATGGGTGGTGACGACAGACGAGAGTGTCTCTCCGGCATGGAGCAGGCCAGCAGGAAATCCAAGCTGGGAGTCGTGTCAGGCGTTTACATACCCGTCTGCCTCAATATCTTCAGCATCCTCATGTTCCTTCGTTTCGGCTGGATTCTCGGCCAGGTCGGGCTCTTGGGCATGCTTGGTTCGTCGGCTAATAGCACAGACGCCCTTCACTCTCTCACCGCGCACTAACACGAACCCTAGGATTACTGGTCACGGCCTACGTTGTAGACTTCTTGACGACTCTCTCGTTGTCTGCCATAGCTTCAAACGGCGAGGTCAAGGGTGGTGGCGCCTACTATGTCATCTCAAGATCTCTCGGCCCCGAGTTCGGCGGTTCTATTGGGGTGCTGTTCTACCTTGCTCAGGTTCTCAATACTGCCCTCAACGTTGTTGGTCTGGTTGACTGCATCAAAATGAATATCGGAGACTCGTTTCCACATGGATACTGGACTGTCTTCCTTCTACAAGCCTTGGCCTTGCTGCTCTGCGCTGGATTGTGCTTGGCCGGAAGCGGCATATTTGCCAAGGCCAGCAATGCGTTACTCGTCGTACTCACACTTGCCATCGTCAGCATCCCAATATCTGCCGCCTTCAGATCACCCTTCCACGATCCTGAGCTCGGCGTGCGCTTCACTGGCTTTAGCATTGAAACGCTAGTCGACAACTTTGCCCCTCACACGAGGAGCAAGTCGTACAAGGGACTCGAGACTTTTCGGGAGGTCTTCGCCATCCTGTTTCCCGCAACGTCGGGCATCTTCGCAGGGGCTTCAATGTCGGGAGATTTGCATAACCCCAGCAAAGATATCCCAAAGGGGACTCTCTGGGCCATGATGACCACCTTCATCGCGTACCTGATTGTAGTCTTCTCCATGGCTGCCACCACGACACATGCCTCCTTTCTCAACAACACCAACATCATTTCGGTCACAAGCCTGTCAATGCCGCTGATCCTTGCTGGAGAGTGCGCCGTCACCTTCTTTTCTGCCGTAATGGGACTGATAGGGGCTGCCAAACTCATGCAAGCATTAGCCAGGGACAAGTTGCTCCCCGGCCTGTTGCCTTTTTCACGGGGCACAAGAAAGAACGACGAGCCGGTCCAAGCCATTGTTCTGACGTATGCCCTTGCTCAAATTGCCATGTTCGCCAATCTGAACCAGATCGCAACTCTCATCTCTATGGGATATCAGGTAATTTGACATTTCCCTCGAACCCGAGCTGGATTCCTGAGAAGCTGACGTTCATTAGATGACCTTCTTTGTCATGAATCTAGCATGTTTCCTACTCAAGATAGGATCGGCCCCCAACTTCAGGCCCGCTTTCAAGTTCTTCAGCTGGGAGACGGCCTTCGCCGGGAGTATCTTATCTGCGGCAGCTATGTTCTTCGTCGACCAAACCTACGCGGCCACTGCCGTCTGTCTGCTCATCTTTCTCTTCTCCCTGATCCATTATCTTAGCCCACCGAAGCGATGGGGCGATGTTTCGCAGAACCTCATCTATCATCAGGTGAGGAAGTACCTCTTGCGACTACGACCCGAGCACATCAAGTTCTGGAGGCCACAGATCATCCTGCTCGTCAACAATCCGAGGAGGCAAACCCGACTGATCCAGTTTTGCAACTCCGTCAAAAAGGGCGGTCTGTACATACTCGGCCATGTCATTGTGACCGACGACTTCAGCAGCGGCGTTCATGAAGCGAGACTCCAGCAGGCGGCGTGGACCAAGTATATCTCGGAATTCTCCCGCATCAAGGCATTCGTACAGCTTACAATGTCTCCTTCCATCACCTGGGGCATCCGAAACTTGATTCTGTCAGCCGGCCTGGGAGGTATGCGCCCGAACATTGCCGTCATGGGATTCTACAACATGGACGAACTCCGGAACTCGCGTCCTTCGGTTAAGGTCCCCAAGCCTCCGGGATTCGTCAATTACAATCCCCCCCATCCACCAAAAGCCAAGGAACGACCTGCGCGGAGGAAGCGAGGTGACACATCGGCACGCCTGATGGACAGCTTTCTTCCTACGGACGTCATCAAAACCGAGGACCAGATGAGCGTGACCAGTTACATGACAATTTTAGAAGACTTGGCTTTGAGGCATAAGCTCAACGTCGCAATCGGCAAGGGCTTTGAGGAGCTGGAAACCCCGCGTAAGGACAAGGCCAACAGCAAGAAATACATTGACCTTTGGCCGATTCAGATGTCGGCAGAGGTCCTATCAGATGGGAAAAGCGTTCTTACGACTAACTTTGATACGTGTATGGCAACAGTCCTGTGGCTATGTTGGGAGATCGCTGACGCATTCGCAGATACTTTGATTCTCCAGCTCGGCTACATCCTCTCCAGCGTTCCCACGTGGCACCGAGTCTACAGCATTCGCGTTGTGGTGTTCGTGGAATACGAGAGTGAGGTTGGAGAAGAGAGGGCCCGCGTCAAGGCATTACTTGACAAGCTGAGGATTGAGGCCGAGGTCATAGTCTTTTGGCTGGCTTCTGGACATCTGAACACCTACGAGCTGATCATCAATGGGCAGTCCAATGACATTGAATCCCAAATCATGGTACACGACCTCCTCAGAGACGAAGAATGGTGGGATGATCTCCAAAGATTTCGGGGCCGGGAGCCTAACCTGGACTCCACCGAAGAGCTCACGTCTTTCGCAAATATCATCGGGTCCACGGCAGGACGCCCTGGTGTATTCAACCCGCATATACCTTTGGAGGATATCGAAAGTGGACGACGGCCAAGTCTGATGCACTTTGGAGAGATCCCCAGAAAGCCGACGGTATCCAACCTTTCCCGGCTTGGCGTCAGTGTTGGAATTCACACGTCTCATCTCGGAGATGAAGTCTTTGAGGAAGAGTCCAACTCCGATGGTGAAATTAGCGAGCAGGAACAGCCGCCGTCCTGCCTGGATTCCGATTCCGAATTCGAAAACGGCGGCAGCGAGTACAGCGACGACGAAATGCCCGACATCGAGGCTACGCGGCGCCCGTTGCTGGTGGCACGAGGACGTGGGCGAAGCCAGAGCGAAGACTTGCTCACCGGATCGGCCAAGCATCAGCGTGGCGTGTCCAGCAAGAGCGCCGCACCGGCTACGAACACGTACGGTACGATGGTGTCACAAGCCAGGACTGAAGGACAGTTGGGACCAAGCCACGTGGTGCCTGTCGACAGTGCGTCGGTACCCCCCACTCCGACCGAACGGCCTCTGCTAGATCGCAACAGCACTGCCCGTTCTATGGGCGGTTTTCGGTCAACTGGCGTCAACACATTCTCCGATATGACCCAAGGAAGCGCCTCTGGATACGCAACTCCTGCAAGGCCGACTCTCTCTCGTCAGTCGTCCGCGGTACGCTTCTCCAGCCGGCCGATGCCAGAGACGAGAACAGATGTCGAGGGCACTTCTGGGCCGACGATCATGTTTGCGGACACTACAGAAGAGGAGACGCCGAGAGCGGAACAACCCGCATTCTCTCGCCAATCCTCTACAGGACGGTTCTCTAATCGCCCAGTGCCCGAGATGACGGTGGCCGTGCCCGAAGAGTCTGAGCTCACCAGCACGTTTGCGGAAGCCTCGAGTAAGTCCCACAAAGCTTCCGCCGCATCCGCCACCGACCCTGGCTATGTGCACATGGACATGGCGGAACTTGTGGGGCGATACAGGCTAGACTCGAGGGCTGACGGTAATGGAGAGGGGTCGCCTTACTCAACACAAGGCATTGCACTTTCGTTCAACGATTTGCCGTCTCGGGCGCAGCATGTCATCCTCAATGAGCTCATGCGGCAGAACAGCAAAGACACGGCAGTATTATTCACCACCTTGCCTGTGCCCACCGAGGGAACATGCCAGGATGAGCAGGCAAGCATTCGGTACCTGTCGGATATTGAAGTCCTGTGTCACGAGCTCCCACCAGCCATGTTGGTCCTGAGTAACAACATGACTGTCACGGTTGGGCTCTAATAAGCCGTAGGGTGGAAATGTCTCGAATCCTGCGAGGGGCAAACATGGTCAGATCAGGCTACGCGGGGGCGGTTCATACTTTGGCGTTTATTCCCTACCCTCCCTTGAGGGTCAACTTGGGGCGGGGATTACCATCCGGACAAAGGAATGTGGTGGTAAACTTTGCTGGAGGTGCCACATTCCTCCACGTCTTTGGCCGAAATGAGAAGCTATCAGGCCAAGCATTCTTTGTCTCCGACCCTCCGTCAGCTGCCGAACCATGATGGCTTTTCACTTGCGGTCTTTACAAAGGGTTTCCCTCGACGGTGCATGAGCAGCCCAAACCTTCACCCTTAGAATTTTTGGCCTTTGCAGGAAGACTTTACCCGTGAGTCTTTGGAGTCATGGACATTAAATCCACCGTCCCGTCGGCGCTGCCTCCCTCGTGGGAAATCCCGCAAACAGTCAACATGAACGATCACGGGAGGAAGTTGAGCTGGACCGCGCAGCTGTCACCATACCTTCGGGGTCTTAAGATGAAGAACATTATGCCTTCTCCGAAACCTTCCAAATCGCCAAAGTCGCCAAAGCCGCCGAGAAACTTCCGTGAGGATGACTCGGGTTTCCGAATCACCCACACGCCCGACAGGCCAGAACGTCCAATCTCGAGGACGGCGATACCAACCGATGAACAGTGCATGGAATTCCTCATGTCTTTGCAGAGGCAGGAGGAACATCGAAGAGGCAGCACCAAGAGTGGTCTCAAGATGTGGCCAAATTCCCAAGAGGACGACCCTGAAGACCGCAGGTATCTCCGGAGCGTAAGGGTCGAGAGCGTGCAATTCGAGGAGGCACGACTCGCCAGGACAAATTCGTTTGGCCCGGCCAGGGTGGTGGACGTCGGTAGAAGCTCGACCAAATCAACGCTGGCAACACCCGGCGTCAGCGACAAAGGGGAGGAGGAGGAGGGTGACGAAGACGACGACGACGACGATAACGAGTCGATCGTCGAGCCCAAAAGATGTACAGACGCAGCTCTCTCTCCGCCACCTACTTTGTACCGCAATAAACCATATCTCGAGGTTCATACGCCAAGAGCCAACACTTCACGCTGGTCCGATGACAGCCTCGAATCTCGATTATCGTCAAGAGAGCACGACTCCCCTTGTGTACAGCGGTGCCAGCGGGTAACCCTCCGATCATCGACTGAGGCATCGTCGTCGCCTACCGTCTTTGGCGATGACTCGATGGAGCCTTCCACACCGTCGCCGCTGACGCCGGTAAAGATCCGACCCGCAACACCGTTCACCGATTCTCAACTCCGGGCCGAGACTGACCCAATTACCCCTCCGCCATCAGACCAAGTCGCTCACCTGATGCACATCAGCCCGGAACCGGTGCCGCGGGAGTACTCATGGCGGTCGTCTAGAGACACAGTCCTCAACGCCGAGGCTCCGGCATCCAAGGCCTCGGCTTGGCTACCCGAGCCGTGGCCTAGAGAAGAGGTCAAAAATCAGAAGCAAGGTAGTGAGCCGGAGGTCTACGGCGACTGGGCGGATTACTATTTTGAGGACGGCAACTTTTGGGACGGGTACTCGGAAGAAGACGACACGAGGGTAGAAGGAGAAAGCGATGCGGACGATGAACGAAATGAGCACGGTACCGACGAGGAAGATCAAAAAGAGGAGAAAGAGGAGGACCAAAAGGGCAGGCGTCAAGCCGATGGAGAGGTATACCCGCGGTACGAGAGCTTCATCGAGGACTATAAGAAGAACATTATGAGTATCACGGTTACGGAGGCGTAGGCGCAGGCTCGGTTTCTGCTGGGTTTATGTTGCTTCCTGTCCTTTTGAGGCGTTCATCGGTTAGATATGATATCTCATTCCTTTTAGGGAGTCGTTGGTCGTGGCTTTGTAACATCACTCTACCGTTTTGTTTTGTTTTTCTGGTTGCGATTACCCATCATCTTTCTGTTCTTGTCGGATTCACCATCACTTTTTGGTCAGTCTCAACGGCGTCACTCGCATATATCTCTTTGGTACCCTCTCCCTTCTGAGTCGGCAACGCTGGACCAGAAGAAGTAGGTGAAGCAAACACGAGGTCAATTTCGTTTCCATCTTGGTGGTTAAACTTGCAATTACACTGACGAGACGTGACGGGACCCCGTTGGCATGCTGGCTCCGAGACATGGCATCCTGCGCCGTGGGATAACAAGATTATCTGCCGGCAGTATAGAGTAAACACCGGAACAGTAGCCCCTGATGTCTTTCCTTGGCACACATTCCGGCGCAAACCCCCTAGCAGCCCATCAGAAACTATTTCTTCCAAGGTTTTCTGTCGAGGCCGTGGCAGGGTCTGCGGTAGTCGTTCATTTTCCGTCCGGGGAGAGAGCTGGCCCCCTTCCCTCCCCTTCCCTTCCTTCCTGCTCAAGGCCTGGGCTTCTCCTCGTCTTTCCAGTCGGGCGGGCCGTCGATGCCGGGGCGACAGGCGACGCGGGAGAAATCGCTGTTCTGGCGAAAGTCGCCGCAGCCGGCCAGGCTCTTGCCCTGCCTCCAGGCCTCGTCACAGATGCGCCAGCGCTCGAGGCCGACGCGGCATACGTTGTGGTCCGGGTAGTCGCAGCACATCCGACGCAGCCTCCTCCAATGGCCCGCGCCGGCGTCGACGGCGCCCAAGAGGGCGCCGAGGAGCAGGATCACATGAGCCATGGGGATGCGCATCTTTGGCGGTCGAGGATCGGGGTTTGTTTGGAGGGTGCGTTGGGTGCGAAGAAGTCCTTGAAATTATTGTGGTAGTGGTTGGTTTGCTTGTAGTGTGGTGTGTGAGTCAATGGTGGTGATGATGATGATGATGATGATGATGATGCCCGGAAGGAAAATAGATGGGGACTGTAATATCTCTTCTATATTATACATGGCGATTCGGGTAACGGAGTTAGGTTGATTGTTTTATTGTTCCTGATTCGACCTGTTCGCTGTCCATCACGGTATCGAGGCTTCTCAAGCTCCATGGACCCGCCCGAGCATCTTGAAATGGACATCACGGTCCTCCTCCCCGTACAAAAACGTCCTGTGCACACAGGATAATTCAGTCCTGCCCCGTAAAGCCCAGGTTCTCTGCGGTCGGCCTTGGTCGCGTAGGCTCTTTGTGGTTTGAAGTCATCGCCGACGTTGGCAAGGTTCGCTGGTCTAAGTTTCTTGTCGGAAGAAAAACCCGAGTGTCTTTCTCGATCGGCACTCCAAGCCGAACCCGCCGCTTTTTAACTTGGTGCTAGTGTTTTGATTGAAGGATGACGTGAGTTTGACCGACTAATCCTTAGATGTGTGTTATCACTTACAGCCGGTATGCCAGAAGAGCCGGGAACAATCCCCCGTAATATCCTTTTCTCCACATATCAACTGATTTGTACATGAAGAGAGCGACGGTATTCTAGCTCGAGATGATGTGAATAATGCTTCTCCCGAATTAGATCATTGGACTTGGCTCGAGACCGATCACCGAACACCGTCTCATTTGCAAGTGTGGCCCAAGCGTGAACCTCTAGGGAGCAGGGGCAAAGGTAAAATAAAAAAGGAAAAAGCTTTACCAAGTCCTTGGTCACACCCTCGTTGCTTTTCTGAACAAACTTTACACCACACACGCTACCCATACACCACCATTCAACCTATATAAGGTTTTTCGCGCAATGCCGTGAGTCAGCGCCGACCAGGAAACTCCTCAACGCAGTCAGTCCGTGATAGGTATGCCCCGCTTGGCCGTAGATGCCTCGCCTGCCCCCCTCTCTCATCCGCCGCGCCCATGCCGTCTCCCCGCACGTCGCGACCCTCCTGCCGGCGTGTCGCGACATCCCCTCCGCCGTGACCGAGCTCCGGTGGATCAGGTCGCACGTTGCCAGCGCCCCGGCGCGGGGTGGTGGCGCAGAAGCCAGCGTCGCTCGCCTCTGCGCGCGACGCGGCCGCGGCGTGCCCCTGCAGTACGTCCTCGGCTCCCAGCCCTTTGGTGCGCTGGACATCAGGTGCCGGCCCGGCGTGCTCGCCCCGCGCGCCGAGACCGAGGCGTATGCGCTGCACCTGACGGAGATGATCGTCTCCGGCCGTCTGCCGCACCCCCAGGACAGGGGGCTGCGGATCGTGGACTTTTGCACCGGGACCGGGTGCATCGCGCTCGCGCTGTACGAAGGCCTTGCGCGGCGAGCGGCGAGGTTGAGTGTCACTGGGGTGGACGTCTCGCCGACCGCGGTGCGTCTTTCACGGGAGAACCTGCGGCATAATGCCGGTGCCGGTGCGTTGCTCCGGCCTACAGAGGAAAAGAACGTTTCTTTCCAGCTGGCAGACGTCTTTGACGAGGCGGCCATGGCAACGATACCCCAGTGTGACATTCTGGTGTCGAACCCGCCGTACATCTCGCGCAAAGTCTGGACGTACGGCCGCGGTCAGATGGGCTACTCTGTGCGAAAGTACGAGCCGAGGCTGGCTCTGGTGCCGGGGGACACGACGCCCACATACGACGGCTGCGACCATGCCGACGTCTTCTATGCCAGGCTGCTGGACGTTGCACGCCGGCTGCGGCCAAAGGTTTTACTGTTCGAGGTGGGGGACCAAGAACAAGCAGTCAGGGTTGCGAGGCTGGTCAGGCGGAACGAGTACACCAGACAGGCGACCTGTGAGCTGTGGAGAGACTGGCCAGACTTGACGCCCGAGGAGGACGAGGCCACTGAGCTGGATACAGACGCAGAGTGTGTAGCAGTGAAGGGGAGCGGAAATGTACGATCTGTGTTTGTGCTACTGTAGGATACAATACAGGGGTAAACGCGATACAAACGAATGCCAATGTCACTAAACTCCGATTACTGGAAGCAAGCAAACAAATCATGTCCATTGATGGTAATCGACAAGAAGGAATATTACAGACTATTTTGTCTATGCTAGTAAAATGCAAAAATGTAAACTGCCCAGAGGCGGATTCGAACCGCCGTCAACACGGATCGCTGTATAGAAGAACCACAACGTATCATCCTAACCAACTAGACGATCTGGGCCAGCCAATATTGTTAGACTTTTCCTGGAATCTGTGGACCAAGAAGCATGCTCGAAACGGCAACTTGACAGGTAGCTCTGCACAGACCACTCATGCACGATACCTCCCTGGTGAGCAATGGTGGGGGGTCATTGTGCGTTTATGAGTAGACTTGGTTTCGCGAGCTTACAACCACCTGCTGTCTCCCTTGTGTCCAGGAGCCCACCCTTCACTCCAGTTTCAACCCCGTCACCGTGAAAGTCAATTCCCACTAGGAATCGACCTTGACGCCATTTGTTCCACTCCAATCAGCCAGAGACATGATGTCTTTGCCTCACACCGAGCAGATGGACCCTGTTCAGCCCCTGAAATTTTGGACTTAGACAACGGGGTCCACGCGGGGCATCCCGTGGAGGCATGTCCAAAGTGCGAGATTGGTGCCATGCAAGACGCACATAGGTATCTGCCGCTCGCCACACGTGTGCTTCACTGGAATGATGGAAACCGAGTATCCGGATGCTTCAGAGCTGAAGAGTGTCCCTTGCAAGTCTCGCGATACATGCGCGTCATTTGGCACGCGAGGCTTGCCACGTTCTCTCCAGAGTCATTCGGCAGAACAGTAGAGTACAGGTTTAGTGATTGGCATGCTTTTGGAGATTGACAAAGTAGCACCGTATTTCGGGACGCTCTCTGTCTCTGAGAACAGGGTTCTGAGATTCTCATGCGCGAGGAGGACTGTCGTCTGCGACTCGATGGAGGCAGTTCTCGTATCGAGGGCATTGCGGGCAAGGTTCCCCTTCCGTTCATGCTCTGAAGACCAATTTCCTATTTCGCATTCTCCAATTGCCGTTAAACAGGTCGGGGTTTGCCGGAGCGCCTGGAAAGCCTACGAGATTCCACCTCCAAGGTCGAGGTTTTTGCTGCCCTCATATGCCAAATCAAGGCGGCCATTGTACCTTATCAATCGGAACGCAGGGTCTGCTGCCGGAACTGATGCGGCATTCAGTGCGTGTTCTTGAGCGCTCTTCGTCTTGATGACATCCGCGACCTCACGGATAACGCATTAGCAGGAGAGACAGACAGGTGCCAGCCCCTGACTTGTGACCGGAGATCTTGAGAAGTCTTGATTTAAACTCGAAACCGACATGGTCGAATAGAAGCTTGCTATGCAGGCGTGATGGTATCAAAACGCGAAAGGCATCTCTTTCCCTCTCCCCCCTCGAAACTTTGGCTGCTAGCATAGAGTTGTCTGAGGCTGTGAGAAGTTTAACCAGCCAGCAATTCAAGTCCGCAGGCTTTCAAAAGAAGGGAACTGCGGCTAGAATACTCCTCTTCTGCAAGATAAGGAATCCTCGCGGCCGTGTATACCCATCCTGCATCATCTTCAAGATGGCAATGTTCTGGTACATGCATCTCCTTTCGAGTGGGGTCTGTGTCACGCCAACCTTAGACGCACTGTCTGAGAAGAGTAAGCGTCGAATTCGTCTACCCCGGTACTCGGTATCCGAGCTGATCTTGTCCACGGGATGTTTGTAAGCAATGCCGACTGGAAATGGAGGCACAAGAAGGGAAGGCACGAGAAGGGACTTTGGCTATGAAGGCATCGAGTTGGGTTCTTAGTAACACGCAAGGGCTTCACCTGGCGCTCAGTCAGACGACTAGCATTTGTATTTACCTGTGTATCAAGCTTTCGACCCTTTACGGGTTTCCCGCAAGATGAGGATACAGTTAGAGGATACATCATAAAGTATCAGAAAAGATGTGTGGTACAGTAAGCAACGGTAGCTGAGCTCCTAATAGAAAAGGAGGTTCTTTTTGGCCCAGTCAATAGCGAGCTGTTCGCTTTATAGGCTGACGGGCTGGACGGATTAAATTGAAAGGGTTAGACAACCGTATGAAAGCTACGAGATGAGATGTTGTCGCCACCCGATGAAAGAATAAAGTATTTTTCAACCTCAGGGAGGTAAGTGACGCCAAAATTCACATACTTTCTGGAGCCAGTAACCAGCATACACTAGACAACTTAACATTGTAGAGCTTCCCGTCTCTCTAATCGCGGATCAGATACCTTGGATTGGAAAGTTTCTACCGCAGCAAGAGCATCAACGGTGTACACTTACAAATATCAAAATAACAGGGGACAATCTTGAATCGAGAAGAGCACACAGCAAGGGTCGAATGCGCGGATTTTATTCCCCTACATACATAGAAGGCATTAAAAGATGAAAAGGCAAGAAGAAAAGCGCCTTGCTTGATGGCAAAAGTGTAAGGAGTGAGAATATGCAAAAGTATTGACCAGCCTGGGGGTCGAACCCAGAATCTCCTGATTCGTAGTCAGACGCCTTGCCATTGGGCCAACCGGCCGTGTTGGATATTGCATTTCGTTTTGTTTCCGAAAAGAGTACCTCTCATGCTGCTCATGCGGTGGGACATTTTTCTTCCTTATTGCATCTCTCTCTTTTGCTTGATAACCATGTTATTCGCTATTAGCATACTTAAAACCTCCTGTCTACGGCTTCGGGTCTTATATCTCGCAGCTTTGTTTAACATTACATAGAGCTTGTTGTTTATCATTTTTAAGTGCTGCTATTTAGCCGTCGGCACTTTGCAAAAAAACTCAGAGATCTACCCCACAAAAGGTGTACTAACACTTCCCCCATGTAGACTCACTCACATTACAAAGTACACTCTTGAGAAACTAGCGTAAAGAAAAAAGAGGAAAGATATGTTGGATTAGATGCTAGGGTTAATGGTCAGGTTCGGGACTAGAGTTAGGAGCAAGGAATGTGTTCTTCAAGTTGAGAGGAGTAAGAGGGAAGGGTGAGGAAAGTGTTAGTGCTACGGCCAAGTAGCCGTGCTCGTCTTTTTTGGTGGTCATCGTAGCGGTTGGCAGGTTCCTCCAAATCCCCGGAATTGACTTCTGTGGATACTCGATATGCACTAAACCGATCCAAGCAAATGGGCATTTCCTGCTCACTCAACTTTGGAGAACATCGTTCCTTGCCTTTCTCACACGGGAACAAGATGGAAACTTGTGACTAAACTGCTCAGGTCAAGAAGAAATGCCATCTCACAAAGTTCCCTAAGAAGAAGAATTCAGTGATGGGCACATTGTTGACCATTCAAGATGTCGTTTCCTGACAGGCCGGTCGCTCACCTGCTGGGCTCGAATGGTGAGTGAGTTATGTCGACTTTGATGAGAGTGGCATGTGCTTATCGATCAACACTGGAACTTATACCTACCTCATTGAATCTAATCCCTAACTTCCAACAGGACCCGTTCACGCCGTCACGTACTCTGCCTCTCCAGGCACCTATATCCTCACCGGCTCAGCAGACCGCAACATCAGACTCTACAACCCGGCATCCCACGACCAGCCCGCGCGCTACGGGACAACCATCACCAGCAAGAGACCGCCAGGGACTACCCCGATAGTTCCAGAAGGCCGCCTCATTCAGACCTACGCCGCCCACGGCTACGAAGTCCTTGACCTATCCGTTTCATCGGACAACGAGCGCTTTGCCTCTGCCGGTGGTGACCGCGCCGTCTTCCTCTGGGATGTCGCGACGGCCACAACGACGCGCCGCTTCGGCGGCAACGCGCACGGCCACACGGCGCGCATCAACTGCGTCTCCTTCGCCGGCGAGGCCGACTCGCTCATCGTTTCGGCCGGCTTCGACACGAGCGTGCGCGTGTGGGACGCCAAGTCCAGCTCGGCCAAGCCCGTGCAGGTTCTCGACGAGGCCAAGGACGCCGTCACGGCGCTCGCGGTGCGGGACGTGGAGATCGTGGCGGGCAGCGTGGACGGCAGGGTGAGGAGCTATGACGTGCGCATGGGGCGGTGCGTGACGGATGTCATCGGCGCGAGCGTGACGAGCCTGAGGCTCACGCGCGATGGGAAGGCCATGTTGGTCAGCTCGCTGGACAGCAAGATCCGGTTGATGGATAGGGAGAGCGGGACGTGCCTTAAGACGTATGCAGATGGCGGGTGGAGGAACGAGGAGCTGCGGGTGCAGGCCGTGCTCGGCGGTAAGGAGAAGTACGTCATTGCTGGCGACGAGCTGACTGCCGGCACGGGGCCGGCGGGGCTGAACGGCGATGGTAAGATGTGGGCGTGGGATCTGCTAACGGGTAGGCTGGTTGCCACCGTGAGGGTGCCCTGTCCAGAGGGATTCGAGCCGAAGAAGATGCTGGGAAAAGACGGCAAGGCAAAGGAGAGGAGTAACGTAATCAGCTGCATAACTTGGAGGGACGACGGATGGGGGGATCAGTTCTGCATCGGAGGCACGTTGGGAGTAGCGACCGTCTTTGGCTCGCTATAGTGGCGGGTTTCATTACGCATACAAGCATCAGAATGCGGCAGCTACTGGAAGAATATTCACTTGTTCTTAAGACGTACATACTTCTAGCCTCATCTACTCAAATCATACAGAGTCATGTCCGTTTCTGACCCCGTGGTACTTTACACACGTATGGATGTTCCCCAGACGCCCAACACCATTGTACCCAGATGCCTCCTGGAAATCGCCCAATAGGTGCCAACCAAACAAATTAATATGAACAGCAGCCGTCCCTCACAGAAAGGTCGTTCAACTAGTCCATGCCGACATATTTGAACCAATTCGGGCGGCAGTCGTCTTTGTGCAACCAAGCCTCACCGTCGGTAAAGCGGCCAGTCACACAGCCCTTGCACTTGTTCGAGTTGGGGCAGTTGAAGAACGGGATGTGCTGGTATCCGATATCTCGGAACCTGACGCGTGTTAATCTTGCACCCTCCCATGTTTAGTTTGGCAGAACTTACCAATGAATCTTGGACTTGTCCTCAAAAAGACCCAAAGCGATGCTGTGGACGGGGGCATCGCCCCATCTCTCGTAGAAGAAACCCCCGGCGCGGTCCAGGTGTTGAAAGTAGTCCTCGTACGCTTGGCTGCGCCAGAAGTCAATATCGGCGATTTCGAAGTTACTCCAGAAGTGACAGGTGGAGTAGCCATTTGCGTTCACGTTATTCTCGGGCCGGTGAGTCTTGTCAGTGAGCCAGTCCAGGGCGTTGTTCTCGTGAAGGTATTCAGGGTGCTGGGCGAGGAACTTGACGGTCTCGGGCCACAACGTCGGGATCGACTTGGGTGCGTCGTAAAGGTTGATGGTGAAGCCGTATGTCTTGTTGTTGTCCTGCATGTATCGGAAGACATCGTAGTCGACGTCACAGAAGAAATGAACATTGGGCTCAACGCGCCAGTAGTACTTGGTGTGCTGCAGGGCGGGGTGTCTGTAGAACATCCCACTGTTCCAGCGGCACATCGAGTGGTACGAGACCTTGTCGGCGTATTGGATATCGTTTTCCTTGAGGATCTTGACGGATTCTTCGTAGAGGTCCTTGTTGATCCATGACGGCATGTCCCAATGCTCCTTGGGAATAAGCTCTATATGCGAGGTTCAGTGCAAGCGTCGCGCCGGGGCTATTCGCAAATGCTTACCGTATCTGCATTCGGCCTTGGTGGCAGCCTGGGTCCTCCTCTTGAACTCGTCGGAGAAAGGAACCTCGTTAAAAAAGGTCCAGGGGTAGTTGAACTTATGGTTCCATGTGCTCTCGAGGTCGACCATCGACTGGATCATTCCATCCAGCTCCTCGTTCCTGACCAGCGCCAGCAAAGTTGCGTTGATGCGCGCAGAGTCCTTGGCGTCGGGGGCATATTTGTCGGAGGCGTACGTCAAAATACCTGGAGGCTCCCCGGTTGCTGTGAAGAGACTCGATGATTAGCCATCTATGCAAGGTGCTTGCATGCTTTGCAGGCGCAACTCACGATCAAGGTTGGGGTCCCGTCCATTGTCGTAGCGCACTGGCCTCTGGCCTATCGGCCTTTCAGGACCAAATATCTGGTAAAGAAAGAAGCACCATAGCATCACGGCAGCTAAGGCCAGAGCTCGAACTGGCCGGGCGACCGCCATCGTGGGTGAAAGCTCAAATGCGAGCTAGGAATCTCAATATGGTAGCGTCTGCCCAGATGTCGACCCTTCGGGTGCTGTCAGATTCGAGGTCCGCGCGAGTGTCGATGACTAGCGGAAAGGCCAGGTCGTCGAGGTCGGATAGTGGGAATTCTCGGTAGCGGCTCGTGCCGTCGTTTTTGAGGGTCGCCGAGAGGTGTGGGAGGAAGATTTGCCAACTACCAGGCTAGGTTGATTGCGACGCGTAAAATTCGAAAAAGGGGCTTGATGCCAATCGTTCCCGGGTCGTTGGCTGGTTGAGGCTGATGTCACCCCCATGTAATTTGTCAATTAGCGCACAGTATTGAGAGGATCGAGGCCTATGGGCGACTGCTCCAGTAATCTCACCCCTGTGTGCTAACGATAAGAAGAGAGGGCGGCACCCCCCCGCGGCCCCTCCGCCCTGCATCCCGACTGCCTGTCGCGCATCAACTGTCGCAAAGCCCCAATGGACGCGTCTTTTGCCATGCGAATAATCCATACGCATCTTCAATGCCCAACGTCGGTGATTTAAGCCTCGGAACCACTCGCCAGCGGTTCAGCTCTTTCGGAAAATCATGGCATTTGCTGCAAAGCTCGGCGCCTTGACCGACGAGCTTGTCGAGGTCATCACATCGACAGCAGACAAGGTAGGAGACAGTTCGTCTCATGTCGCATTTCAACTTAAGCAATGGGATGCAGTTCGGCCCGTCGCTAACATCATGCACAGAAAATCAGTCGGGAGAGGTTCAATGTATTGCGCGAGTCTGCACTGCGCAGCGTGAGATACCACAGCTTCTTGCGGACCAACCAGTTCGATGTCGAGAGCCAGCTCGTTGGGCTCGAGGAGCGCTTTCGAGTCCATCATCGCGAAGGCTTGGCAGATGCCTTTAGAGAACGTCTCGATGCACTGTCACAGTTTCGAACGAAGTGGCATCCCGATATCTTACATTTCCTTCTCGAGCTAGCGGACCGACCGACGCAGAAGACTCGGCTGAGCGATCTAGAACTCTTGAAGGAACCCGAAGAGGATACTGAACCGCCGCTTAGATGGGAGGAGATTGCGAAAGAGGATGGCTGGAACGAAGAGGCCGACATATGGAAGTCTATCGATTACAGCGATAACTCTGGCGATGAATACGGCGATTTGAAGTCAGAAACATCGAGCGAATCCGACGTCACGTCACTATCAACACTCGACCCCTCGCCCAGCAAGCGACCGGAGGACCTCGAGATTATCTCTTCCGACGAAGCGGCTCTAAAAGATGTTCAGGACAGCCAGGCCTGGCGAACAGAAGCAAAGACTGCGTCATCGGCACGACAACATAAGGTACCTATTACCGAATTTCAAGCGGCAAGGGAAGCTCTGTTCATGCTCCAAGGTCTCCCGACGACACTATTCCTAAAAGACGGTATTCCTGATCCAGCGTACCAAATCTTGAGCGTCGCTTGGGATACCTACAAGGCTCTAATCACTTGCTTCGCTGAAAGTGGACGTCAGCTTTTCCTACTGCGTTCATTCTCGAAGAGGGCGCAAACGGCGCCTCTTTTCCAAGTCTTTCGCGACAACGTTTTGGCTAGTCTGCAGTCGTTTGACAAGAAGATATCGGCTATTCAGGAGCGACTGGCAGTAGCACGAGAAGACACAGTCGTCAGCATGGCAGCAATCTTGGAAGAACTCAGGCCTCACTTGGAACCGCTGAGGTCTCTTTCCGAGATCGTGCGACAGCTCTACGAACCCGCAAATGGCGGCGCGTTTCGCTTCTTGGAGCTCATTTACGATGAGATTGGCATTGCCCAGCTTTCAGGACGAGATACAACGTACGAATTACTGGGGCGAATATTCTTCAATTGCTTCCAAGTCTATCTTCGACCGATTCGACTCTGGATGTCAGAAGGACAACTAATGCCGGGAGACAAGGTCTTCTTCGTATCGGAATCGCCGACCCAAGTGCCGCTTCGTCAGGTCTGGCAAGAACAGTTCAAGCTGAGAAGAACGTCTGACGGTGTGCTTCACGCGCCCAATTTCCTGCAGCCGAGCGTTGGAAAGGTGTTCACGGCCGGGAAGAGCATTGTCGTACTAAAACATCTTGGCAAATTCGAATCGCTTCGCGAGCTTTGGGATGAGGAAGAACCCCCTCTTACGTTCGACACCATCTGCCCACCCGGGTTGGAACTGGCGCCGTTTCCTGAACTTTTTACCTCGTCCTTCAACCTCTGGATGCAAAGCAAGTACCGTGCAACTTCCGAGACCCTTAAACAGGCATTGTTTGACTCTTGTGGACTGGAGGCAAACATGAAAGCGTTGCAACAACTCTACCTGATGGCTGACGGGGCGGCGGCGGACGAATTCTGCAAAGGTGTCTTTGCGCGGCTGGACGCCCTTCGTCCTGATTGGCACGACAGATACTCTTTGAGTGGGCTAGCGCAGGAGGCCTTCTCCTTGCGCGTTGACGCTACTCGGCTATTCGTCAATGTCCGGCTTGAGGGTCAGAAAAAGTCGGTTGTAGCTGCTCGCGATCTGATACGGACAGCCCTGCCAGAACTTGTCTTGCAGTATCGTCTGCCCTGGCCGGTTCAGCTGGTAGTCACCGAGGACACAATCGCTCAATATCAGGCGGTTTTTACGCTACTAATGCAAACCAGGCGCGCTGTCGGTCTTATCCAACGTAACCGGATACTTGATGAGTTGGCCTCCCGCAGAGATATCTGGGGCAGCCGAGCGCTGTACTACCTCCTTCGCTCCAAGTTGATGTGGTTTTGCAACTGTATTCAGACCTACCTGGCAACGCTGGTCCTGGCCCCTTACACGGAAACTCTGTATCGAAGTCTCCGGCAAGCCTATGACGTGGATGCTATGATCGGACTCCATGCTACTTTCGTGAAGCAGGTTGTCGACGCAGCCTGCCTCGGCAAGAAATTGGATCCCATCAGGGGTGGCATACTGGACATTATGGACTTAGCCGCGAGGCTAGAAGACGCACAGAGCGCTAGCGTCGCCGAGGAGGCGGAGGAAGCACAGGAACTATCCCGCCTTTCCATCATGTCCTCGCCGATGAAAGCAAGCCCCCGCCGGCGGAAACCAGTAGTTTACGCCGAGGATAGCGACGATGACGGTGCTATGGACTCCAGAGACAGGTCCAAAAGAGGTGCAATCAATGCAGGCAAGGCCTATCAAGAGTGCCTACAGGAGATTAAGGCGGACTTTGAGAGGCATTTAAGGTTCGTCTGTGGAGGCCTGCGAGGGGTTGCCAGGGCTACAAGCGACGAGGCCGCTGTGAAATGGGATCTTCTGGCCGAAATGTTGGAGGTGGGTATCAAGGAAGGTGCTTGAAGGCCTTACCAAACGGTAGGGGCGTGGGTGTCGACCTGAGAACTTGGTCTCAAGACCCGCAATGCCATTAGAGTTCACAAGTGCCAGGGCAGGATAGGATCGACATGGGATTCCTTGAATTGCATCCGTCGTTGAGCTGACCGGCCAACGCCAGGTGTTGTGTCACGAGGCGGCTTAACGCGTGAGTCACATGGAGTCAAACGGTCACCGACTGTAAAGCAGCAGAAGCGGTCCTGCTGTCCGGGACTCTGGCCGGCCTTGACCAACTGCTGTTGTTCCATTGTCCATTTTACAGGTGAGCGCTAGTTCAGATCGCCGCCGCTGCTCGAGTGATCACACACACACACACACACACACACACACACACATCGCAACGGGAAGTGTTCCAGACATGGTAATCATGATGCCTCGTCCATCCTGGGACACGCTCGCGACGAGGCCGCTCCTTCCAGAAGGTTTGGAAATCTGGTATCTTCCCGTCTTCACGATGCCACTCAGCGTTGATTTCCCATGTTATTGCAACAAAATGCATTAAAGCACTGCCCATCCCTGTCCGTCAGGGGACGGTGTCAATATTGCCAACTTTTTTGGTTTCTGGCCAGCCTCGAACTTGGAACAAGCAAGATCGACGGTGGGGCGTTGTAGTTGACATAGGAGTGTGAGGCCAAGGGTCCCCATATCCAACTTTTTTCCTCGTGCGGTGGGGGGGTTGCATTCTATCGAGCATAGCGGTGGCACACTGGTACACTTGCGAGGCCTGCTTTTGGTTCCCTATCCACTTCATCTCTAAGGAGCCCGGTGTCCACATCTCATCAGTTCACGGTAGCCGTCGACGTTTTGAGTTGAGGTTGCATTGGTGCCCGAGAACCAGGAAACCAGGGCGAAAGAAGAGGGACAACTTGGGAAACTGAAGCTCAAGCCAGTCTCTCATCGTTGCGCTTAATCAGGCCTGGATGGGAATAAATCTTCAACCCAGACGCATGGACAGGGAAATTAGTGGTTGTGTGTTGATGAGGCTCGTCAACTGTCGGCGCCAGGGACTTCACTCTTAAGGGGGGGGGGGTCTTTGGCGACGAGGAGGCTAGCTAGTACAGGCTCGGCAAAATCAGCGCAGCACGGTATGTCGCTTTCCAGATCGATCTGTCAATCTTCCGTATCACGAAAAAAAAACGAAAGTAAACCGGAAGATGATGTTGACAATCATGGATAAACCGTCTCATGATCGTGAAGTTTCACGGTAGCACTGCGGAACGGTTGAAGTAAAACGGATGGCAGATGGTGGCTGCTCACCGTAATTACCGGACTATTGGTTCTTCCGGCAAGCCGATAAGTCGCTATCAAACTCGGAGCCCCACCATCAGTGACATACGCCACAGCTGCGCGCTTGTTGCCTTCCACTTAGATTTCGCGACGACCTCGTTCCTTCTCTATGACAACAGTTGATTCTGACTGCGCTAAACGTTCCACCACCCCTTCGCGTCCATATTTCTCAGCCGCTTATACGATACAACTACCGTCGGTTCTTACTCTTACTTAATCAGCAGACTCGCCCAACATGTCCGAACGCAAAGTGCTCCAGAAGTACTACCCCCCGGATTTCGATCCCTCTTCTCTCACGCGCAAGCGTGGACCGAAGCAGACCGGCCCCAAGGTCCAAACAGTCCGCATCATGGCACCGTTCTCGATGAAGTGCACAACATGCGGAGAGGTAAGACTTCGAACCTCTCCAAGTGACCTTCTAAACGATACTCCGCATACTGACTGACGATGCAGTACATCTACAAGGGAAGAAAATTCAACAGCAGAAAAGAAACGAACCAAGCAGAAAGGTATCTCAACATTCAGATTCACCGCTTTCATATCAAATGCACTAGATGCTCGGCGGAAATTATCTTCAGGACGGACCCCAAGATCGCCGACTATGCCGTGGTCAAGGGCGCGCTGCGCAACATGGAGCCCTGGCGTAACAAGGAGGGTGAGAAGGAGAGTGTCGACGAAAGGCTGGACAGACTGGAGCGTGAGGAGGCCGAGGCCGCGGGCGAGGAGGAGAAGAACGCGATGGCGGACTTGGAGGCCAAGAACGAGGACGCAAGAAGGGAGATGGCGGCTGCGGACGCACTCGACGAGATTCGGCAGCGCAACGCGCGCATTCAGCGGTCAGAGAAGGACGGTATCGACTTCTCCGAGTACGTTGTACGGCCCGAGGATGAGGAGAAGGCGAGGTTGGAGAGGGAGGATGAGGAGGCCGCGAGGAGAGCGTTTGCTGCTGCGCGGGAGAGGGCCTCTCTGATGGACCTTGGGGAAGAGATTATCGATGACGATGGTGATGTCGCTGAGGCGGGAGTTAACGGCGATGCGGCTACATCATCAGGGTCAGGGGACAGGACGGAGACCGCGGAAGCGAGGGCCGTGAGGGATACTTCGACAATGCCGCCGCCACCGCCTCCGGTCAAGCGGGTGGTGAAGAAGAAGAAGGACTACTCTGCGGCGCTTGGCATCAAGAAGAAGCCGTCGCTAGTTTGAAGGAGGCGTGGCTGCAGAATTCCTGACCCCCCTAGGAGTTTTACACTCGACGGTCCCAATAAACCTAAACGTCCGGGCCCCATTCACAATGCTTCACTTGGCTCGTCGTCTGTGCGGATGCCTCCCCCCGTTTCCGAAACGCCATGCCTCGAAGTAAAATAAGCCCCAGAGTCACCAGCCCTATGCGTTTTCGAGAAGATGACGTGCAACCGCGTGAATTACGCAGCAGCTTGGGCGCAATGGCACGGAACGGTCCAACCCCCCCGCACTACGATCAAGAAACCGGGACTCGGGACGCCCATCACAAAGTCTTTCGCTTCTTTCCGGTCGTGCTCTAGGGATGCCGGCTGCGGCCTTGCCTGTGTCTATCACTATTCCTCGCCCCTCTATTTTTTATTTTTTTAATCGGCCGAGTTTACCTTCTGTCCCTTGCCCAGTAACGTCGATCACTGCCTAGGAAATACAGCGCCGTGGCTGGTTAGACTTCGGCCTTGCGTATTTTGAAAGTGCGATGATTGAAATCATCGAACCGAGACACTGATCCAAGGCGGCCCCCCGTAGGGTCGCATTGAAATCATTGAATGGCAACGACACTTAAAAGGTTCGGCGAGAACGTGCGGGCTCCCTGGGTCATTTGTCCCGTGGGACCGAAGGCCACTCCAACCGGGGCCAGGGGTACGGGCGCGTGTTGCCGGATTCGATCGACATTGATGTACAAGGATGGATGGATGGGACGCGAACTGCGAACCCGTACACAGGAGGAAAATAGACGTGATGGGGAACAGGTGTATCCTGCATAGACCGCGATGTGACTGTTTCGACCCGGGCGGACTGTCCGTCGGTCTGGGGAACCCTGACGTCAATGATGACACGATATCGTCACGGTGTAGGTACAGATTCAAGACAGAGAAAGAGAGAGAAAATGCGGAAATCGGGAGCAAAAACACCTTTCCCAGCGTCGGCTCCCGCTGCGAGCGGCGAGGGGCGACGAGGGCCAAGAAGGTCCATGGAAGATCAATTCCCCAGTGGAATATCCATCTGTTTCAGGCTGCCTTTACAGGGGAATCTATTCATGTTGAATTCACGTGGGATGAGTGATGAGCGAATTCAAACGGTGCAGAGCTAATTGTAGCGATTGAACAGCTCCTAGTATCATTCGATCTTATCATAATTCATGGACATTGCAAGCTCAACTTTTCCCTCAAGCCTTGCAACACCCGGTGGCCCGAACCCCAAACGCCTTGCAGACCAATGCCCACGGGAATAAAAACAAAAAAACAAACCTATTTATGTACAAGATTTCTCACGCCGTGTGATGCTATGTTGCCCAGATCGCCATACCAAGGTGTTTCCGACGAGCGCACACATTGTCATAAGACAGATATGCCAGTTTGCTGCGTCGTTCAACTCTTCACCACGCTAGTCGCTGTAAAATAATGTGCCAGCCATCTGTAAAGATGACGTACGAGGCATCGACCAGTGAATCACCAAACCGGTGTTGATGTTCGTACTGTTCGGATAACAATTTATGAGCTGTAGTCGGGGCTCGAAGATTCGTTGTTGTGACCGTTCATGCGGGGGTAGCTAGTGCGCCCACCGGACCTCCGCGTGGACGAACGGTTGGCAGCTTCCATCTGTCGCTTGGTGTGTTGGTGCATCGAGCGCATGTAGGTAGAGATGTCTGACGGAGGAGGAGGGGAGACGGGAATGGAGACAGAGTAGGCGTCCTGGCGAGCGGGCATGGTGGAGGGGCTCATGAGTGCGGTTTTAAGTTGAAATTGAGGTTTTTGTGAAAGAGACTCGTAAGCGTCGACTAGTTGAAATGGGCAAGGTTTTCCGAGTGCCTTAGTGGTTGTAGAGTTGAGTGTTTTAATGATGAGTGTTATGAGAGTGGTGGTAGTGATAAAAAGATGAAGCTGAAGTTGGTGGTGGATGGTGAATGAGTTGTTGAGACGGTGTGGGAGATGTTATTGTAGCTGGATGCTGATGAAACGGGAGTACTAAAATGGGTAGAAGGCAGGAATGGTCCTGGGTTTATAAAATAAAATAAAGGGGGCGAAAAGGGCCATCGCACGGCGAAGCCTTGTCGTGGAGAGCGAGGTAGGTACAAACGTAGGGTAAAGCTGGGCAAGATGGGGTGGGTTTGGCGAGCAAGCGTGCGCCCATCTGACAAAACACAGGGCCCGTCATTAGCAGGTTCGCAGCTCTAGTTCTCCCACGCCCCCCCTTCCTTTCAGATGCCTAGAGAGGCGGAGGCGGGCGGATGGAGGGGAGCACAACACACCCTCATCCGAATTGGCCCTTCTCACCCACCTCAAAGCTGCTGCATGTTCCCGCTTTGCTCAATCCGCGAGTGATCGGCGGTGGTGGACGGTGTCTTAGCGGTTGCTTAACCCCCAGGCAAAGGTCTATACCGTATGGCGTAACTGAGCCAGGGTCATGACCGAGAGACCAATCAAGCAGACAGTATGCCTTTGCCACGGACAGGGCTGATGATGCAGTGAGAGAGGTACCGGTGACACAACCACAGGGTCAGACAGGGTTGGCCCTCTTGCGAGTATGGGACTGAGCAAAGTCGATGTGGGCCGGTTGAGAACGGAAAGACCCTGCTGATCAGTGTCCAGACTGAAGTCACATACCATGTCATTATTGGCCACAGCTCTCTCTTTTGGGGAGCTGTTGAGCTTGTCGCGGGGTCGGACAAAGACAGAGGTGATCCTCTGGCGTTGGGATTGTCTGTCTGGACCGATAGGCCCTTGAAAGACGGCCGCATGAGGGGATCCTCAGACATGGCGTCACGTAGAGACGGTCAAGACAAGGACGCAAGCGAAGGGATTGTCTCGAACATGGCGCCTTCACGAGGCAAGACCGGCAATGTGTGTGTTGGACCCTTGATTTCCTAGCGCGCCCGCGAACCAAGCATCGCGTAGGATTAAAGACAAGCGCATTATCGAAAACTTGAAACCTCCCCAGAACCAATGGAGGGTTGACCCATATTGGGCTGGCCTTCCACCATATCACGTTACCGTATGTAGGTATCTTCCGCCCGGGGGATAGAAACGTGGTACCGGGGATACCTTGGAAACCCAAATTGGGCGGCAGTCGCAGACAAAGTCGACGACGGGCGATTACAAAGGGGTCCAGGTCACAAGCCAGGTTGCGCGAGAAGGATGCTGGCGGTTGTGCATGCGTGGTTTGGCACTTGACCACCAAAACTAGGCAGTGAAAAGGGGCTGTTGCCCTCTGCAATAACAAATAACAGGGCAGACTTGTGGAGGTAGCAAGGTGCGAGATCGACTGTCAGTCTTGGGTAGAGTGCTCTAGCTCGAGTAGCCAAGTGCGGGAAAAGACAGACGGCGGTGCGGCCAGGCGGCGACCAAGCAGGACTTGTCGTCAAAAGATCGGCGGGTGGAACAGACGTCATTGGCCGAAGTGCCTGTCAGCCGGACCCCGGGGTGGACGTTTGATCAAGAAGGCAGGTGGGTCTGCGACGCTGAGTCGGTCGCAGTGCGCCTCGCGTACTGCACCCCCCGACCTGCGCCAGGGTGGGGTGGGGCATACATACATAGTACGTCGTCGTCAACGACAAGGGCACGGATATCCCCCCATCTCTCAGTTTTGGGCGCCAAAATCTGAAGCCATTCGCACTATTTTGCAACTCTAGGGGCCCAGAGTCTCCACTAACAGTAATCTGTCATTGGTATGATTTCCATCTTTTGTGGAGATGCTCTCCTGATCACTGAGATACGTACCGGAGAACGTACCCGGCGGGATTTCCTAAGTTGTCTTCATGCCCACCACCAGGATGGGATGGGATTTTGTTCATTTGCCATGGCCACGAGATCTGAATTTTCGGTCCTCTTGGGCCTCAATTTCCCATCCCCCTTTTGGAAGCAACGTTAAATTCGCTCTTACTGCTCTTCTCATGGTCTAAGCGCCCCATCAGGGTGTCGGGGTTGTTTTTTTCTCTTCACTTATCGTAACCCCCCCCCCCCCCCCCCCCCCTTGCTGTCTAAACTATCACTGTCTACCACAACACTCAATCAAGCGACCCACTCAATCTAGACCATGTCGAAGCTATTCAGATACGGGTGGGAAGAATGAGCCAGGTACGTTGATAAGCAATGTTGGGACAATTCCGCCCGAACCACTGCGGAGCCGGGGAGCGGAGGAAATATGAGCGTGTGAAGCAGGGTTGCAGCTACGGTAGGCCACATTCGGCAGCGATTCGACACTCACCGAGAGATTGGTGACAGTTCTTCTTCTTCAAGTGAGAGCATTTCCACCGCTTTCGCGGGGATGGATGGATGCATCGAGGGCCCGGAAGGCCAAACGAGATCTGAAAAGAGACAGGCGCGAGTTTGCGCAAATCCCAAGCAGCCGAAACAACGGGTTAAGGCATTGATTGACGGACCCCCTTGACGGTGACGAGACAGCTGCGAGGGTGAGCTCTGACGGAAAATTCCTGGTACGTAGCACTCCGTCACGTAAGAAAGACGGGGAGGAGGGGGGGGGAGGTTGTACGCAGCGGGGGAAATGATGGAACTGTGGCAGGACGGATCCGTAGCGACTGACAGAGACACCGTTCGACAAGTGACAGACTTTCCATAGGATGTGTCAAGACGTCAAGGCTGACGGACGGAAAGACGACGATTCTTTCCTTCTCCCTCTGTGCGTCAGCTTTCCCTCTGCTAGCTACGGCCTCGCCCCCAGCTACCTACACTACACTACGTCGTGTGGTGGTTGGGTGTCGTAAGGTCTTGCCAATCAGACGCTGTGTGAAGTCACCTAGCGCCACTAATGCGGCGCCGCGTGATGTCATCCGCATCCCGGTCCGACGGTCGGCCACCCTTGTAGGCCAATCATGGCTCTGGGATGAGCGTTTTCCTCCCTCCCTACGTCTAGTAGCGTTTTGGCAAAGTGTTCCTCCCTCTTCTCAAACGCTGGATCATTCCGTCACAGGAGGGAAGGAACGACACGCGCGACGACCTCATCGCATCACACAACGACACACCGGCACTGTGCTCCCAAGTTAATCCAAACGCCCAGACCGGGTTCCACGAGGCGCGGATGGGGCACACCGGATCCATTTCTCCTCTAGATCTTCAGATTTGCACCCTTCTGGCTGGCACGCGGCTCCCGTACCCCTTTGAGGCTGTTGCTTCCCGTCATACACACACGGCCGGGCTTCCTTCACATCCCTCTTTTCCTCTTCTTTGCGCTATAATCCTTGCCACGGCTCGTATCGTGCGACCTTTGCAACCACCTTCGGAACGAGAGAGAGCCTCCTGTCGGCGTCGACGGAAGTGGCCACCCATGAAGCAATTCCCGCCACCTGCATCACTCGCTTGACTATCCACACACACTCCATAAACTCGCCTCAGCTTCAGACGGAGAACCTAGACGCGCCAAGGATCGAGACCCTGACGCTATCTGACCGGGTCCAAAGAAATTGGACGCTCGACACAATGTGATGTGAACACAGCTGTGTTTTTTTGGTGTTTGGACCGCCTCCCGTCACACGTGATGACGCCATGCCTCACCTCATCCTCATCTCCACCTGCCACTGCTACGCCCAAAGAGTCTGCGACATGAAATCAGATCTCCTTCCTTTACTTTAGTCTGGACGGATGGTCGTTGGTGGCAACATGCCCAGCAAATGGCCCCTGTATTACACCCGGCCGAAAAGGATGGCTAGAAGCCTTTCGCTCCCGCGTCCCCAACTCGGCTACAACACGAGCCACACGATAGCCTGGTAGTGAGCGAGTCGACAGGCACAATGACATCGTTGTCTGGCCCGGGATGGAGTGCTGGGCAACTGGGGAAGGAGAAGCTAGCTCCCGAAACGTCATGAATGATGTTATACCCAGAGGTAGCAGTTTCCCAAACACCTTGACCCCCTTTTTCCTGCAAATCTATCCCGGCCGATTTCTGTTGACAATGAAGGGCTGCCTGAGACCTACCCTTCGCGCACCACATTGCCCATCAAGTTCCACGCACACCGACCTCGGTGACTATACCCGGGGTAAGTCGTCGCTAAGCCACAACGGCGTTCGATGAAGGAGCAAAGAGGATAGCAACAACACCGAGCTTAATCCTGGAACTACGATGGCCAACGTGCTTCTTTCCCGCCTCTCTGCGAGGTGCTAGCGGAATCACTGCGTCCTACTCGGCTGGGCTCTCGACGAGGCGGGCTCGTTGTGACCGGGATTCTCACCAACAACCGTTTTTTTGGTGGTTGGCTGATGTTGAGCTCACGGCGATCCCATCCGTCACCATACCACGTATTTTCCTCCTGCAGTATGCGAGACCTCCCTGAATGCCTCGAGTAACGAGAGTCACGGTACGGTAAAGGCAGCTACCCGGTATTAGCCCCCTCATTTGACATCGAGATCTCGACCTGGTCCACAGTTTTGCGGATGGTCTTATGGTACGCTAAGGACTCTCGGTTACTGAAGTTCCCTCACAGTACCAGATCACCTGTGCTTTCTTTCTGTTCAGTTGTCCTTCGCCATGGGCGGTCCATATTCAAACAGTCGCCATGGTACCGGACAGATACTTGTGAGGCTAGGTTTATGTAAGATGACGGCTTCAAGTTCCCTGTGTACTCAAATTCGCCAGATCACTCTCAGCAGTGAAGTACGTTGACGCCACCTACCCCCTCGAAAGAGGACTGGTGTAGGTATAGCTGGAGCCGCAGAAGACGCTATCATGGCTCTACGAACACACCTCGATGACATCTTGGTGGATACTATCTCCGGTATCATGCAGTCATGCTTGTGGGTTCCTCGGGACTCTGTTGTAAGCTGTTCAGTTTTTAGCCTCCCCTTCGACTTACCCCTTAGCCAGTGCATATTCGAGTCGGCAGAGCAGCGCCGGCACCATCACGATGTTGCCATCGATAAACTCCATTGCCCGAAATTGTCCGAAAACGGGGGTGTTTGACGAAATATCGATCGTACGAGATTGACTTCCTAGGCAGTTTGGCAGCTCGGGAATACGACCGGTATAGGTGGCATTCATGCCGAGCATTTACTTACAGATTTGACCTGTTACCTTGTTTCCTGTCCTCATTATCCTCCTCTGTAGACGGAAGAGAGCCACGTTAATGGTACAATCACTCTTCGACGACCATTCGACAACCATTGTGGAAGCATATCGGCTGTGTATCCGTGTAAGATGGATAGGCATCATCACTTGCCGTTTCTGGATTCCCTGGCGAATCCTTATTCCATAACGCAGCAGTACAGACCTTTTGACAATCAGAGAGGGCATCATCCGCCATCGAAGCATCTTCAAGAATTTAGGGACTAAAAAGAGGTTTAGAAGACATTTGACAAAGACACGATATAGCGTGCTTCCCTAAGGCTCTACTATAAAGCACCACTTCGAATCAGCACTCGGCTTGCGGAAAACACAGCAGTATGATATGAGCATGAACGAGTCGCCCCTGAAACGTATTCGAGGCCAATCCATCAACCGTTACTTTTCAAATGTTGCAGTCACGATCCTATACTCAACAAACGGGAGAGAATACTTACTCTCCCGTTTGTTCAGTGTTATCATACATCCTTGCTACTCCGTAATCCGGCAACGCGCCATGATCTTATGTCCATGGTTTGTGTTATCAGAGAGAGAGGAAGGCTGTATCTAGTGAGAGCGTTGGGGCCATCTTCATAAACAGTATTAGGTCAAATGTCTTGTTACTGCCAAAGAAAAAAGAGAGAAAGAAAGAAAGCAAATCAATGAACAGCTAATACTATCAGCCATTTCTATTAGTTCAAGGCCGTATGCTGCCTGATTATTCGGCTAGATTCCGGCTTCTGCAACATCTATCTACTCCGAGATGAGTATAGGGGGGCCTTTCCATGAGTTTTCCTTCTCGTATACCTACCGAGAGTGATTCGAGTCTCTATTTTGGGTCCCAGCTACATTTTCTATGTGAGTTCAGAGAGCGAGAGAGATATTTCCGTGTTTTTTTTTTCATACCATTCCGTCTCGCTCACCAAGCCATCAGATATCTCATCTTTCCAAAGCCACAATCTATGTTTCATTGGCCAAGATTCATTACGTGATTCCAGTACGCAATGAGTGGTAAGCACTTGCTGCCCGATGCTTTGTCGAATGATAGTTCGAAGGGTATTTGTTCTAAGCTATTTGATGGTTGGCGCTCGCTGGCGCAGGTGATGCTTGCATCATAGGAAGGATGTAGCCCCCCCGTTGCCAGTTGAAGAGGCTGCCCCGCCGGCAGCTCTGGCCGTGTAAGCGGCGGGCGCATCTATTCCTGCCTCATCCAACTTCACCCCTCCGAGTGACACACAACCCAACCTTCTCCTCTATGGCCACGCGGATGGGTCCTTCGGATGAAACTTGGCCCATCGAACATGACACGGTATCTTGAACTTTGCCCACATGGGATGCGCTCCTGGGATGCTCGCCGGATCACCCTGTTGACAAAAAAAGATTGCATACTTTAACACTGCCCATACTGTGGGAGTGGTGTGGGAAAGTACTTAAGGTGTGCCGCCTTTTTCGTCAGCCAGATGTCGATGTGGAGAGGGCAGGCATGGTATCGGCCGCCCGGCGGCGTCCATTCAAGTGCTTCCGTTCCCAGACAGCCATCTGCGCCGGATAAGCCCGAGACTCGTTCAACGACTGGGTAGACGAGATAACAGTGAAGGAAAGAGGACGGTGATTCTCGTCTGGTTCTGCTATGAGGCCCTTGCGTCTTCCTTTGACGACTACCCGACATGTAGACGATCTGTTGCTGGTCCCCCGCCCACCCCGCCCTAACGATGTTTGAAGGCGGGTGTGCGATACATCGAAAGACATCCTGGAAGCGCAAGCTGAACGGCACCCTCTGGGTATTCCGACGTCCCACCTCCATCTTGTTGGCAGCCCGGCACCGAAACACCACAGGGTTCTCGCAGTTCAACAATGGGCTCATCTGCCCAACGGGCCTGAGGACTCATCCTGACACACAGAGTATACGAGTGATGGTGCTCGGGCGGGAGACACCATACGGTTGATTGTGTTGTCGATCGCTGCATGCATATAAATCACTCGAGAGGCGGTGGTTGCAGTTCGGCTCATGTCAGAACACGGAGGGAAGGGCGTTCACCGACTGCGCCGAGGACCGACGATCAGTCTTGTAGACTCGTCTGGTTGGCCTCGAGGGGAGACGCCCTCAAATAGGCGCTAGGGACTCAAAACCAACGTTCTTTGTTTGACTGATATTTGGCGACAACCCCATACATACCACGGTATGCACTCTGCGCGCGGGTCTTGCGCGGCCGCTGATGTATTACAAGGCAGCAATCACGGGTCAAAAGACCATTGCTTGACTCGGATAAACAGCTGGTCATTGTCCGTGCCCTTGGTTTAGTAACAGTTAAAGTTGTGGATCCTCATCCGGATTCATCAGATACCCCCAAGTGTTAGACTTTCACTCTCCAATCTCTAATTGTAATAGCGAAACGTGACGGTCACACATCAAGGCGGACCGCCGATGAGCAGCAACCCTGCCTTGGCACCCTCAAGTATTTTTTTCGGTCTGGTCTCTGTAAAAGTGCGCGGTCGTGAGAGCTTTCAGATGGCATCCTCGTTTGGGTTATATGTGTGCCCACGGAGGCCATTAGCGAGGGAAAAGAATCTCCGTGGTTCCGGAAGCCGAGCATCGGAAACAAAAGGCCGTTGTTTCATGCGGTCTATTGCTGGTGGTAGGGCTGTCCCAGCCGCAGCGCCATCATATCCCCCCCTCCCCCCAGAAGGGCGGCCAGAACTCTCCGTTTATAATCTCTAGACCTTAAGAGAGATAGACAGCCTTGCAACCATACCTTAGTTTCTGACCTCTGGTTTGCAGCAAAACTTGCTGGGGTCATGGGATTACAACTGGAAGCCATCGACAAGAACACGCCATTGTTTGAATATGAACAATGCAGTTTTTGGCTGGTCGTCGACGGATTGCCCTCTACGACTACGAATACTACAAGCAGCGCGAATAGAACACACAGACCCCGGACTAAGTCAAGAAACTATGCCGACGTCGCACAAGCATCCCATCTTACGTGTCTCCCAGCGAGAAGAATCGCCAAGCTTTGTTTGTATAGATTTCGCCAAGGAACCCAAGCATCAATGTTTCAATCAGAGGGGAGGGGGATGGGAGGCCCATCAACGACGTGTTCCATGGAAACATGCTCGACGCTGCGCATGGTTGGCCCGCAAGGGAACAAGCTTCGTTCCGAGGAACCTACGTCAGGCCAGGAACAACAAGGAGGGCTGGTTTTCTTTAAATTTTGTAGAGCCTCGTAAACTCGGCTTCGGGAGTGGCGGCTTAGACCTGTTCGGATTCGTTCATTTGCATGAAGCAGGTACAGGCCCCCTCCCCCCTCCCACCCAACCTGCATTTCTCAAGAGTCACCAGGAAGAGGGTGGTGGTCGCGGCCAATGCTTCATGCAGCATGCACTTACGCTTGTAACAACAGTGCTGAGGCCGTGTTTCATCTTCGGTCGAAAATGTTTCCGCGCCCACGGATGACCCCGAAGTTATAGTTGAGGCGAAATAAGAACCAAAGGGCGCCCTAGAAATGCCTTATCGGGTCGCCCTCCATTAGGCGGTGGTCGTATGATCAAAACTGTCTTCCCTCCCTGTTAAACGAGATAGAGGACGGAATCCGTTGGTGTGCTTGTTTTCTTCTCCTATATCCCTTCTTTTTCACTTTCGATTCTAACTGAGCAGCGACTTTTCACTACTCTACACTCATTCCAGATTACTGTTATTTTAATGATGCTGTACAAGGCCATTGCTGTACTGGCGGCGGCGACGTTGACGTCGGCCGCCACCCCCAACGGCTTCATGCCCACCTCGCAGACCCCTCTCATCGTCTCTTTCGGAGGCATCTCGGCGCTGGATGGCGCGAACCTACCTAGAGACTGTAAGCGTCCAGATAGACAGGACCGAACGAATGAAGGACGGACAAGCGGTCTGACTCGTGATTAATAGCTAGCCAAGTTCAACCCACGATCGCAACGCAGACGCAGCTGAAGGGACAGTACGCGGTGATAATGGTGGATATCGACGTCCCGACCAACCAGCCGCCGAGGACGGGCACTCTCCTCCACTGGATGCAGACGGGCCTGATGTCCTCCGACGCGCCCGTGACGCTCAACACGACTGCCGGGCCGGAGAAGGTCTACATCCTGCAGAACAAGATGAATGCGGCGGCTCTCGCGCCGTACATCGGCCCCAACCCGCCGGCGAGGGAGCCCCTGAGCCACAGGTACACCCTCGTCGTCGTCGACCACACCACGATCACGCAGCAGGGCCTCACGGCCCTCTCGGGCGCCGCCCAGAACCGCCGCGACTTCAACGTCATGAACGGCCTGATGGCCGCCGGGCTTCAGGACAAGGTCGTTGCCGGCGACTTCTTCCGCGTCACTAACCCCGGGCCCGTTGGTGCCGGACAGGGTTTACCCTCAGGAGGCGGCACTAAGGTTAACAGCACCATGTCCATGCAGCCGATGCCGAAGCCCACATCCTCTGGCACTCCCACGATGCCCGGTATGCCCGGTATGCCCGGTATGCCCCCAGGAATGAGCATGCCTCCAGGAATGAGCATGCCCTCCGGAATGAGCATGCCCCCCGGAATGACGATGCCCCCGGGAATGACGATGCCCCCGGGAATGACGATGCCTCCGGGGATGTCGATGCCTCCGGGGATGTCGATGCCTCCGGGCATGTCAATGCCCATGCCCGGCACCACCGCGCCGTCATCGGGAAGCGCTCTGCCGTCGGGCCCCGCTCGCGCAGGTGCTCTCAGCCTCGGCTCGGGTCTCGGCCTTGTTTCCGTAGGTTTGTGTCTGGTTGGCTCGCTGGTTATTTTGTTGTAAACTACGCTCTGTACAACAGTCTAGGCGCTGGATCGGGAAGTAGGGTTGCTGTAAGGGTTCGTGAAAGAGACCTAAATGTATCTTTGTTCCTTTCTGGCCGGCGATTGAACCCGGGGTCTTGAAGAATGGATGCCAGAAGTACATAGTGTAGAGCAGCATGTCGATACAACCAAAAAAAAAAAAGGAAAAAAAAAACCCCCAAGTTCATACGCGACACGAAAAAGGCCTCTCGTCCCGTGTTAATGACCTGCCCCGTTGGAGAGCCACCCAATCGTGCCACCTTAGTCTGGATGAGCTACTTAGACCTGCTCAATGACATCCCGATACACCCGCCGAACGATGAGTCCGTGTGAAGGATCGGCGCAAGTGCCAACACCACGGGCAAGCGGGGCTCGAGACGCCGCCCGCCGGGGGGGGAAGGTCAGGATGATGCTGGTGAGATTTCTCTGGACCCGGCAGGGAAAACGGAGCAGATCGATCTGTAAATTGGCGTCTACCGGCGATGACTCCCGGCAGTCCAGGCGGAGAAACTCCCCTCCACCCGACCAGGCATACTCCGCGTCACGTGCTCTCGTCACGCCCTGCCGCTGTTGCACCCCACCCCCGTCTCGACCTGCCTCTACCAAGAACAAAGCTTGTGAGACTGGGGTACCTAGATACATGTCACCGCTAGCTGGAAAAGTCCGCTCCGCAGCGCGCGCGCCAGCGCGCATAGGTACTACACCCGCTAGTCTTTCCTTGCGGAGTGGCTTTTTAGACACAGAAACGCCAATTGGGGCGCCGGCGGATGTCTTCAGTATGGCGCTGTTTAATCCGTGTTCCGTCGCGAGCGGCTGCTCCGTAATACGGATAGACATACACGATATGCTATCGAAACCTTAACGTTTGGCCGCGCTACACAGCGGCGCAAGTCCGCGACGGGGATCTAGGGGGAGTGATTGAGCATGCCGTGCTCTAGCGGGATGCCACTCAGGGTCAGGTTTGTATAAAGCAATTGCATCCCGACCCGTGAGTTCTGCTTCTTGGGGATTGCCACAGACAAAGTGCGAACCGACAGCCCATCCAGAGCTACGAGCTTCTCACGATTACAGCCCACACGTTTCGAAACGTATCGGAAACCCAGAACCCAGCACATTTCACAGGGCCAAACAATTGTCGAAGCAACACAACCCATCGAGCTTCCCGTGGTGCCGAGGTGCCGAGGTGTCGCTTTTAAAAATAAACACACCACACCACCCTTCAATACCTAGTAGCAAAGCCCAATCGCCATCATCAAAAACAAAGATGCCTACTCTCGTGGTTCTCGGCGCCGGCATGGCCGGCCTGCCCATTGCCCACCACGTCTTGAAGCACACATCTCCACTGGTCAAGGACCTCAAGGTCATCCTGGTGACGCCCAACTCTGAACAGTAAGCGTTGCGCCCAGCCGCCGTTACATGCAAGGCTTCAATTCACTTACACACCCGCCTCCCTAGCTACTGGAAGTTCGCTTCCGTCCGCGGCGTCGTCCCCGGCCAGTTCGGCGACGACTTGCTCTTCCAGCCCATCGCGCCCGGGTTCGCCCAGTACCCCCAGGAGAGCTACGAACTCGTCTTCGGCAAGGCCGAGACGCTCAGCGCGGACAAGAACACCGTCGTTGTCGTCACCAACGACGGCGCCCGTCGGACCATCGCCTACGACGCCGTCGTTATCGCCACGGGCACCCGTGCCAAGGAGGACATGCCGTGGAAGGAACTCGACACCACGGAGGAGACCAAACGGGCCCTTAGCAGCATCCGCCAGCAACTCGCCGACGCCAAGACCATCGTCGTCGCCGGCGGCGGCATTACCGGCGCTGAGACAGTCGGCGAGATCGGCTTCGAGTACAACGGCAAGAAGGACGTCTACTTCGTCTTCCACGACGACCTGCCCCTCGGCGACCCCTTTATCCAGAGCGTCCGCAAGTCTGTGCTCAACGAGCTGCATAGGATGAAGGTCAAGACGATCCCCAACACCAAAGTCACGAGCGTGAGCACTGGACCCGACGGACGCAAGACCCTCCAGCTCACGGACAAGAGCGGTCAGACCACGACCCTCGAGACGGACACATACATCCCTACCGTTGGCAGCATCCCCAACACGTCGTTCCTGCCGGCGAGCATGCTGGACGCGCAGGGCTACGTGAACCAGGACGCGAGCCTGCGCGTTCCGGGCCACGACAACATCTTTGTCGTGGGCGACGTGGGCAACCTCGAGCCCGGGTACGGACGCATTGCGGATCTGCAGACGCAGCACGCGGTCAAGAGCATCCAGGCGCAGCTCACGGGTGCGCCGAGGCCGGCCGACTATGTCGCCGACACCAAGGTCCTCGCCGGCATCACGCTCGGGCGGAGCAGGGCAACGGGCCAGATGGGCACCTGGAAGCTTCCGAGTCTCGCCATCTGGCTGTTCAAGGGACGATACATCGGCACCGACTACTCCAAGGACTTCGTCGCCGGCAAGAGGTCCTTGGCCGTAAAGAACTGGTGAGGAGGCTGCGCTCTATGACAAGTGGGTAAAATCCGGGTGTTTTCAGCGCTTTAGATGCTGCGGTGGATAGGGCGGCCCTATTCCATCCTGAGATTAGGTACAGTCTCCCGGCCTGGCTTGTGTTTATTTTTTTGGTGCTTGGGTCGCATCGGGAATAGATTTCTTGATCCTGTCTTATATGGGTCGGGTGTTTATCCATGGGTAAACTAAATCGGGTAGAATACCTTGCAATCTTAACTTCATGAGGCTTGAGCATGCTGTGTAGCCCTGATTCAACCCTGGTGATGTGAGACTCGCAACAGGACGGTGAAGGTAGAGAGTGGGACACTGTGGATACCTGTGAAAACTCAGCACACTTATACAGTGCCAATTGACGGAGGAATCGCTGGCGGGCCACACGGTAAGGGGCTGACCGCCCTTCCCAACGCGGACTAGCGCCGAATTCCGGCAGCTTCAAAATGGCGGCGCGCGAACGAAATTTCTTTTTCCCTTTCTTCTTCTTTTTCTTTTCCTTAGATCAAAAAGTAACCCAGAGCTGCCACGACCTACACCCAGTCTTTATCCACGGTGTCGAGTTGCCTTTTCCCCTCCTCGGAGGGGATCGCTCTGCAGATTAAAATCCCTTGATTATAGGAAGTCTCCTCCCAGGCCCTCTCGGGCGGTGGGTGAGTGATGCTGTTGATGGGGGACATGCCTACGCGCATGACCGACTTGCTTATTTATAATATCGCTCCAAACTATTGGTGAATGTTGGAACACGGACAAATGCGAGACCGTGCCCGTCAAGATGGCTGGTGGCGATGGCCCTTATCCAACAGTGCCGCCGACATCCATCGGCTCGGAATCGACTTTGGGGACTCGTGAGGCACACAAGGCTCGACACGGCAGCGCTGGCTCACCGTGAGGTCCGATGCGGCACATGTAGCCCGCGACGAACCATATTTGACTCGTGAGACACCGCCTCATCAACACCCTCAATCACAGGCCGTTGTTGCGCTCTAGCTTCAAATTCAGGCGAGTTGTGATGCGAACCTGGCCCACAGTCTTGGACCGGTCACTACTTCAACCTTCATCACCTGCAACGCCATCGCCGTGTTAGCCCCATCACGCTTACACCATCACCAAATTTTGCACCGGGTCACCGTCCGAGTTCAAAGATCATAGCCATCCCCCTGGCTTCGTTGAGACCACCGTCTACTGCAAGCCCTGCGTCTGGAAGAACATCCCCATTCTCTGCTCCATTCCGGCCCCAACCGCCAATGTGGACATCAACGGCAACGGCGTGACCGCGGGCGCCTACGGCGGCTACGGCTCATACGACCAGGTTGCGCCTGCACAGCCCGGCCAGCCCGGTGCTCCTGGCACCGCTGGTGCCCCCGGTGGCGCCCCGGCGCTAACTCTACTAGGCCATCAACGGTCGCCGCCGCCTCCGTACCGTCTCTCAAGAGGGGCCTCGGTGTCCTTTGCGGTATTGGATCATCATCAGTTGTGTTATGCATTTGGCGGCATTCGTGAGCAACTTGTGTCCCTTGGTTGGCATGGGTAACCAAACGGCCATCAGTTGTTGAGTTTGTCGTCAAACGGGATATTTAAATTCAAGTAGAATACAGACTTCCTCGGGCGGTTTCCTGTTTCTTCCTCCTCACCTTTGTCCCTGATTCCAGGCTTTTGTGAAAGTAGGGGGGTTGTCGGAGTCTTTATTCAAGATGCGCTATGTATAAAGTGTATCCCCGCCAAGCATTTGACATACCTGGACGATGGGATGACATCGAGGGATGTAGAGTGCCAAGCCGACTTCGTTTCGTCGTATGGGCGCGTGCTTGTGTGAAATCATACCCAAATAATGCCAATCCAATGACAGCCCATTCAAGCCGTGGTGTCCTTGGGAACTGGCGGTTCCCAGTCGCGTTTCGTGCTCATTGAAGCAAGCCGTCCTCTCCCTTGCTACGGTGCTGTTGCCGAATGAACTCTTCGACCTGGGTGTCGTCGTAGGGCCGTTCTGGGGGTCCAGGAATTCCAGGCCGCGATACCTTCTCACCTCTCTCCTCCTGCGGATGTCCAAGGATATTGGCGACGGCTGGGATGTACTGTGTCACTTGTTTCGAAACGTCGATAAGCTGCACGGAACCATACACGGAGAAAAACAGGGAGCCTTGGGTTGTATTACGGTGCAGTGAGAATATTGATGGTTTGATGCTGTGGACATGAGACGCAGAGAGAATGAGTCTGGTACATACCTTTCTCAATGATTGGGTTCTGATTGGGCTCGTCGTCGGGTTTCCGAGCATCGTGGGCGGCCTGATCCAGCTTTTGCTTGAAGGACACCTCACGATCCTTGTTCTGGATCTTCGGCTCGGGCGCAAATCGGGAGGTGGGGTCCGCGGACATATTGATCTGTGGCTATGCTGGCGACTGATAGTGTGGTGGCGGGGCTCAGCGGCGATGATCGTATGTCTTCAACGTTGTAAAGTCAAGACGGAGGAGGATGGTGTTAATGGGATGTGGAGCGCCACAGAGATAGACAGGACGATAGGTAGTGACAGAAATGGGTTGATTCTTGATATACAGGTTTAACAGCGATGGATTAAGTTCATTGATTGTGGCTGAGTATCAGGCATCGATGGGCCAGAAGGTGAGATAGAAGGGGGAAATAAGCCTGGCAGGGCTGGGCTGGGGTTGGGGCTACTTCTAGTAATATTCAGTTCATCCCAGCGTGGCACGATGGACGGCAAGGGTCCGGATGCAGGACCGCGCGTCCAGTCCCGGATTATGATCGCATAGGTCTGGGCGGGCTTGCTCCGGCAGAGGGGGTGGCTCTCTGGGGCTGATATGGACCTGCTGTTCTCGCCTACCAACCCGTGGATGAAGCCAAGGTGGGTGGCAGTGGTGTGGTGCTTTGCTTGCTTGCTTGTCAAAGAATGATGCAGGAAAAGGTGATGTGAGGCCCCCGCAAATTGGGACCAGTGACGTCAAAACCGCTTAGCTCGGCATTGCAGTCCCCTTGGCTGCCCGCTAAGATAACCTTAAACACCCCCTAGGTCACTGGAGGATGTATTATTACGTCTTATCGGCCTCTGACCGCCCAAAAACCCCTCCATCCCGCACCGCCGCGTAGCAGCCCGTTTTCTCGGCGGCGGCGCGGCGGCATTTTCCTCAACCTAAAATTTCAAGTTTACCTATGTGATCTGATATCGTCTCAACATAACCCATCGAAGCTTTGACATCGCCTCTCGCCGCAACATTGTGTTCGTTCAATATTAGTGTAGATTCTCTGCCGCCCAGTCTTTTTTCTTTTTCTTTTTTTTTCTCTTTGCACCCTGCCCACCATGGCGCCGATTCCCATCACCATCATCACCGGCTTCCTCGGTTCCGGTAAGACGACGCTGATCCTCAACCTCCTCCCCCAGCTCAAGGCCGCAAACCCGTCGTATAAGCTCGCCCTCCTAAAGAACGAGTTCGGTGACCTGGCAGTCGACTCACAGCTGGCCTCCTCCAACGCCATCTCGGGCGTGCAGGAGCTCCTCAACGGCTGCATCTGCTGCAACCTCGTCGGCCAGCTGAGTGTCGCCCTCGCCGAGTTGCACTCGACCGTCCGCCCGGATCGCATTGTAATCGAGACAAGTGGCTCCGCCTTCCCCGCAACCCTGGCCCTCGAGGTCAATCGCCTCGCCCGCGAGACGGGCAACTATACCCTCGACGGAGTCGTCAGTGTCATCGATACGGAGAACTGGAAGGGCTACGAGGACACAAGCTACACGGCGCGCATCCAAGCCAAGTATACGGACCTGATCGTCTTCAACAAGTGGGAGCTGTGTTCCGAGGACCGCTTTGATGAGGTCCTCGACCGGGTTGGCGATCTTGAGGTCGACATCCCGTGGGTCAAGAGCAAGAAGGGCTGGGTTGGCGCCGACCTCGTCTTTGGCGTAGATGGCGGTCTCGCCCAGGGCTTGACGGAGGACCACGCACACGATCACGACCACAAGGGAGATTACCACTCGCACGACCACCAGACAGAGGTCGAGGTTTTGTCGGTTGAGCTAAAAGGGCCCAAAGATGCTGCCGTCAACGCGGACAAGCTGCAGAGCCTCCTGCGCGCGGCGCCGAAGGACGAGGTGTACCGTATCAAGGCTGTTCTGACGGCGTCGTCGACCGTCAGAGACTCCGACGAAGACGCCCAGATCCCCACACCGCCCCACCCCAAGTCGCGGTATATCCTCAACTGGGCGTTTGGCCGCTGGACATTCACCCCTCTTACGGAGGGCAGTGCCGAGCACGTTTCCAGTCAAGGGACTCTTCTGCGTATGACGATGATTCTAGGGCGGTATGAGAGCAACAAGTGGAAGAAGAAGCTCGAGACGGGCTCGTTCTTGGAGGTCGAGGGTGGCGAGGGCGAGTTGGTGGTTTCGAAGATTCTATGAAGACATGAGCAGACGAACGAATATAGATATAGAAAGAGCTGCGACACATGAGGCGCATTAAGTAATGTCCGAGGTTCGGGGAGCAGGCATCGATATTACAATGCGAAAGTAGCATGGCCAAGAGGGCAAGAATTTCATTCTAGACAGATCTTTAGTAGAGTTATGAAAGCATCTAGATTTCCAAAGCTGCTCCTGTAGGTGGTCTTCAGGTAAGCACGATTTTGGCACACCCACATATACACACACACATACATGTCAAAGTGCAGTCGTCTGTTCCTCGTCAATCAGTCTGTGGCATCTGTTTTGTAGGACCATTCAGTTAATCTCAAGCATTAATGCTATTAGATAGAGACGGGCGAAGAAGGGAATACAGAGGGGCTGGCAAATAATGATCTGTTTTCTAATTTTCTATCTTGTACAGAGCGATGGGTATCTTACATGCTTCTTTACACCTTTAGACTACAAAGTTGACGGTCTTACCACCACGGGCCACAATGACTCTTTTCGGCGATCTCACGTCGAACTGGCCTCCGGTAAACTTGGCCTTGCCCTCCTCCGACTTCAGAACCTCAGCCACCATCCACTCCCGTAATGCCTCGCCCTCCAGACCCGAAGGAGGATTAGGTACCTCGACGACACCGCGCAGCTTTCCATTGATCTGGACAGCCAGAGGTTGCGTGCGGGGCTTCAGCAACGATGCGGTGTTATCATTCACAGGGAAAGTAGCGGATTGGAAAATGGAGCCGGAGTTGGGGTAGAGAATGCTCCAACACTCTTCAGATACCGCAGGGGCAACAGGGGCCATCATCCGAAGTAGAACCGACATGGCCTCTCGCTGGATAAGCGCACTTGCTTTGGTATTGTCCAAGAGCGTATTTGTCAGACTCATAAGGTCTGAAATGATGGTGTTCATGGAGTACACAGTCTCGTAGGACTGAGTAATAGAGTTGATGGTGTTTTGAACGGCTCGCCAGATGGCAGCGTCAGCATCCCAAGCGGCGAGCTCGTCCTCGTTCATAGAGGACAAGTTGCCTGACCGCTCCTCAAGGTATGTTGCAACAGACTTCTCCTCGGTTGGGGTCTTCTGAAGGCTGGCCGCGTGATCACATAGCCTCTGGAGCCAACGTGTAACACCAGCGATCTTGCTCTCATCCCAGTTGAGGATGTCGCTTACAGGCGCCTGGAAGAGAATGTGAGCTCGTGTCGCATCAGCGCCGTATTTGGAGATAAACTCGGTGGGATCAACTCCGTTGTACTTGGATTTGGACATCTTCTCGAACGACACGTTTGCCGTGGCTCCTGTTGCCACAACCTTGGGATTCGACGGATCTTTCAAGTCAACCTCGTCTGGCTTGAGAAACTTTCCCGACTTGGGGTCAGTGTACGTTTTGCCGTGCACCATGCCCTGCGTAATGAGTCTCTTGAAAGGCTCATGGACAGTGTCGGCTTCGCCTGAGCTAGGGAACAGCGGCGTGGTGGCCAGGAACTTGTAGATGAACCTGGCATAAAGTAAGTGCAGGATGGCATGCTCGATGCCACCAATGTACAAGTCCACGGGCAAGGCCTTTGCAGCTTCGGCAGATAGGGGTTCCGATGCATTGTGAGGATCCACGAAGCGCGCGTAGTACCAACTCGAGTCCACAAAGGTATCCATGGTATCGGTGTCGCGCTTGGCATGGCCACCGCACTTGGGGCAGCTGGTATTGACCCATTGCTCTGCTCTTTCTAAGGGGTTGCCAGCTTGACCATTCGTCCAATGGTCGCCAACGTCAGGCAGGGTAACCGGCAGCTGGTCATCTGGAACAGGAACCGGTCCACAGGAACCGCAGTGAACAATGGGAATCGGCGTTCCCCAGTAGCGCTGGCGACTGATCAGCCAGTCTCTCAATCTCCATTTCTCGACCGGCTTAGCCAGTTCGGCCGCCTCAAGCATGGCGATGAGTATTTGGCCCGCCTGTTCGGAGGACTTTCCCTTGAAGGGCCCGCCGGCAGCTGTCATAACACCATGCTCAACAAATGGGTTATTCGCCATCGCGGACGTTGTATCGTCCTCTGATGCCGCAATCACGAACCTTACGGGTTCGTTGTAGTGGTGTTCCTTCCAGAAAGCGTTGTCTCTCAGATCATGGCCTGGAACACCCATGACAGCGCCTTCGCCATAGTCCCCGAGTACATACGGCGCGACGTACACAGGGATAGACTTCTTGCTGTCGTCGGGGGTATCTTCGTGGTATGCCAGAGGATTGATAGCCCTCACGTGTGGTAACATATAACCGACCTTGGAGTCGCGAGGTAGTCCTGGTAAGGTATCCAGGAAAGCCTGCAGCTCGGGATCATCCTTCGCCAGTTGGGAGACGATGGGATGTGTCGAGGCCAGTGCAATATACTGGACTCCGAAGAGCGTATCTGGCCGCGTCGTGAAGACCTCAATGCCTGCATGAATATCATGACCCATGGCCATGACTGGGAACTTGATGACGGCACCAGTCGACTTGCCAAGCCAGTTCTTCTGCATGGCTAGGACTCTCTCGGGCCAAGATTCGTCCTTGGCAAGGGTGTCCAAATCCTTTAGCAACGCTTCTCTAAACTCGGAAATACGGAAGAACCATTGCTTGAGCTGCCGCTTCTCGACCTTGGCACCGGATCTCCAGGAGCACCCGTTGGCGTCGACTTGCTCGTTCGCCAGCACCGTCATATCAACGGGGTCATAGTTGACCTCAGCTTCGGCCTGGTAGGCTAAGCCACGCTCGAGCATCATCAGGAAAAGCTTCTGGGTGTGCTTATAGAAGTCGGGATCACAAGTGGTCAATTCCTGAAAGACGGTGTCAGCCAGAACAGGACAAAGAACCCGGAAAACAAACCCTATCCCAGTTCCAATTGCCATTCATGACCTCTAGTTGTTCCTTCATCTTGACAATATTGCTCTTGGTCCATGCCGCGGGGGCAACGCCACGATCGATGGCCGCGTTCTCAGCAGGGAGGCCGAATGCGTCCCACCCCATTGGCAGCATGACACGGGATCCCTGCATCGTGTGGTATCGAGCGAGGACGTCGGCGATCGTGTATACGCGAAGATGGCCAAGGTGCAATGTGCCAGACGGGTATGGGAACATCGGGAGCACATACTTGTTAGGCTTGCTGGAGGCATCTTCGGAGGTAGGCGCTTTGGAAGCTTCCCACTGCTGGCGCCATTTCTTGTCGAGGGCAGGAAAGTCGAGCTTGGTGTCTGCGTAGCTTCGTCGCTGCGTGGCTTGAGCGAGATATGGGCTTGTAAACGGCTGAGACGGTCGTGTAGCTAGGATCGGGGAAGCTCGTGCAGCTTTGGCAAAGGTCGCGATGGCCCGCGATGGCCACACACGGCCAATGTGTTTCGCGTGAATCAATTGCATTGGTATGGTGTTGTTGACATGATCGGTAGGGAGTCGTGGACGGTGGAGGTCAAGAACGAGGTTGGAGTCATACGACGGCCTCACGCTATCGTGGGTTTGAAGCGGAGGAAATCAGTCGTCGCGTTTACAGTTGCAGCTCCATCAAAAACGGAGAGCTCTCTCAAAACCCCTGCAGCTCCGCCGTCACTCTGCGGAATTTTAGTGGCAGATGATCCTGCAGGGAAGCGTCATTTGTTCCGCGCCACCCCTGGCACATATCATGGGCAGGTGTGACAGCAATCGACTGACGCCAATCATACTGAGTAGACAGGAGCATTTTGTCTGTGCATCAGTATTCTTTTAGGATTTTCTGCTGTCCTGCTGTACGCAAAGCCTCACGAACCACAACTGCAGTCTAATGGGTGACCGCCCACGTTAATTAGCATTTAGTGCAAGTAAGTCAAGGGGTTCCTTCTCCAGGGCAACCTGGCCAGGAAGAGGGGCCAGCGGAATAACTAAAAACCGCAGGAGACCGATTTAGACACTGTGTGCTACCGCTTGTAGCCGCATCCAAAAGGTGACATCCGAAGTCTCAGGCACAGTACGTGCTGCCACTTCCCAAAAAACTGCCCCGCCAAAATCATTTCAATGTCTCAATTCTTCATAGGTATGCACTACTAGGGAATGAACGCCGGCGCAAGCAAGCCAATCAAGTAAAATCCTTGCCTATTGACATAATCAACGTTCCTTCTTTGAGCTTGCTGTGAGCCCTTTGCTCAATTTGTCTTGTCCACTATTCCTAACCCTCGAGCTCCTCACGTCACTTGCCTGCCAGCCGGTATCAAATTCTCAGACTCAACCCCCCACCTTACCCCTCCATCGAAATCGGACAACTGCAATAAAGGAACTCGGTCCGGCTCTTTTGAGGGTCCCTTCTCTGGTCCTGTCCAAGGAAGACGACGCTACCATTTCACCATATCATCAGAGAATCCTAGTCAAGAGTCCAGGTTCCGACTACTCCATATAAAATGGAGAAGATTACAGACAAGATCGCCGCTTTGCCGGCAAACGCCAACTACTTTTCCTTGGAGTTCTTCCCGCCTAAGACGGCAATGGGTCTCTCCAACCTCCGCGTCCGTCTGGACAGAATGGAAAGGGCGCTGCGGCCGCTCTTTGTTAATGTCACCTGGGGAGCCGGCGGATCTACCTCAACAAAGTCCCTGGAACTGGCCGAGATCTGTCAAAGGGAGCTCGGTCTCACGACTTGTCTTCACCTAACATGCACAAACATGAGCCGCAAGCTCATTGATAAGGCCCTTGAAGACGCAAAGGCACTGGGAATTCGGAACATCCTGGCTCTCAGAGGCGACCCGCCTCGGAAGAGTGAATACCGCGATGCTGAGGACTCTGATGTGGATGATGCCGAAGACTTCGTCTGGGCCGCTGACCTTGTCAGGTACATCCGCAAGAGCTACGGCGACTATTTCTGTATAGGTGTTGCGGCGTATCCCGAGGGACACGCGGACGAGAGTCACCCCCTAGGACAGAGCTTCGAGCATGACCTGCCCTATCTGGTTGAGAAGGTCCAGGCCGGCGCTGACTTCATCATGACCCAACTCTTCTTCGACATCAAGGCCTACGATGAGTTTGAGAAGATTCTCAAAGAACACCCTAGCGGCGCATTCAGGGACATCGTTATCCTCCCCGGCCTGATGCCGATCCAGAGTTACCAGATGATCAAGCGAACGACGAAGCTCAGCCACGCCAAAATCCCCGACAACCTCATGGCCCGCCTGGACGCGGTCAAGGGTGACGACGAGAAGGTCAAGCAGGTTGGCGTAGACATTCTCAGCGAGCTCGTAGAACAAGTCAAGGAGGTCAAGAGCAGGACGCCTGGCCCCAAGGGCTTCCACTTCTACACTCTCAACCTCGAAAAGGCCGTCTCCTTCATCCTTGAGAGAACAGGCCTCATCCCCGATCACAGTCTTGAGGACGAGGAAGCTGTGATTGACGACGGCCCGGGCGTTCCTGTATCCATCCCAGAGGTCCAGCTTAACGGCCTGGCCCCGATCCACCCTGCCGCGCGTGCACTGTCCGGGCGCCGACATTCGTCTATGGGCTCATCGGACCCCCACAACCGCATCATCGTCCCCTCGGCCTCGAACCCCGCCTACGAGACGACGGCGGTCGAGCTCTCGAGTACGGAGCCCGTCAACACGCGCGCCAACACCCTCGCCATCTCAGAAGGCGTCGGCGCCGTCGGCCGCGAGGCGACGTGGGATGACTTCCCCAACGGCCGCTGGGGTGATGCCCGCTCCCCAGCTTACGGTGAGATCGACGGCTACGGCGTCAGCCTGCACATGTCTGTGACGCAGGCTGTTCGCCTCTGGGGCACACCCAAGACGGTTCAGGACATCAACAACATTTTCATCCGTCACATCAAGGGCCAACTCAGCGCCATTCCCTGGTCCGAGGAGGAGCTCCTCCCAGAGTCCAACATCATCCAGCAGGAGCTCCTCGAGCTTAACACTCGCGGGTGGTGGACCGTCGCCTCCCAGCCCGCCGTCAATGGCATCCCGTCGCGCGACCCGACCTTCGGCTGGGGTCCTCAGCATGGCTTCGTCTTCCAAAAGGCCTTTGTCGAGCTCTTCATCCCCTCGTCCGACTGGGCCAGCCTCGTCGCACGCCTCAACGAGGTGACGGACAACACCATCTGCTTCTACGCCGCCAATGCTGCCGGTGATTTTGTGTCCTCGGACGCGAGCGGCGGGCTCGTCCTCGAAGGCACCGAAGCCAGCACCAACGCCGTCACGTGGGGCGTCTTTCCCGGCAAGGAAATCATCACCCCCACCATTATCGAGGAAGTCAGCTTCCGCGCCTGGGCGGAGGAGGCTTTCAATATCTGGGGCGAGTGGTCCAAGGTCTACGGCAAGGGCAGCGAGAGCGAGAGCCTGTTGGAGCGGATACGCTCCGATTACTGGCTCGTCAACATCATCCACCACGACTACATCGATAGGGACGCGCTGTGGAAGCTGCTGTCGGGTGAGAAGGAAAACTAGAAGCCGTTGGAGGGAATGCACGATGGAGAGAGGAAGAAAAAGAAGAATGAACGATCAGGTGGGCATAATTGTTTTGTACAGTCGTGATTACAGCCCACCACCCTCAACCCAAAGTAGCAAATGGAGAGAAGAAAACAAAGGATATACCCGTCATATTCATGCCCGAGGCCGTCGCCTCACGCTTTCGTCTTTGGGATGAGAATGCGCATCGTCACAGGCATAGTTATACTTGCCCGGGCGGCGTAGTAAAGAAAAAGCCGTGTGTTTTGCAACACATGGCCAAAAAACCCAAGAGGCAACCCAGGCAAAACATGGCCGGTATCCCTCCGCGTCATCATATCACTGCGTGGGCTATGTACTCAAAGGTGCGAATCATATCGGCCTAGTGCCTTGGTATCTTATTGAGTATCTGCTCCACTTCCTACGGCTCTGCGAGCCTGGTAGAAAGACCAACTATCTAGAGTCGAAAAGAGCCAGTTTTTTATCCTTCCGTTGTGTTCATACATACTTCCCAAGGTCTTGGAATCCTTTACCAAGGGGCTAATAGAAAAGTGAAATCCAACGCCAATCCTGGGTGATGGTGTCCCAGGGACCCGTAAAGAAATAGAGTGGAATCGACAGGTATAGCAAGTGGCGAAACGAAACTCACGTGTGAAGGCAGACCCAAAGTGTTTCCCATTCCCCAACGTCCCCTCCTGCCTGCTGGTGCAATTGTCTTAGATCTCGCCATCGTTGCCCGTGTAGGGGTCAAAGTCGCCACCGCCATGTCCCATGCTGTCAATGAAGCTGAAGTTGAGCGGGTCGTCGTTGAAGACACTGACACTCTGGGAAGGATCGAAGCTGGAGTGACCAGAGTAGCTGCTATTGGAGACGGGGTGAATGGCGGGCTGAGCAGCAGGTTGAATGACTGGCTGAGCAACAGGCTGGACGATAGACTGCTCATAGGCAGAGGCGGGGCTCCCAAAGATCGATTGCACCTGTGCCTGCTGCTGCATGATGGCGGGCTTCATGTCGACAGCGGCGGGGAGTTGGTAGCCCACCGAGTTGTCGGGGGTGTTGACTTCGCTATCGGAGGTGGTCAGGTCGACGGCGGCGGCCTGGGCAATGTTGGCAGCCGCGGCGATAGTAGCGGCACGGCTCGGAGTAGCGCTGCGGCGAGGGTTTGGGGTATGTCTGTTCTTGGACACGCGGCCATCGAGAATGTGATCGCGAATGCGGCTCTTGGAGGGTGTGTCCTCGAGTTCGTTATAATCGACGTCCTCATCCTCCTCTTCGTCCTCCTCTGAGACTGAGATGGGGGCAGGCTTGAGCTGCTTAGTCTTTTTGGCTGTGGTTGAACGACCGCCGCCCGAGACGCGGGTCTTGGTAGATGGGGTGCGCGGCTTGCGAGGAGTCGAGAAGGCGCTGGAGGTCGCGCTAGCCGGGAGGTTCAGTGCGGTAGCAGGGTTGCCGCCGCTGTTGGCCGTCTGCTTGAGAGACTCGGCGTCCTTCTTGATGCCTCGGAACTGGAATTGAATGCCATCGGCGGTGGATTCACCGAAGAACTTGGCAATCTCTGTTGTTTCGTGTCAGCAGGTATTCACGATCAGACGGTGGCTGGATGGTATGTATTCGCGGCATAGTCAAGTGGGGGCATAAGGAACAGGCTAAGAGGCAGCAAAGCAGCCTTACCCTTCTTCTCCTTGGGCAGGTCTACGGGGATGTCCTTGCAGTCGACGCCCTGATAGGTTGCCTGTTGAAGCGTCCAGGTATGGTTGCGGATGGCTCTGAATCGATGATTAAGCGCATCCTTGGTCATGTCCGATCCATAGAACTTCTGGATGTCTGCCGTACGTCAGAAATGACGTCGACGATGAGAATCGGAGAAGACGAGCAATATTGGAAGGAACAGACGACTAAAGTGAATGACGAGAGAAGGAGGCAGGGATAATTGGGGTGATGGGGGCAAGACGAAAAAGGAGAGAATTAGATCTTACCCTTATAGTTCCACTTAACCTCGGGGTGGGCAGCCACAATGGCACGAAGAAGGCGGGCCTGAGCCTCATAGGTCTTAAAATTGGCGGGAGCCATTGCGATGTGCGATCTTTCCGGGTAATATGTCAGTATACACACGGTTTATAAGACAATCATGGGCCAAAGGAGTGATTAGGGTATATGGGCGGCAGCCCGACGAGTGAACATGTTCATACCTTGTGATAGGACCAAAGTTGTGTAGATGTGTCTTGTCGGGGGTGAGGCTTCTGATGAAAGTGTCAGGTCTGGATGTAATTGAAGGTGATGAGGTGTGAAGTGAGATATTTGTGTAATGGGGTAAGATGTATCAGACGAGAAAGTGGTAAGTGAGGAAGAGAAGGGGAGGCAGCTCAGAGGAGGAGAGGAGGGCAGAGTGGTAAGAGGACGAAGGCAACCAATATTGGCAGGAGCGAGTTTCTGTGCACTCACTATTTAGGTAATGGAAGGAGAGAGTTCTCAGTTTGAGGATCTGTAAACTTGAAGAATGCGGTTGATGCCTTGAGGTAATCTCTTGGACAGTGCGGTATGGTGCTTAGTGCTGAAATCACTGTGTAGATGTAAGCATTGAGCCTGGAGGCTGAAGGTGAATGGAGAAGAAACAAGGTATAGGCAGATGCTGGACGTGTGGTTACTCTTCTGAGGGAAAAGGCAGGAAGCTGGTGGATGAGGTCCGGGAGGCCAGGAAGGAAAGAACAGTGAAGCTAGGTATGACTTACCTAGGTAGGTACGTAGAACTGGCGAGAGAGCACTCAGTGCTTGTGTGGCCGACTTGACAGCCAGGCCTACGAAGGATGTTAGCTACCGCTTGGTCAAAAGTTGATAGCGCTGAGGTTCAGATAGCAAGAAAGCAAGAGCAGCTTGGAGTTTTGTGGTCTCTTTTCGTGGGCTGGTTTGCAAAGCCCCCAGGAAGTGTCTGGACCGAAGGTGCGTGCAGCTACCAGACTGATTACTCTGTCCAAAACAAAATAAAATCACTCGATGTGATCACAGCACTGGCGCACAGTGATGTAGATAATAGAGTCTGAATGGTAGGAGCCTTCACACTGTCACTTACACGGCTGCACTCCAAGAATGTCGACTGAGACTTCCATGGGATTTCAACTGCACCTCATACCAACGCCTCATGTTGGGCAGGCAGGACTCGCAAGGGGAGCAACCAGTTGGCATAGATCCAGAGGACCAGCTTGCATGCCATGCAGAAGGCTGCAAAGATTGCGTGAAACAGGTAGGACAAAGCAGGACAGAAGCCAACATTAGGCACTGAGGTCGAGAAGGGCTCGTAAATGACAAGAAGAATACAATTGCGTGCTTACCTCTGAGGTGATTGTTTTCTGGTCTTCAGTCTTGTACAGTCCAGTCGCTTCCAGTCAACTAGAGACCGACTATGGAGTTGCTGTATCTCGGTTGATGATGCTCTTTGCGAGCCTCTTCAAGTCTTCTTTGGGCAAGACTAAGACTATGGCCGATGAGGTACAAGGAACACCCAAACTCTCTAGTAGAAAGGTGCTGGGATGAATGTTGCCGAATGTTAAGCCAACATCTGAGCTGTCCAGAATAGGTTGTAGATCATCAATGAGTTGCCAGACGTACCAGCAGTATCGAATGGATAAACCAGCAGATCGCACGCGCTTGAAGAGGATCGCAGGCTTCAAGTTAAATTGCTGGTTGGCCGGGTGAAAAGTAAACAGATATCGAAATGGGGACAAAAGAGCTGACTGTGGGTCGTAATGTTTAAAACCGTATCCGTAGGTATAAAATAATTAAGAAGCGTTTTTTTCAAGGAGCGAATTTGAGTAAGTCGGTATTTGGCATGAGGTCTCTGGCTTGCCAACGGCCTCGAGATCACGATTGAGGACGATGGTGTGGTTCGGCAGTTGGTAGTTGGGTGGCCAACTTGAAAAGTGGGAGGCTGGGAGGCTCTCGAACTCCTGAATTTCCGCGATGCCTGGTGCTTATGGGATAAGGAGGTACTTTGACGAGAGGATCCTTAGCAGTGCGACGGCTCAGAGTTATTACGCCTTGCTTCAAGAAAGAACATCACACTATAAATTGGGTATCCAGGCAACTGTACTCTAGAATGAAGGGCATTTCTTACGCTGTTTGTGATGCCGCAATTTCCTTTGAAAGACGACCAGCCAAGTAGTCGTTAACATCGAGTAACGGCTTCCGCGATCACGCAGAGACGATTGAGCTCACCTCGCTCAGCAGAAAACCCCTGCATTCCCATGGTAATTACAATTGGCCCCATGCTCTTGGCTCCTGAAACTCCCTGTCTAATCCCTGTCTAAGCTACCGCCCAAATCTTTGCTGTATCTTCCTAAACCTACAACCGTGCTATGTGAATCGTGCACGTCGCTGGAAACCAGAAAAGACGGTGGGAAACCCATTGTCGCACTAAAACACGTGGGAAAGTGCACAACCGGCAATTTATCGCGGCTCCTTTCCGTAAGGACTCGAGGTTCTACGGCCAGCGGGGCTAGACCTCCCGCTGACGTGATCCGCCAAGGGCGGCTTGTAGACGCCGTTCGGGTACTGAGGGTACTGGGACATGGGGTGTTCTTTGATCTCTCCCTTCTCGCCATCGCCGTACATGAGGTACTGGACGCCGAGGAACGAGTCGCAGCAGGCCTGGAAGATACCACAAAGCTTGAAGGCCCAGGGAATCTCGGTCGTCGAGGTGAAGAACCAGAACATCTTCATGCCGTCACCGATCAGCCAGCTCGCCAACACAGAGAAGCGGAAGCCCTTGCAAGACTTGGACCGCACGTTTGAAAAAATCTGAGGCAAGGGCAGCGTCGCCTCCACCGAGAGACCAATGTAGCCGATGAGCGTCGAATAGGTTTGGTATATGGGTCGCACGGGGGCGAGGAGCAGCTCGCAGACGGTCAGGCCGATGAAGAGGTAGAGCAAGAACTGCCAGTAGCTATGATATATGTCAGTCGCAGGTCAGCGAGGCCGGCACACGCAAAGCCAAGGACTCACGGCTTGGGCGACTTCCACTGCCAAAAGTGGTAGGGCCTTTGTGCCCCAAATACGGGTCCATCGTTGACGTTTGCAAAGGGCACCGCAGCTTCTCCTCCTTTGGACGACGGGGGCAGACGGTGGTCGAGAGCAATCTTGAGCAAGATGACTTGCATCACGATCATCAGAAGCGCTTGTATGAGTAGGGCGGTGTCGAATCGCGCGCCGGGCCAGTAGAAGATCCTGTGGGAGAGGTAAAGTATCAGCTTTGCTCCGGAAGCGACGGGTTCAATGGGATTGACACACTTCAGCAGAGACGCCACCAGCATTATCAGCGGGATATCGAGAGAGAAGCCGGCGCTCGACTTCTTTCTGTGCATAGACAAAGCCTGGTCGCTGTAGGAGAGGACTGGCGACATGATGAGGAAGATTGGGGCTAAGTAGCCCGCAAAGGACGTTAACCAGCGCATGGTTACGATGGAGTGATTTTCGACTTTGCAGCGCGCAAGAGGTTGGCACACGCGGGCGACCAAATCAGGAACAGTCAAAGGAAAGATTTTGAGAAGTAGATGGGTCAGAAGAAGCACAATTCTCCCGTCCAAAGATGCTGGCGAACGCGTCGAAACTTGCAAGAAAAGAGGTGACGAAGCGGGCGCGGCGGACGCACTGGGTTGCAAGCGGGCGGTCGCACAGTCGTTGAGGCCGATCTGAATTTGGAGAAGATGGGTATTTTTGGGGGAGCCAATGAACAGCCAGCCAAGACAAGTCGGATTGCCCACCAGTGAGGACCAAATTGCTTGTTTTTTCTTGCGCTGACGTACCTACGTCGCATTTCTGGCTTTCGCAGTATCCCTTGGGTCTCCTCTGTACCGCGAAAACCAGTGGGACAGTCTTGACGGTGACAAGGTTTATCAGTCCCGGCAGTGGAGAGCACGAGCGGAAGGTAACAAGGGAGAGCTGCCACCTGACTGCCACTCGGACACACGACACGGCACGAGGGATGCTGCCGGAGCCCGAAACTTGGCCCATCTTAGTATTTACTATGTATAGTCGGGACTTGCGGCGGAAGGGTAGGTGCGCTAGGAAGGGACGGGCCCACTAAACCCTTCTTTACTAACGTCCATTGCATCCGTAAGGCGGTGATTGGTACTTGAGATATGCCAGCGTGCGCTATAACCAGTCGGCCTGGAAATGTTTTCTTATCATGACCTGCGCTCGGTTCGGGCTCATCGGATGGTAACTTTGCGATGACAGGGATGAACCGTCTCATTGTTCCTGCTCTCGCCTTTTTGTCCCATAGCATATGGCAAACGAGTATTCCTTATGCCTTGGCCTTGAGCTGCATGTGCCTTGGGCAGAGGTGGCGACACGCATTGATTCTTCGCCAGGAGGGTGTTCTTTTTTGCCTTCTTTTCTTCTAGGCCATGTTCTAACACTGGCTGGCGGCCCCTTGTGACTCACCAGCCACATTCCGATGCAGGCCGACAACAGCAGTGACAACAGGGGCATCCCTCACGTTTGTCACTTAGAAGGGAGAACTTCAGCCCTAATTCATGCGCTCCTGACGCCCAAGCACTAAGCACCAGGAGTGGAACACTTGAAGTTTGGCCTAGAGAAGATTGTCACTTGTCATGGCCACAGCGAATATACAAATATAGAGGGGGAAACTGACAGGGGAATGAAGAAAAAAAAGAAGAATCCGCGCCACTCCAGCCACAAAACGGAAGAGTGCCCTGCCAGCGACATTGCGGCCGCGCTCGGCCGGATTCAACGGTGCGACTGCAGCTGCGTCCGCTTTCCGCAAACCTTCAGGAGGCTTCTGCTGCAGGGAAATAATGGGGCTCGACAGGGTCGGCGTTGGTCTTGTCTGTGCCCAAGCTGCGGCGTGCGGCTCTGTTGACAATCCCAGAGCTCGATGACAAGGGAGACGGTGTTTCTCGGAACAGTATGCCTAGGCCTCCATGTACCGGCGTCACATATGCCCGTGATTGGTCGGAATGATTCATCTTGGTAATAACAACATCCAGAGGGCTCTCGTATGGAGTATGCCTGGACGTTGGAGCAAACACAGGCAACATCAAAAAGCTGGTGCGGATGCAGCCAGCCTATCGACCATGAAAGGTGAAGGCTTATCGCGACAGCTGGTATATGGCCAAGCCACCCCATGTCAAGGCCGCCAAGCGGACCAGTTTGTGAGCCCAAGAATGATCATCGGGCATGCCAGGTGGAAAACCAACAGCGTTGGGAGCAGCAAATGAGTGGCACCATGTGGGGCGAATCCGAGCTCAAGCCAAACCCAATTCGCACCGCATGTCGTCGGCCGTTCTCGAATTTTCGAGATGGCGAGTGTCTAGAGCTAACGATGTCGCTCTCCATCTCATAACGGGAGTCATGATGTTGTGGTGAAACTGAAGAGAAGCGAGCTGCTGCCTCGATTCGTGAAAGCTCCGTAGGTAGACTTGACGATTCGGCGATCCACTTCTCTGGGAGGCCCACGTTGGCCCAAGTGCAGGCATCACGTCGATCGCACCGAGGAGAAGTAAAGGAAAGACCACGAACGGACAAACAACGGTTGCATCAACGGGACCCGAATTGTGGACTGGAAAACCTCCGCCATACCTATTGGCACCGAAAACCAGCGCCAGCGAGTAATGACTTTGGCAGTTAGGATCTGCTGCTTGGTTAGTGTTGGGGATTCCGCGGGCCGCAGCCGAGCTGGATATCAAATGCAGTTGGCCCAATCAATAAAGCCGCAGGTTGGCGCGGGACGAGGAAAGCCGACCCGACAAGAGTTGGGTTGATCACCGTTCTGGTACAACGCCGACTTCAGGTGGCATGTACACGTATGACATTTCAAGGTGAGTGTCACACAGCTGGGCGCAGAAGAGAGGGCGGAGAGAAGGCGAGAGGGGGCGAGGGGAGATGACAGACAGGAACAGATACCGTGGGAATATACGGATATGTTGAATGGGCTTAAGCCGTTCTAGCCGTTGGATGTCGCGAATGTATTCCGTCACTGCCGGTCACTGCCGGTCCCTCCCCTCCCTCAGGCGCCTTTCTCAGCAGACGATTCCTACCCTAGTTGCGCGATAGGCCTCGGACGATTGGAGAATGTGGCAACGGGGACCCATGCATGGCGAGTCGCAACTGCCCGAGACCGAATGATTCAAGCAACAGAAATAGCGCAGGGAAGCTATTGGTATCCGTACATAGGATAGAAAGCGAAGAAAAGAAAGACTGAGAAACGTTTGGCTAGGTACTAGTAGTCGAATGACGGAGAGTAGGTGCCACACGAAACTGCCGCCGACCCCCATGTTTTTGGCGCTAGTGCTAGTGTAGCGCAGCCTGCCCCTCGCCCTCCCACCCAATCTCAGTCTCTCTCTTTCCTAGGTGGCTGCTTTCCTCCTTCATCAAGCCTTGATAAGTACCTACGGTACGGATAGTGAGATCGAGATAGCGTGCAGCCGCCACCGACGCCAGGGCTTTTGCCTACTTGTCGCCGTGCGCAACGTTGGGGTGATGTCCCTAATTCAGATCTACATCCGCATCCAGCTACTGCTGACATCTCGCAGGCCTTACTTTACCTCCGCGACAGCGCACACCTCGCCCTTGGACTTGGGCGAATTGCCCTTGTGTCGCTGTAATGGAGTACAAGATGAAATTCGAATAAGGGTGTTTGCTTGACGTAAAGCGCTCGTCGGAAACGTCCTAGTGTGGAGAGGAGACGACGGCCAAAAGCCGGCACTCATCTCGAGCCCTGCATGTTTCAAGATGCTTCTTCTTGGTTGGCCTGCGAAGCGGCAAGGCAAGGCAAGCTGGCAAGCAGACAGAGAGGAAGAGAGAGAGGGAGAGGCGAGCGACCGCCGGCCAGATCCAGGGTTTCGCTGGCCTTAGTTTTGTTTCGGACGGTCGTCCGTGGAGGCAACGGTTAAGTGTCGATGCAGAATGTTTCTCCTCCTTCTACCGGTTCGGGGAACTCGCCTAGAAAACGGTTTGTCCTTGGTTCTTTGTGTTTTGTGTGCGTTCGTTCCTTGGTCTCTGCAGCTGGCCCCCATGTCCGAGACCTTTGGTCCAGAGACCCCTCGGGGCTTGGAGCCAGAACACGTATGTATCAAATGGAATGGGAAAAGGCCAGGTAGGGCCTGTTCCGTGGAGCTTTGGGGGCGGTACATGAAGCTGGCCTATCCCCCGTAATCATGGAGACGAGGAAAATTGATGCGGCCCAGGGGGGGGTTGGCACTGAATCAAGCCTGCTGGAAATGAGACTTGCATGCGCTCGGGAAGGGGGACGAGCCCCCCATCTAATTGCAGTTTATGCTCTTGTATGATGGCCAATGGTCCACGTCCGGATGGACCGAGGTGCTGTCCGCAACCCGGGCCGTGGCCATGACAAAGGAACGAGAAGAGCCTGGAGGCAGCCTTTGTTTGTGCTAAGATGATGGATGGATGAGGACTCCTCCTCATGCCGACTAGTTACCAGTCGATGCAGCGGGACGAAAAGGAACGGGCAGTGGTGCGTGTATGGCATCCTAGACGGTTACTCCATGTTGAAGCGTCGTGGCGCAGTGCGTAAAGTACCTCTCTATCAGCTCCTGATGCTAATTCCATTAGCCAGGGGTCTCAACAGCAACCAGCGCCGTTCCTGAGCAGCGACGACACCACCTCACCATGATATTGAGCACCCACTCCACTCTCCCACTTGCCCCTCTTTAGCGGCCCTTTACACGCTCGGTCGCCCCTGTCTCCTATTATTTTGCCCTCTGGCCTGCAGCCTCCTCTTCCAATGAGATGCTACTCCAAAAAGCCGGTAAACGGAGGGAATGAGAATCATACCTAGAAGGCCGACACCCGCTCAATGCGTCCGTATTCGAGTTCCATTTCTGACAACGTATCACATGGCTAAAGCCCGTCACATCACCCACCCCTAATCCCAAAGTGACAATCCTACCCTGCTTTGCCATTATTATCCCGCCGTTAAAGTGACTTGGCCAAGGCTTTTCCACAGACATAAGCAAGGATGTACCAGCTATAGCCGTGCCTCGACAACTGTATACGTGCCTGAGCTACGTGTGTCTTTCGAGTGTGACAAAGTGTATTTGCAGGCAATGCACTCCAACATAGTCGCATCTGAAGATCCAACCAAGCTTATCGTCATTATCCGTCTGGACATCGCTGCCAACCTTTTCTCCCTTGTTCATCATTTTCGTCTCCTCTTTAGCCGTTACATAGCCTCACATCAAACCCACCCCCCCCCCCCTCTCTCACTTTCATCACCGACCACATCGACACTCGCTCTTGCACCAGTCCCTCCACCTTACCCTCCCCTCGCTCGGAAACAGGCCGTCGAAGCAGCGTCCTGGCTTGCCTCTCGCCTGTTTCTTGTCTAGGACCACCCGTTGCACTGCTCTTGCTTGCTTGCTTTTTGTTGGCTGGTTTTGGTCTTTTCTACTCACTCCGACAAGGAAGGCACCGGTTAGCATTTTTAATGAGAAAGGAGATGCCAGGGGTCCCCCCCTTCTCTCCTAAACCGTTCTGAAGGCCCCACACTTTCACTCGACCTCCCTCCTCCCCCCTCCCTCTTCCACGCCCACTGTCCCTTTCTCGCCTCTCTCTGGCTCTCGGAGGAGACAACGCTGACAACGGGGCCCCTGGAGTGCCACAAACCACGCTGCTACCCACCAAAACGTCTCCCACCTCATCATCTCTCACTCTGGCCTTGTTCCTGCTGGCTCATCTACCTACCTACCTGGGTACCTACCTAGTGCACGAATGCCATCGGACTTTCAGGCACTAAGGTACAGCTAGCTACCTACTACACTGCTTTTCTCTACGTTGCACTAGGAGCTACCGCTGCGCTTGCCCTTATCCAATCCTCCTCGCCCCCCCCCCCCCCCCGACTAGGCACTGTGGAAGCGCGACGGGTTCACCACGCCATCGTCCCCAACTTTAAAAATTCCACGTACCCGTCGGACATAAACACAATCCAACCCTCGCGACCCGCCCCTGACCTGACTGCGCTTCTTCGGAACAATACTCTCTCTCGCAACTCCCGATTCACTGCCCAATCTTCACCCTCTCGCTGTGTCGCCCTAGCCTCTATTCACTTTGTCACTAGTCAACAATCTACTGGTGGTCGACCGTTTTCTTCCTCTCCCAATCGCCACCCTTAGGGGAACCAACCCATCAAGGACATTTCTCTCCTGTCTTTGACGATTCGGCCGTTACCCCTAACTTAAACGCCAGCGACCAAAGGGGGCAAACCAACTTTCTTCAACCCCCAATCTTCGCTGCTCTTTCTTCGCCTTCGCACAACCGCAACCGGCCTCACCCGTCTATTTTTTTGTATTCTTTTACAACCCGGATCAGGATCATTGTCTCGTCAAACAGGCCAGGGGCCCCATCGCCAATCATGGCGTCTTCGTAAGTTGACATCCAATCCTTCTCGCTGTTCAGTCCCCTTTTTTTTTGGGACGCAAAGGAGGGCCGAGACACTAACTATGCGACCACAGGCTCGGTGCGGCTTTCCGCTCCCTCTGGCACGATCTGACCAGCTACGACCGACGTACGTTTGAAATCACTTCGCAGACTGGGGGTTCATCATGATCAAAACTGACGCATCCCAGACTCTACCGTTGACTCTCCCCACCGAACCGGTCGACACGTTCCTCTGAACCGCCAGAGTGGCATCCTCACCTCCGTCGCGACCGCCTCCGAGTCCCGTGCCGATGTCTCCTCCCCCTTCACGGAAGACTACAACAGATTCTCCCGCGATAACAACTACCTAGGCGGTGGCATGCCCTATACCCCGACCAGCCCCAACCCTTCGGCGCCCTACTCTCCAGGCATGAGGTCTCAATCTGCCCGTCGCGAGAGCCGGGTGGATGGCTTCGAGCTGCAAAGTCCAGGGGATGTCCCCATGCAGTCTTTCCAGGACGGTTCCCCTCCTCCGCCTCCAGTTTCCCATTCGTGGAAGAAGATCGACGCTTGGGCCGAAGAGCACTATCCCGAGCTCTTTGATCAGCTCTGCGAGGGCTGCACAGACAACGATCTCAACGAGTTGGAGCATCAACTGGACTGCTCCCTGCCCCTCGACGTGAGGGAATCGTTAATGATTCATGACGGCCAAGAACGACTGGGCTTGCCCACCGGCATCATTTTCGGCTCCATGCTGCTTGACTGTGAGGAAATGGTTCAGGAATGGGATCAATGGCGCAAGGTCAACCAAGAGTTTCTCTCAGAAGCGGCCTACGCCAGGCCCGCCGCTCTGCCCAAGGCTCTCGGCAGCAGTAGCGAGGCCTCGTCTTCCAAGACACCGGCCTCGCCCGCTGCCGCGAACAACGGTTCGTGGCGCCAGGACCTCATCGCTCGCCAGGAGAGCGTCCCTCCCAACGCCATCCAGCGCTCTTACGCCCACCCGGCTTGGATTCCTCTCGTGCGCGACTGGGGTGGAAACAACCTGGCTGTGGATCTCGCTCCTGGCCCCAACGGAATATGGGGACAGATTGTTCTCTTCGGCCGCGATTACGATACCAAGTACGTTATTGCTCGATCTTGGGCCCATTTCCTTGCCACGGTTGCGGACGACCTCTCCAGTGGCAAGTGGTTCGTGGATGAGGAGACCAACGAGCTCAAGTTACGGGAGTTTAAGGAGACGCGTGTTGAGCCTCCCTACTTCGGCATTCTGCGATGGCGCATGGACCAGAAGTATGGCCGTAGAGCCGCGAAGCGCAAGTCCGTCGTACCCTCCAACAAAGGCGGTTCTCCGGCAGGATCTGGCGCCAACTCCCCGTACACGAGCCCGACGGCCGAGCCCAACGGCGAACAACGAGGAAGATCGATGCAGCGATTGGGGGGCACCTCTCCGATGGCCAGCCCCATTCGCCCTGGCTACGGGAAGTCCAGCCCCCTCGCACGAGTGGCCGAGGAATCCGCCCTACCGGAGCTGGAGACCAACGGCCTCAAGCAGCCCACGAAGCTCGTCGAAGTCGAAACTCCACGACCGAGCGAGGACAACGGCAAGGGTTCGCGCGTGTCGCTCTTGGCGCACGTTGAACCCGCCGAGGGCGAAGGCAAGGAGAACCAGAACCCCGTCAGCAACACAAACGGCAAGGCCAACGGGAAGCAGGCCGAGGTATCGGAGGAGCCGATGAAGGAAATCGAGATATAAAAGGTGTGCAAAACTGGATACGACAGAACGACGATACGGTTTTCCCTACTCTCGGGGCCTTGTTACGCGACAAGGCTCGTCATACATCAAAACATTGGCGTTTGAGGCGTCCGTGGCTCTAATCATTATGAGAGGACGTCCGCAGGGGGTCATACAACATTGAACCTTATTTTTTTCTTCTTTTTCGAGCATCAAGGAACACGGCGGCTGGGCTTTTTTCTTCTTCGAAAGTCTCTTCTTTTCTCTTTTGGCTCTCTTTGGAAAGGGCCGGGACCGGGATACACCGAGTGGGCATTGTCTCTATCTCGAATATCCTGCAGTCTATGGACATAGATGCGCGGATACGTACATTTGCATCAACCTGTGTTGTTGGCTTGCCTAGGGCGACGGCTTTGCGGTCGTCTCTGGACGGACGTCGCAGACCATGGTCTCCTGGTGGAGAAGTATGAGACGCCGATTTCGTGGGCCGATGATGGCAGGTGTGCCAGTAATTGTTAGTGTACTATAAGGACCTTTTTGTCTACTTTTTCATCTCAAGCGTTCCGAGACGGGCGTGGACAGGATTAGTCCTCAATGCAGGTCGGCCGTGACGGCTTTGGCCAAATCGTGTTTCCCAGGGCCCCTGTGCCGTGTGTGTATAGCAAATATGCGCCTGCTTGGTTAAGTTGCGGAGCGTGGTGGGAATCCCCTCATTCCCTCGGGCCCCATGCATTGTGACCGAGTCGTGTTGAGCGGGTGTCCAATGAACCTAGAACATCACGCACACCCGGTCCGCACCGACCTGATCCACGGCGGAAGATCCACGCCGCATCTTTATGTCTCGTCTCGTCTATGGGCCGGTGCTCGTGTCGAGTCCGAGGCAAGGGAGGTCAGGATAGAGTCGGTAAACGAAGAGCCCATGGTGCAGATTCTCTGTCGAGAGTTTCAAACAGTCTGAATGCACTGACAACTAGCCACACTACTGGAAAGCGACATTAGTCATTGCCACGAGATCGAAACGTGGTCATCCTCATCGCCTCACCCATGCATGACCAGCAAGCACACCGAAGATGGACATGCACGTGATATATAATCACGTGATGACCAGAGCTCTGGAACAGGGATCAGGTGGTGGGGACTGTGACGCCTCAGCTGTGCCGGATCAACGTCAAGGCGGCCAACATCCGGACCCTTCGTCACCTCCATCCAGCCTTACGCCGAGTAGCCTACGACACCACCCACGAACCACGCCGCCGGCCGAACCACACACCCTCTGTAATTCCAATCTCGAAACAACACACTCTGCTCTCCCTTGCACTCGTTGCTTCGTGCGTTGGTCAAAGCACGCAAAAACCGCCCCCCCCCCAACACCCAAAGTGTGCCCGAACGAACCGTCCGCGACGGTCGCCGACTTTAGCTACTTACCCATTCACACCCGAACACCACACACGCAACCATGGAGGAGGAGCGCCTCTGGAAATTCGGCAAGCCGGAATGGCTGAATAGCATCTGGGCGCGTAACTCTGGCGTCTACGGCGCCGGAGCTCTGGTAAGCTTCCCCCTCTGTTAGCCTGCCATCTACTCAGGTCTCGTTCGATGCATGCCACTCCCCCCCTTCCATCCTCCGGGACCATCCAGGCCCTATCGAAACTCGAAAATCATAGCTAAAACTTGCGTCTTTTCCTCCCCCTTTCCAGTTCTCCATCGCATTCTACGTCATGCTCGATTCGGCCGTCTGGTCCAAGTCGGCCAAGAACGGCTCCGACACGCATGTCACCTTTGTCGACTGGCTGCCCCTCATCTTCTCGTCGTTGGGCATGCTCATCATCAACTCGGTCGAGAAGGCGCGGCTGTCGGCGGACAGCTTTTCGTACAGCGGCAACGGCGTGGCGTGGAAGGCGCGTGTCGTGCTGTTCCTTGGCTTCGCGGCGCTCGCGGGCGGCATGGCCGGCGGTGTCACCGTCTTCGTGCTCAAGTTCGTCGTGCGGGACGTCACCATGCCGGCGCTCGGCATGGGCATCGAGAACGTGGTCGCCAACGCGCTGGTAGGGCTGAGCAGCGTCGTGCTCTGGGTCAGCCAGAACATGGAGGACGAGTACAGCTACAATCTCGCCTTGTGAGAGGGGCCTTTCTTTCCTGCTCAGCCGCCGGGATCGGTTGCTGGAAGATACTTGGAGACCCAATTGGCATTCGAGGCGACAAGCGGTATAAGGACGGAGAGGCAGATTGTAGGAATTGGACTGTGAAGGGGTGGATGTGTAATTATAACGCTAGGAACTCTGGGGGGCGTATATGGGTTTTGACGTTGGCGGTATGGCGATAGGTCTACAGTTCTTATGTGAGCCTTTTCTTTGTCTGCTTCTCTCTTCCAAACCGTTTCCCCTGCTTCTTTCCTTCAGCGCTCTGCTGCATGCCAGCGATGTTTGTTTGCAATTTATCAGAGAACATCATCGCCCTGCCGTGGCAAACACTTCGTTTCGCTATACTATTCCCGTGACAGGATGGTTGAGACGGCTCGAGGACAATACAAGTTCGATGATGATCAGAAACGAGGGGTAAACCGGATCGGCGTCCGGGCAGGTTAGCGTTTGACGCGAGGGGGGGCTATCTTATTCCTCCAGTTCTGAACCGCAGCCGAGCGCTCCGTCCAAGGTTCACGCGTCAGGTTTGAGAGAGAGAGAGAGAGAGAGAGGAATTGATAAAAAAGGGTCGGGGCACAGCTGATATCCGAATTCCCTGCTCGTCCTCGCTCACTCGTATCAGAACGTATGAGGCGGCAGCGACAAAGCAGCGAGGAAGAGCTCCACCTCTGAGGAGGGTTAAAGCAGGCCGCCCCTCCTCCGTCACTTGGGGTATACTTATAGGTACACGCTCCCCGCGAGACATATAGTACGCAGCGGGAAGGGGTGTCGGTTCAGGCTTCCTGGCGGACCTCTCGTACAGAAACCGACCGACTTCGGTACCGGTTCGTCTTTCGGATTCCGCCGGGACGGGACCACCCTCTGGCCCGGTGGGCAAGGTCCGTACAGTTTCTGCTTCCGCGAGAGGCCCCGGTGACCCACGACATCGACCATTGTCTCCCCACCCTTGCATTCATGGCCTGCGTGTGCTTGACGAGGCTTGGGTCCTAAACAACCAAGGAAGCAACTTGGCCCGCGAATCAGTCAATCAATTAACACGACTACATCATCATCTTCAACACCTGCTGCGACCGGTGTACGAGTTGACCTTGGTGGCGCCGGCAAATCAGTTGATCTGGGAGGATCAAAAGACCAGGACAAGAACAAGAAGATGGACGTGACCAGGGCAAAGATGGCTTTGGACAGTGGTCTGGGGTCACTGGGAATACACATCTTGCAGGTCGTAGATTTCCTAGAGTTCCTCGGACTTTTGGTCGTCGCTGATATTTCGAGACGCAGCCACGCGGCATGGGGCTCGCGGAAGGCCTTGACGGGGTCCGACTCGTCTGTCGGAGCGAGCCGGCGCGAAGTCTCCCTCGTTGGAAACGTATCTCTTGAATGCAAGACACGGAAGAAACCCCTCCCTCAATGTCACTTCAGCTCCCGTGTATGAGCAGGAAATTCAACCCCTGACCACCTAGAAACTTATTCTTTCTTCCCCATAACCCCCCTTTTATCATTTATTCTCAATATTGCGATTAATATCTTATGCCAGGCCTTCAAATGCATGACTATCGGTTTGAATCATACCGTCATGTCAACGGACGGCTCGAGCTGGCTTTTCAGATCGTGGAGCGCGTATTCTGTCAATGAGCACAGGGTGCGTTGACTTTCGGGTAGAATGAAGCACCGCGTCTCGGAATTTCTAAATCTGTTTTGTCACTTCTCTGTTTTTCTTTTCTCTTGTCGTTCTTGCGTATGTCCTAGTCTATTTACAAGGCCATGAGAGACCAGTACCGACGAATAGGATAGTTAGTGTCACACCGACACAGCATCGAAGCAGCTGACCCGGTAAGGTAGCCTCGACAATTGGGGGGTTCAAGTGACGACTTACCCCCAGAAACTGTCCGAGTTCATGGGCAGCCCAGGGCCGTGTCCTTGACGTACGGGTGATAGTCCGGCAGTATATCGAGAGCTTTCCTCGCACAGCTCCAAGGAGCAAGGTTTTATTATCCTGTTGTCCTTGAGACTTGGACATCCGAAGCCTACGGCTCTTCTGATCTACCTGGAAGGGAATGCCGGGCGAGGAGAATGGGCTGCCTGTTCGACAACCTACACGATCGATTGCCTCTTTTTTGGCGGAGAAACGTTCTTGAGCAGTGCGAACTGTCGTCATGATTAATGTACATTTTTTTGACTTACAACACCAACAGCAGAACCGCAGTCGGATCCCGGGCCGCTTTGCCTTTGACGAAAGCAAGAAAATAACCTCACTGAGTTGAGATGAGATGGTACCCGGCACAGAAAGCTTCCTTTTCCATCGTTCCCTGGGCTTCGGCTTCCGGTGCGGGGGACCCGTTTCTATTATACTGTACGGACCGGCCCCCGAGGGGCGGCTACGACGACAATGATAATAAAAGGCGAACTGGAGACGTGCTCAACGGCCGCTATCTGAGTTTATCGCTAACAGTCCCTGCTCAGAAAGTGGCGGGCAGCCCCGGTTGACCCTTCGGCGACGTTGCTTTGATGTCCCCATCTCCTTGGTTCTGCCGAGGTGGTCCAAGATCGTCGAGAAGTCTCCCCTTGGGACGAGAACCACCGACTGGTACGCGCAGCAATGTCCGGGCTTGGCGCTGTTGCCATCGGAACCTTGAATTAGCATACAAAGACAGCCGACGTCGTCCCTTGGGTTAATGTACTGGGTCCGGACAGTCGCCCCTGTACAGCCATCGGGGAGGGTGATCCATGAAGATGATGGCGAAATCTAGTACTAGAGTACCTGTAAAGATGTGCCCAGCCGTAACGGGTTCATAATATCTACAGCGCTCGACGCTGTCGAGAATTGGGGACGTATAACCAGCCAGACATTGCATCTCTCGTCTCATCACCAAAGGTCCTGGTAAATCGAGGTTTCTTCGTGGCGATTGGATACTAGCCTCACGGCAATGACTCTCCTAGAGTCAGAGAGTGCCGGCAGAACCAATGCCATAGAATCCAACACGATTATGCCACACACGAAAACCATACAGCTTCCACGGCCCGACCCGGTCAGGGATATCAGACTCTTGGTGACGGAATGTTGGGCAACGTTGCCGGCCCGAACCAGACTCACCGATAGTCTCTCCTACCTACGCCCAGACCTCAAGCATGTTTGGGTGCCCCTGGGTTTAGCAAGACATCGGATCCCATCCGACTCGACCAAAGGGTATGCAGAAGATAAAGAAAAAGAAAAAAGTACCAGGAGTTCGGGTGTACTCTAAAACCTGGTCAGTCAAGCCCCTAGACACTTGCCTCAATGAGAATGAATGACACCAAGGTAGCGGAGCCGCCATAGGCTCGTAACACGCGAAGGAGAGCCAGTGTCTCGTCCCAAAGTTCAGTCAACAATTTAGCGGTGAATGGGTAAAGGGATATTTTGTTGGGACAAACGTAACCCAATCCAAAACCAGAAAGAAGGAGGAAAATATTTTTCGACGCTGTTTCGTCACCTCTCCATCGGCAACCCGGCAGTCGGTGAGCCACGGTCAACGGTTGTGCACCAACAATAGGGCAGAAAAATTTGCGGAAAAGAGTTGCAGAAGCTTGCGACTTTGCACCGAGACGAGAAAATTATCCTTGCGCGCCCGGGCCTGCAGAACCGCCCATCATCGGCAGACATCGTTACTGACCCCCTAGACCCGGGAGCCACCTCATTCTGCCGGTCCCGTTGGGCGGGAGATGCGTCCTTAGAGCCATCGAGCATGTACGTGAGACGGCTTGCTGTGAGGTGCCACGACAAGACGCGGCTTGTCAGTGACGGCGACTGCGTCCGAGAAACGCGTGGAAGGGCCTCAGTCAGTCGATGGAGCCGATGCCCGACTTGTCTATGCCTCCCTGATCAGCAAAACATGTCACCTTTCCTGGTCAAAGTCCCTTGTGTTGCGATAGACGGCCAAGCTCGTTCGATGACACCGGTGCGATTGGACTGTTCCTTTCAGGTCTCACCGGTGTCAGGTGGAGAGTCAGCCGCTCAGAAGCTTACATTCAATGCCAATTGGTGAACCCATCAGACCAGAGTGAAAGCGAATTGACAAACACGCAAAGTAGCTGAAGATTCCACAGCAAGTGAAACAAGAAGCCACCGGTAGGGAGTCGCTGGCACCATGTGAACGGGGCGCGCGACAGCTGGTTTCCCGAAAGACTGGCAGCGCACTACGATGAGGCGTCTTTGAGGCGACTCGATGATGCAGGTGAACGAAACACCTCTGCGGTTATGGCACAGAGCTCTGCAGCACAGTTTCCCAGTGAGGGCAAAGCAACCACGCCATGTCGACCTGTATTACCGATGCTAGGGTCGATTTGGGCGATGGTGGTACGGGTTTAGCTCAGCATGCGAGTCGACCAAAGTGGACGAGGTACAGCAGCTCGCAGGCAACCAGTCAGATTTTGTTGCTTCAGGCGCTCTCTTATATACCTGCAGCTGATTTTCGTGGTTGGCGGGCCCGTTGTGACCATGACAAGACTGGCGATCCCCGCACCCGTGGTCAACAAGATGGGTTTACTCTCTACAAGGTGCCTCGCCAGGGACAAGGTCATTAACAGCTCGTACGGCTTGAGCCAATGCCGGGCCCTGTGCGTGTGCTCGTGAGGAAACGTCAACGATGATGGGGTCTTGCCATCAGATGACGAGGATCGTTGCAAGACTGCACCATTGAGTTGGTGTGCACATCCTGAGGAGCTTCGGCAGCTTGGCCGGCATAGATTATGATAGAAATGCCAATGGTAAGACGCATGTACCTGGGCTGAAGATCGAGTACCTAATACGGCAAGGTAACCTGGCAGAGAGAAGCCCTTGCAAGCTTGAACCAAACGAGAATCGAGATTGGCCTCTGGTTGGAGGTTCACTGGGTAAGCGTGGCCGACAGAGGGGGGGGGGGTAGAGGAACGCCGTTCTCCTCCTGGACAGACCGCAGATGGCAACCATTTGACGTTGTATCTGGTAGCTCCCCCCACCAGACTGGGTGCCCTGCTCCTTTCGCGATTGTTGGAGAGTCCCATCTGACGCATTGCTGTCAGAATAGTATTATTCCATCCGATATGCCTCCGCACGGCTTGCTAGCGGTGGCCGGCGACGAAGCAAAGACTGCTGCACGACCCATGCGGAGACAAGGATTTCTCACACCGAACATCACGGTGACCGTCGGAGGTGTGTTGAGGAATCTCGGAATGTCGCAGTCGAGCCTCCAAAGGCCACTGTTGGGGATGGGTTTTCAACCTAGGCGAGTTTTCGGATTGTTGTAGCCTTTCTTAGAAGCCTGGGCTCACAGGACTTGGCGCTTAAACCGAGCAGAGGTCGCCTATGTGACGATGGTTTGGGAACTATGGGAACTTCACTGGCAGTACTGCAACCGAGCTCATGTTTTGGATAGACGACTTTGATGACGGCCAATGTTGTATAGTCACACAGGTGGAACACCAGGAACCTTTCGCCTTGGAGTAAGAAGAAGCTGAAGCTGCAGCATCGACGTTTGATTCGAACAAGTGTGTGAAGATACTTGTCAATGAGATAACAGCTAGCAATTGCATGCTGTGGTCCGAAACGGTGTTCCCCGTGTCAGTTTTGTTTCCGTGGTATTTGCGTCCACGCATTGCAGCGGCCTCTTGTCCCAATTGATATGGCGGCAATTGACAGGTCCATGATCATGGCAGCCTAAGTAACCGGTGACTCGAAGTCTGTCCTTGTTGCTCGTGTGAGACCCTCACCGATGAGAAGTCGATCCATTATTGTGGGTAGGATGTTGGAATGGCAGGGGATGTTCCGACATCCTTTCGACACACGCAGCAGCCTTCGCCCCATTGAAATGTTGCGGCTGCAGGCGGCCGTTGCAACTTGGTATATCCATGGTAGAAGGAAGAGGTCTGGTGACGAAGCTGCCCAATGACGAGGGCCACACAAGATGCCCTGACCAGTTTGATGCTCGTGCCCCAGACCGGCTAGCGATTTGGGTCTACAAGCGTCAAATATGATGTCTGCGGTTGAGGCAGGATGGGTCGAGATCACTCAGATCACTCCACCTTCAGCCGAGGAGGGTGTGACGAAAGGGAGTGGTAGCAGCATCGCCGAATAACGACAACGCGCTTTTCTGTCTTGCATCGTGACTCCCATCCTTTGGCGCAATGTGCTGTTTTGGGGCATTCGAGTTCCTACTTGTCAAGCGTGTGACGCGGGGTTTCGCCAAGTACCCCTGCACTTAGTCTTGGTCCACAGGCGAAGAAGGGGCAAATCTGGCTGGACGAGCCCGAAGATGATTGAATAACGTCCGGTGAGCTCTGGCTGCGGTAGGGTCAAGATGGTGCACCGGCGTGGCACCGCAGCTGTTGCCGGATATCTTCTCGCTGGAGAGGCTTCAGTAGGATATCTTTAGGCGTATGACAGAATGGCCACTCTGGAAGTGAGCCATCCCCTTCCGTTCCCTGTGGGAGGAGGCAAAGTAGGTTGGCGGGCGGATGCTGCTAGGGCCATGCGGCTGCGGCGAGAGGAACGCGGTGACGAGATGTACCATGGTATGGTAGTGCATTACCGCTCGGCTCAGGGATTCGAAGAAGGCCAGTCAACGGGTGCATGCGTGACAGGGGCCCGGCATGGGAACTTGCACGCGGCGGTCCAACGACAAGCTCCGTCTGTGCGTCTCAACCAACAGGAATGGAGCCCGCTTCTCCCCTCAACGATGCCCTGCAGGCCTAGGATGCAAGTCAAGCAAGGACGTGATGAAGTGCATACACGCATCCAGACGTAGTGTATGTGCGGATACGCAGCACGCAGTTAAGTAGGTACTCCGGCCTTGGAGGGCTCACGTAACCACGAAAAAGGTATCGGATCGGACGTGTCAGGTAGATGGACAACCCAACGCGAAGGTCGATTCGGCGTCGGTGGCGGGCCAGCCACGGTAGCCGGAGCATGATCGGCCATTCGTTGCGCAGGTCGAATGTAACTTTGAGCGCGAACTCGTGGTTGACATTTAATACCGCACCGTATGGGTGGGTTCGTTCAACAGATGCGCGGCAACAATAGCCAGGTCAGACCAGACTAGGGCAGGTCGGCTGGCCGACCAACCCAGACGACAAGCACGACTACTACAGGGACATGCCAGCGCCAACAGCGACTTAGAAGCTGGGGATTAGTCATGACGGCCCACGGGTCTTCAATAGTAAACATGCTTCGTGCCATTCAAGGGGCTAGCCGGCCAGCAAGCCAGCAAGCCCAGCGAAGGGACAAGGTGTACTGTGGTTTTTCAGAGAGCAGGGCCTGTTGGTCCGTTGCGATGGGTCGTGCGGCGATGACCTCAGCCTAGCCGGAGAGTTCATCAGAACGAACGAGGGAGAGAGAAAGAGGAAGAAGCTGCGGTAGCTGGGTTGGGAGATTGCGGCTCATGTGAGTCTGGAATCCACCCATCCGCGTTTGTAGTACCCCCGACCGTAGCTCGCGTTGTCCCGCGCTTCGGAGGTTTCAGTTCGGCAGGAAGAGGCAAGGCACCGGGTGCCGAATGGATGCCCGGGCGGCGGGGGTCGCCGGTGGTGGACGGTATACGTTTGACCCTGTTCGTCTGTCTCTCTCTATAGGGGGCTATTCGTAGGATGATGAAGGATGGCCAGCAGGGTGCACATCAGGCCGCTGCGACAGAGGCTGTTCCATCCTTAGGCTTGGTCTGATGATGTGGCGAGTGGCTGTTGTGGTCAAGAAGAGGTTGAGACGCAAGTGTCTTGGCAACGACGCTGGCGGTAGGCAACAGATGATGCTCTTGCTCCCGCCAGCGTCGCTGCCAGTTCAGGTGCCGCTTTAGCAATCAACCTCACACTGGCCGGTAGTGACAGCCCCAGGCAATCGGAGCGGGAAACGGGGAGTTAACGAGTCGCTTGCTGGCCGCACGGTGGTTCTGGTTCACATAATTCGGGAAATTTGGTAGTTGCGCAGCGGCCAGTCCCCTCCTTCTACGGGTGCAGTGTACGCACGCACCTTCGGGGTGGAAGCCACGTAGGTGTCATGCAATTAAATTATTGTACAACTGTTCCGGGAGTTAGGTAGTTGGCCATTGGGCTGTGCATCTCTTTCCCTGTCGTGCCGAACCGCGCTTGCCAAATGGGCCAGGTTCAATACCTACAGTAGGCATGGCCGTAAAAGAAGCAAGAGGAGGAGGAGGACGAGGGCAGGCAGGAGCCACGCGAGGGGGGAGGAATGGTCATATGCTGCTGACCTCTCGTGGCCCAGGTGAACTTAAAATCTGTCACTAGCGTCGCATAAGGAGGTCATGAGACCTGTTTGTATCCAGAAAAAGACACACCGAACCCTGGAGCTGCGCCGCAGAATGGGTCAAGTAGAGAGAGAGAGAGAGAGAGAGAGAGAGAGAGACAGAGAGGTAGGTACCTTTGTTAACGGTTCCCACAACGCAATCCATCACACACTCCAGGTGCAACTTGCCTTGCAAGCTTGCAAGCCTGTAAGCCCACAGCCCCGCGGTGCAGCCGCAGGTGAGGGGGGAGGGAAGGTGAGCTCCAATGCCCACCCAGTCCATGTCCTTTCCCAAGTTCCCGCCGTCAGGCTGGCTAGGCTAGGCCCTGCCATTGGATGCCGTTCCTGCTGCAGGCTTGTCTAACCGTTTCTGGGTATAGCAGTCACATGCTTCGAAAGCTTAGGTAATACATATACGATGTATGTCAGACCGGCCTTGCCAGGAAAAAAAAAAGCCAGGAAAAAAAAAACCGTACCAGCACGCGACTATGGGACACGAGGACAGGGGAGGGGCCAAGAACCCCAATGGCAGCGTGACGAGAACAAGTCTTCCAGGAGTCGGCGACGGTTGAGAGGGTCGGTCAGCCGTCAGGACGGATAAGTGGACGAAAATAGTCACGTCGTCGATGGCTGAGGATTGGAATGTTGGCTAGGAGGCTCAGGAACCAGTGCGGCTCAAGCCCGCATGATTCAACGACGTAGGAACTCAGCCAGCCCATCCTTCTCGATGCTGCCATTGTTTCTGTTGTTGTTGCCGCCACCGCAAGGTTTCCGCGCACGTTCCGTCGAAACTCAAGGCCCAAACAAGGACTCGGAGCTTGGACTGACCATGTCTTACTAGGTATGTAGAGGCCTCTCGCGCGAAGACCTGCGGAGTGAAGCATGACTGCCCACGTCCCCGAAGCATTGCACCGAGTATCAAAGAGCGCAGCATACGTGAGAGCCACATTGGGCTTACCTGCGGCCTGCAGCCATCCCGATGCCGATTCTCTAGCAACGGCCAGATGGACGTTGGACGAAAATCAACCCAAGACTGTCCGTCATTTGACTCATCTGCGACGGACGACTGAACCGCAATGCTTATTCAAAGTCAATGGCTTTGGCCCCCCCTCCTTTTTCCTTGAATGGTCTAAATCCAGACATCATCGAGTGCGGTAGGATTCCTGATCCTGGCCCTCGGCAGCCTTCACTTGTTGCTTGCAGAGCCTTATGCAACGCTACGCTACACGGCTCTCCACCGCATTGCGCATCTCAATTTTATCGGAGAAACCCAGCCGAGTCGAAGAGGGAGACCCTGCCATTATGGGGCATATATATACCTGTACGATGGTAGTACATGTATACTACGTAGTATGTATTGCAAACCACCCGCGCAACAACCCCACTTGGCTCTGAACAAAAGACAACCGCGAGTGGTTTTTTTTGGCGACCCGGTGGATTGCTTCTGCGGTACGGATACTTCGGTCTTAGAGAAACATCAATGTACCAGGCTCCACTCCTACTGCTGGGCGCCGCCCCCCTCACAACGAGACACGAGCCACAACCACGACTCTCCTCCTGGGCCCGATGCCCCGCACTTGGCCGTCTCCTCCACACATGTGCACGTCGTCATAGGACCTTTGGATAAGTCTCTTTGGCGGGGTTGGGGACATTACGAGGAGGGGAGGAGGTCCAGAACAGTTGCAGAGACTCCATAGCCAACAGTGAAGAGTCCGCAACCAGCTCTCATGGAAGCCTTTTTGCAATTCCATCAATGGGCAAGGAGCCCGATTTGCCTTCTTCCTTCGCCCTTCGCCCCCCGCGTGCTTGGCTACCACTCCATAAGAAAACAAACACCACCACCGCGCAAGCCACAGGAGCTCTGACCAGTGCCTAGAACCAGCAGTATCCCTCCACGTCCCGCCAGCCCCTCCCCTCTTCTTTTCAAGGCCCAGCGAGGTTTAGCCCAGTGGACGCATCCCTGCTCGCGCATTCCAGGACGGTCGTGTAAATCGCTAGAAACGACCAGGGCGTGTGCGACTCCATCGTATTGCAGAGCATGTGCTGCATGCGAATACTGTTGTAAAAGGAAGCGAAAAAAAAAAAAAAAACCTCTTCCTCTACAGCATATGACTAGGACCGTATCTGCAATTTTGCTGCACGGGTGGCTATGCTTGTTCACTTGTCTGCAGCTTGGGCCGAAAGAGCTGCTGTCAGTAGCTACCCAGTCTTCACTACAGATGAGACTGGCGTCAGCAAAGATGTGCATACCTCGTCTTTCATGACTAAACGAAGAAGAGAAAATGGCAACATAGTACACCATGTCTAAGTATCTATGCCGTGAGAACCGTGTAACTTGACAGCAAAGTAGGCCACGAAAAAAAGAGATAGACGGGAGGCTACCGTCCTGCAAAACAGAAAAGAAAAAAGAAAGAAAAAGGCAGTACTCGTTGTTGGTGGAATCGCCCTCGACTCATCAGTAGAGGGATGAACAAAGGCAAATTTCCATGAGGAGCCTCTCGAGAGCGCAGATCCATCTGCCCTCAGACGATGCTTTCCACGATTAGTCAAGTGCCCACCGGTTGTCGGAGGTGACGATACCCAAGCCTCTGGTCCTGCGACTGTCTCGATGCTGCCTTGGTCTTCGGATCTAGCGCCTGGGTAAATCGTTGCCAAAACCATGTTGATGAAGGGAATGGGCCGACCCTACTATCGAACTCCGTCTTCCTGCGTATTCCCCGTACGCGTAGATGCACAGCAGTAGGCCAATGACTGTGAGGAGAAAGTCAAAACCGAATGCTCGGTCAAAGAGCAACAGACTGGCGCAGGAAAAAAAGGTCCAGTGTCGAGGGAGGCGGACCTTTTGGACCAAAACCGAGGAAAAAGAACGTTCAATGTGGAGGAACCGTGCGAGTACATAGGTACTGGACCCTGCAGAATTGGGACCGCTCAGCAGGTCAGTCCTCGAGCGAGGCGCATTGTAGGTACTCGGTTAGTGTGTACCATGTCCAGTCGACTGGCGTCTTATGGTACTGGGCCGGTACGCATGGAAGACCCAGCTGGTCAGGTGGCCTAGATGTACCCCGGCAGTACCGATGTTGGCGGACACGGGTCCGTGGTGACTCCAGGCATGGAAGACGTGGGATCCCAAGACTGAGGAGACGAGAGACTGCAGGCACCTGGTAAAGAACTAACTGCTATGAGGCAAAGTCACCAATCATCGTGAGGACCCAGGGGACTTTAAGAGAAGCTACAGAACAGAAAAGCAGAATAAATGGAGAAAGGAAACAAAACAAAACGAAATCGAGGAAGACCTGAAGAAAGAGAAATAAGTTGAGTAAGATGCATGGGGTGATGAATACATTAGATGCTCAGGGCACAAGGCAGTTGCTACCAGAAAGCACCCTCCACCCAAAGCCAGCCTGTGTCTGTCTGTCCGTCTCTCCTGGCATGGGGAACATCGACTGGTATCTACCTCTTTCTCTCCCAGTCCCAGTGATCGGTCAGAGATCTCAACCCGGTATCTTTGTTTTTTCGACGAAGTTGCCTGGTAGGGTCATCTTGTCTTGGGACGAGCAAGAGCTAGTGCCTGCAGAAAAGACGTGGTGGTTTAAACCCAAGGTCTCTTTTCAAGTCAGGTAGGCACGCAGGCGCAGACGACCTTACGTCGAGACGACAGCGACAGGCACAGGCCCAGTAAAAGAGGGAGGAAAACGGCAAGGTACGTACCGATCTGATCTCCTGGTGTGTTTGTCTCCCGGGTTGGCAAAAACCTGGGAAAGTGCCTGGCAGGAGCCAGCAGGAGTAACAGCATGAGCGCCCATTGGGTTTTTGACTTCCGCTTGCCGAGTTTTAGCGCCTGCTTCCCCGTCTCAAATTGAGCACATGAGCAAGCCTGGTGCAGCGGGTCCTTGTCTAGAGGGGACGACGATGAAAGGCTAACCAGCCAACCCAGTCGAGCAGCGTCCCGCCGTTGTTCTGGTCTCTCCTTCTGCATGTCTCGCCCACCGAACTTCGATCCCGACCTGGAGGCCCTGGACCTGGACCTAGACCTAGACCTATGTAGACCGGAGCCTGAAGTGTACTTGTTCTTGTAGGCGTCCTTGGCCTGCGCTTCCCAGGCTTGAGCTCGCATATTCAGTCTCCCAGATGTCAGAGTTCCTGGCCAACTTGACCTTCCCCCGTCTCAAGGGCGCCGTGCAGCATCGACGACGGCGATGATGACGCACGGCTGTCTTTGTTGATCCGAGAGGAGAGAAGGGAGAAGAACGACGCCTCCACTGTCTTGTTGACCGTTGAATGTCTGAGTGATCCGGCTTGACCTGATCTTGAGCCCGACTCGAAGTGAATCACATTGTCCTATTTTATGAGTGCCCATCTATCCATACTGTTCCTGCGTGGTGTCTTGACTCTACCTCAACCGATGACCTTGTTCAGAGAAATCCGGACTGAACTCGCCCGGCAGATCCTAGTCGGCACTGCGCGCGGCTTGCTTCCTCCCTCGAAATGGCACTTTTGTCTCGCAGCGGAATACGGATGCTGCTATCCACCTTGGCCATTGACGCTATCAAAGCCGTTTTATGTCAAGCAGTCGCTTTACTCGGTCTTGGGAACCAGGAGCAAGAGGGACGAAGACAGTAAAGGAAGGAAGCTCGCCATGCCTGGTCAGGCGACATACGAGAGGTGAAGAACGCAGGTTAGGACCGACTAGAAGTTGTTCAAAATGGGATTGTAGAAATGGGTAGCAGCAACAGCAAGTAGCAGGTCGACTTTCTCCTGTGTTTATTCCCGTATCCTGGTCTTTTGTTTTCATCTTATTTGATTCCGGGGTGCTTCACTGCTCTTCCCTCTCTCCCTCTCCCTCTCAGAGTCTCTCTCTCACACCCCCTGGACTAGTTAGTTTTGGGGACTTGAGATGCACTCCGTCATTCCTTGTCCAGCTGCGCGCGCTAGTCTGCCCTGCCGTATGGTCCGCGAGACCTCAAGCCCAAAAGAACAAGAAGCACAAACCACCCCAGTTGCCCCTCTTTGCAAAGTACATCCCTACCTCTCTCTCTCTCTCTCTCTCTCTCTCTCTCTCTCTCTCTCTCTCTCTCTCTCTCTCTCTCTCTCTCTCTTGCTCCCCAGTCCAGTACTTCATCCATCCACCACCACTGTCCAACATCTTTCCCACCATTCACTGGAACCAACCCACCTCGCGCTTCTCTAAACGGCGTGACAACATCCTCCTTCTCCCACCTCTCGGGTACCCGAACTTCACCAAGTTTCCCCGTGCATCGCTTCCTCTCTTGCATCTCCCTACCACCAACAGCATCCGCTCTCGATATCCGTTTTCTCCATAAATAAAAAGATAAAAAAATACGTCCTACGCCGATCTATTGACGACCGCTCATACCGCCCTGTCCTCGACCCGTTCTCGTCTCTGTTCTCGCTTGGAGGACAGCTGTCTCGGTCCAGCCACCCAAGCAGAGAGCGGCCAGCGCCTCTGCTCCGTTTCTCTTTTCCCACTCTCACTGCACCTCGCAGCCGCCGCCGCAGCTACCTCGAAGACAAGAGGTTCCCCTCTCGCTCTCGCGCTGTCTCTCTTTCTCTCTCTCCCTCTCACACACGCACACTCTCTCTTTCTCGTCTCGGTCGTCTCTTTCCGCAATCCCGCCTTCGCCGACAATTGCCAGTCCTTGTGAGTAATTCTTGTCTTCTACATCCCAACCCCACCGGCCTACCCTGCTTGCGTTGCACGGGCGTAGAAAACATCACGATCCTTGAGCTTGGTCGGCCTGCCCCTCAGCGACGTGCTGTGCCGTCATCACCACTTCCCCCCCTTCCCACCCACCACCACCACCATCACCACCTCCAGCATTACAACCACCGCAACCCCCCAACACAACCACCGCCTACTGTACCTTGTCCTGTCTCTCGGCCCGTCGTCACCAGTTCACCCACACACGAGGCGTGGTATTTGCCCTGCTGTGACATATTTCCCCCATGTAAGGCATCTGTAGCTGCCTCGCGCTACTGGTCTGCACGTCCCTGGCATTTTCCCTCTTGCCTGAGCGAAAAATCACCTCACTAGGTACTCCGTACTTGCTGCATGCATAGCGCTGCTACGCATATACACACTGCCCACCCCCTCCTATTCTCTGTCCTCTGTCCCGTCCCGTCCTGGTCTTGTCCTGCTTTGGCCGGCCCTGCTCTGCTGCTACCTTACCTACCTTACCAATAACCTCTGGTTCCTTCGCTCCTCTGCTTGCTACCATTCACCTTGCATCGTTGCCATCATTCATATTCCCTTGCCCTGCCACCTTCTTCCTCTCCCTGTCAAAACACCTCCCGCCCCGCACCCTCGTCCGTCATCCTCGTTCATCACTGTTCGTTGCACGGCACACCAGTACTTTGCCCAAATTCGCCTCGCCCTATTAACCACAATCACCATCTTCGAATTTTTCGCTCCTCCTAAATCTCTCTGCTGCCCTGCTAATGAGATCAATCAGCTCCTTGCAGATTGCCCATCGACCTCAATAGTGCAATTGGATCCAGTCCTTGGGGAAGCCTCAACCGACACCCGACACGAATCCGCTGCCGGTCCCATTCCCCTTCTCAACCCGTCTCACGACCACAACCACGTCCATAGCTGAGGCCCTCGAAACAAGCGATTGACTCGTCGGCTTCCAACTTGGCTCTCGTGCAATTATAACTGCACGACTTCTATACCAGCGAAGCAGCCTTGGTTCCCCGCTGCCCATCACGGCCCGCCTTCGAATAACGGATTCGTTACCCCTCATTCCTGTCGACCTCACTTCGCCCAACGTCGGCCTACAATAGCAGGGCTTTTGCCGTGCTGACAACACCTTCCGAGCCATGGCGCAGAATCGCCCCGCCGCTTTTAACACTCTCAGGATGGGAGGTAAGCAGCGGCAATTCCCATGAAGCAGCCCGTTCCGGTCATGCTAACGCCTGCAACAGAGGTTATTCGCGAGAAGGTCCAGGATGGAATCACTGGAGAAACGAGAGATCTCCAGTACACTCAGTGCAAGATTGTGGGTAACGGCTCTTTCGGTGTCGTCTTCCAGACCAAACTCTCGCCTTCAGGAGAAGATGCGGCTATTAAGCGTGTCCTCCAAGACAAGCGATTCAAGGTCTGTAACCCTCGCCTTTTGGCCCTCGAGCCGCGTCGTGCTGACAGCAACTTCAGAACCGAGAACTTCAGATTATGCGGATTGTCCGGCACCCCAATATCGTGCAACTGAAGGCCTTTTACTACTCCAATGGCGAACGTGTAAGGAGCCTCGCCCAGCAGCAGACGACCACTTGGCTAACCCAACGTAGAAAGACGAGGTGTATCTCAACCTCGTCCAGGAGTTCGTGCCCGAGACGGTCTACCGCGCGTCCCGCTTTTTCAACAAGATGAAGACGACAATGCCAATCCTGGAAGTCAAGCTCTACATCTACCAGCTTTTCCGCGCTCTCGCCTACATACACTCTCAAGGCATTTGCCATCGCGACATCAAGCCACAAAACCTCCTCTTGGACCCCACGTCGGGTATTTTGAAGCTTTGCGATTTCGGTAGCGCCAAGATTTTGGTCGAGAACGAGCCAAATGTGTCGTACATCTGCTCACGATACTACCGAGCGCCAGAACTCATCTTCGGCGCTACGAACTACACCACCAAGATCGGTAAGCTAATCGCGTTTGAGGAGCAAGATGGCGTATCAATCCTAACTTTTTGCGTGATAGACGTTTGGTCCACCGGCTGTGTGATGGCCGAACTCATGCTCGGACAACCTCTCTTCCCCGGAGAATCAGGCATCGACCAGCTTGTCGAGATTATCAAGGTTCTCGGCACGCCTACACGAGAGCAAATCCGCACGATGAACCCGAACTACATGGAACACAAGTTCCCTCAGATCAAGCCCCATCCCTTTGCTAAGGTCTTTAGAAAGGCGGACGCGAATGCGATCGATCTGATCGCGCGCCTCCTCGAGTATACCCCGACAGAGAGACAAGCTGCCGTCGAAGCCATGATTCATCCGTTTTTTGACGAGCTGAGAGATCCCAACACCAAACTACCCGACTCCCGCCACCAGAGCGGCGAAGTTCGAGACCTACCCCCTCTGTTCGACTTCACCCGTCATGGTACGTGTCAAGTTTGTAGACCGCATTGGCTGCGCCGCGTCTAACATGATCTTAGAACTTTCGATTGCGCCGAACCTGAATCATCAGCTAGTGCCGCCTCACATGAAGCCCGTCCTGGCTGGAAGGGGATTGGACATTGACAACTTCACCCCGATCCCGAAGGCAGATATGATGGCCAAACTGGATTGAGCAAGCCGAGACCTTGTCCAGGGACTCAGTGCACTTGTGGATCGTCCCCGACTATTCTCGTCCGCAAACCAACTGTTCGACCAGCGCATACCGAGATGGAATTCGTGCATGGAGCGCAGGGGCGCTCGCCTCCCACCCCAAGGTCCGGCCAAATGATGATTAGATGTTGAACGTGCAATGCCGACCAGAAGCTGAGCTGCGTCGATCGTTCAAAGCGCAGCGGCTTGCTGGTTAAGATGTGCGAAGTGTCTGCGCTTCTCGCAATGTCAACCGTCTCACGACGACATTGAGGAGGCGTGGCAAGAACTGGGCCTCCCGAGGCATGTCTATTGATTACGCGACATGTTGCTAACCATTTCACTGGGAAGCTGCGTCGTCGTAATTCGCGAAAGACTTAGGTTCTGGACCGCATCCTGACACATGACCCAAGATGGCTTTCACTTTTGTTCTTCCTCATGTTACCGAAAACCCTTCCCTACGCTACGCCACGACAGGCGATTGTCTGGACGGTCCGAGCCTACCTTTTTCTCGTCTTTTCATCACTTCGTAAGGTCCGGCGGGGCTTCATCGCTTATCAGCACTCGGCAGACGCATGGTGGACTTGTTCAGGATGCTGTGGGGGGAGGGGGGGTGAACCCTTTTATGGTTGTTGGCGGAGAACGGCGGAAGGCATGGAGTTGGGATGTACTCTCCTGCTTGTTGCGAGGTGTGAGCGGCAGGTCTGGATTGGTATTGGGCATGATTCCGAGGAAAAGATTTCAGCTTTCTCTGTTTATTCATGGCGACGCAACGATGGCGAGCCAAAGGAGGTCAATTAAAAGGGTTGGGACTGGCTACTTCGCTCAGACAATGGGAAAGAATGCTGCTATTATGACATTTTGCTTAGAGTGGCCGATCAGGATAAACGCGAGGCAGCTTACTCTCTCGTTCGAAGCACTGCTTTGTCACGTTCCTCATCCCCTTCCTCGTGGGCCTGGATGTGAAAGATGATCTGGGACAATGCTCTCATATCCTGCTGATAAAGAAACAAGGGTTGAATTGAGCTTTGGTACCTGGTTGGGTATTTATTTAGGTACCTTGAAACTAAAACTGGCTTAGTACCTGACTTTAGGTACTAGCTAGGTGGGTAAATACACTGTGCGCCCCCAGATACTTTACTGCCTCAGGCAGCTATGCGTCGCGTCTTTCCAAGCAAGTGCCCCCGGGGTGCAGGTGTTACTAGCAGGGGAAGCTTGTCTCCTTCCGCCATAACTTTTTGAGGTTCCTACTTTGAGGCTGCGTACACTTGCCAGGAGCTTCACCTCGGCCGACCCATTGGCCTTTACAGATATCTTGACCGTACTCAGTACCTCACTCAATTGTTATAACCACACTTCATTGACATGGGGGACTACGAGAGAAGGCGCCACGGCGGCGGTGGTGGATACAACAACAGGAAGAGAAGATATCGAGGTAAGCTTCCCCTGTTATGTGTCTGTTTCAGCGCGAGCTCACCAACCGCCTCTGGCGGCGACAGAGGACGATGACCACGATCACCGACAATCGCGAAGAAGAATCGATAATGCGCCCCTGCACGTAAGGGTTCGCAGACAGCTCCTTTCTCTTGCCGAATCCCCTCTTCGCCGATGGCACGAGGAGGTCCAGGCCATCGCTCACGTCGTTGCCGACAACGCAGAGGACACCGAGCTTCGCGAAAGCTTCGTCGGTCTTGTCTTGCAGCTCTCGTTGGAGCAGCCACTCAAGACACCTTTTGTAGCTGGCGTACTCCTCCTGGTGAATACGCTCAAGCCCGACATTGTGGACGAGATTCTTGCGAAGCTCAGCGCCACGACGCAAGAGAAGATTCAGTCCGGCGAATGGAGGGATGTAAAACTCTATCTGAAATTGCTTGCTTGCTTGCAGAGCTCTCTAGATGGCGAGGGAATCTTCCCCGTTCTAGAGGAGCTGTTTGGTCGGGCTGTTGACTTGCAGACGGCAAGCTCCGATGACGTAGGTGCAGCATTCATTAAGATTTCTTTAGATGGCTAACAGATCATAGACAATTGGCACAGAGCTGGTCAAGATCATTCTTCTTACGATCCCGTACATAATGGCAGCGGCTCCTGGTCAGTGGCAGCAGAAGGCTGCCGACCTTATGGACAAGACAGAAATTATCGCCTCGGAGCCCCACGCCCTGCAAGCATTGATCGACCCGTACCTCTCCGAGAAGGAGGACCAGCCTAGTGGCTCTATGAGCGTGATCGCATTGCTCCAGAAGCAGCTGCAGCGCGAAGCAGCAAATGGCTGGGAACTTTCCTGCCTTCCTAGACCCTGGAAACTGCCACTGGAGGAGATCGAGGCACAGGAGAAGCTGGACAATGCCACGAAGCATAGCCTCCCCTCCATCACGGTCCCTGAGAAGATCGTCGCTGGTCCTCGGCCCCTCTTCCCCGAAGTCTACTTCTCAGTATACGGCAATCAAGACGTCGAGTCTGTGCCTCCTGTGACGGACATCGCTGCCTCATTGGTCAGAGATGGGTTGGTTGATACGATTAATATTCTTGACTTTAACCGCAACGTCACTGCACGATATCTCATTGACCTGGACTGCTACTTTTCCGACACCACCTTCGTCAAGCGAGCGACGCCTTTTGATCGACTCAGGGATATCGAGACTGGCCGCTCAACATGGAAGCCTGAGGATGTCGCTGTCGATGCCGTTTTCTCGCAGCTTTTCCAACTACCAACGCCTGAGCACAAGCTTGTATACTACCACTCAGTCCTTACCGAGGCTTGCAAGATTGCGCCTGCAGCCATCGCACCTAGTTTGGGCCGAGCGATTCGGCACATGTACCGCAACTCCAGCCGCATCGACCTTGAACTCTCGCAGAGGTTCATCGATTGGTTCTCACATCATCTAAGCAACTTTGGCTTCACCTGGAAGTGGACAGAGTGGGTCGACGACGTCTTCCTTCCCGACCTGCATCCCCAGAAGGCGTTTATAATTGGGGCCTTGGACAAGGAAATCCGACTGAGCTTCGCACAACGCATCAAGGGGACGCTTCCTGAACCCTACCAGCCCTTGATTGGGCCCGAGAAGGAAAAAGATGTTCCGGATTTCAAATTCAATGACGACAGTGAGTGATAATCTTTCTCCTCATGATCCGTGTATTAACAGATAAAATCAGGCACTCCATTTGCAACCGAGGGTCGCGAGATCGCTGCGTTGCTAAGACGCAAGGCGCCCGACGAAGAGTTCCAGCCAATCATTGAACGAATTCACTCACTTGCGATAGAACGCGGTTTGGATCCCTTGGTGACAAGCACCGACATCTTCGTCACGGCTGTCTGCTGGGTTGGTTCTAAGTCGCTCAGTCACGTCCTGGCATGTATCGAGCGCACCAAGGACCGTCTGCTGGATGTCGGCGCGGCATCTGAGGTGGCTAAGGCCCAAATCATCACCGCAGTCATGTCGTATTGGGCAGCACAGCCCGGCGTTGCTATCTCGATCGTCGAAAAGCTATTGAACTACTCAATTCTTCTACCCATCACGGTTATCGAATGGGCCCTTGGGGGCAGCAGTCACGTCGAGGGACAGTCATCGGGCGATGCCTTGGCGCAGCCGCACGTCTTCGAGTTGGTGTTTGGAACCGTGGCCAAGGTGACGGGACGGGTCAGACAGTTGTTGACTAAAGAAGCCGAAGCGGACGAAGAAGCGAAAGAAAGGGAGTGCAAGGCTATGCGTGATCTTTTCAGGGCGATGGATGATGCCTTGATCAGCTGGGCTTCGGGCAGCAAGGACGAGATGATGGAGGAAATGGATGGCGCTGGCCAACGCGACGCCCTCCTCCGCCGATGGGGGGAGAGATGGCTGAGAGTATTCCGACGGCGGTCAGCCATCGAGGAGGCCTTCATTGTGGAGGCTAACAAGGAGCAAGCTGTCGCTGTAGACGAAGTCTAAGCTCTCTCAAGAAGGGTTATCCGTCGTCGCGGCCTTCTCGTCGGCTTGTTGAGGAAATATGCCTTCAATTTGTATGATTACACAAAATGTTCATGGTCTGTAATAGATCGGGTGAAGGCCTGGCAGACAAGAGATCATCATCGGGCCTTCAATCTCAGACAATCAATGCGGAACTACATACCTTCCTGGATCTGCTCGACATTGTTTGCATGGCTCTTATGGCATGGACGACGGATTGTGTCTCGGATGTTAAGCTATCAGGGTCCTCCCACTTTAGTGGCTCTCGCTGCCCCCTGGTACTTGAGTAATCGGGCGGGTGCGGGGCATCGTCCAGCCTAGTAGCGGTTCCTTTTTGCGCTGTAGCACTGATTGGGCAGAGCCGGTACGGCGGGGTTAGAGATTTCTGCAAGGCTGACAGCCAGCTTCAAAAAAAATTTGGACGGGGAAAGGTGCTATCTTGCTTGCATCCAGCATTTCTCAACAGCACAATCTACAACTCGACCAACCGCCTTTCGAACACGCAGCCTCTCGTAAGGGAGACCAGGTCTACATTCACCTCTCCAAATCTGCCATCAAATCTTACCAGTACAAGAAGAACACTGGGTGTGTCTCGAGCTCAAACCAGTTACAATGGAGTCCTCAGCGGCCCAGGTGAAGGTTAACTTTACGACAACGCACGAAGATCTCCAGTTGGACGAGAGCAAGAGGCAACTGATTGTGCCCGCAGGTACTTCCTCTGATCTTCTTGGGAACCCAATGGGTTGTTGGTCTGTGACGTTGACGGCTAACATCCTTCCCCCCTCCTAGACATCAAGCGATATGGCCTCTCAAGGATATTGAACTCCGAGTCGATGCTCAACACGTCGTCGCCCGTGCCCCTCGACTTCCTCGTTAATGGAACCTTCCTGCGCACCACAATCGAAGAATACCTCAAGGAGAATGGCCTCTCGCTCGAGACGACTATCACCCTGCAGTACGTCCGCAGTCTGCTGCCCCCCGTTTACGAGGCCTCGTTTGAGCACGACGACTGGGTCGCCGCCGTCGACGTCCTCTCGGCCACGTCGGCCGCAGGCCGCTGGTCCGGCGACGCTCTTCCCCAGGGCCAGGATCGCATCCTCTCGGCCAGCTACGACGGTCTCGTCCGCGTCTGGAACGGCTCCGGCCAGTGTCTGGCGACGTCCCCCTCGGCCCGCGCCGGCGGCCACGCCAAGCTCCTGACCGACGCCAAGTTCCTCTCCTCGTCGCAGATCGCCTCCGTCGGGCTGGACCAGAAGGTCCTTGTCTGGAAGTACACCGAGTCGGCCGACGGCTTCTCGGGCGAGCTCAAGCCCACGCTCGAGCTACACGGACACAAGAAAATGATCAACTCGCTCGACGTCCACGGTCCCTCCAAGAAGCTGCTGACGGCCTCGACCGACGGCCGCGTCGGCCTTTGGCTAGCGTCCAAGAAGGGCAGCCCGGACGTCGACGCCGACGACATCCCCGCCACGCATGCCAGCAGCGTCAAGCGCGCTAAGCTCTCCAACTCGTCCGTCACGGTGCCGCAGAAAGGTGCCCTCGCCATGATCGCCGCCCACGCTGACGCCTCCGCCACCGGCGCCGCCTTTCACCCCACCGATGCCACCGTCGCCTACTCCGTCTCGACCGACCACACCCTCCGCACCCTCGACCTGACGACCGGCTCCGTCGTCTCGACCCTGACGACCCTCCACCCGCTCCTCTGTCTGGCGCCCATGCCGCGCAACTCGTCCCTCGTCGCCGCGGGCTCCGCCGCCCGCCACGTCGCCCTCCTTGACCCCCGCGCCTCGGCCTCGACCACCTCGGTCCTCACCCTACGCGGCCACACCAACATGATCTCGGCCCTCGCCCCCTCCCCAGACAACGACTACAGCTTGGCATCAGCCTCGCACGACGGCACCGTCAAGATATGGGACCTGCGGAGCGTGCGGCCCGCCACCAAGGACGAGGGCGGCGGCAGCGTCAGCGAGGCCGTCTACAGCATCGGCAGGGAGTGGCTTAAGGGCAAAAAGGCGCCCACGGGCGGCGAGGGCGCAAAGGTGTTTGGCCTCGCCTGGGATCAGACGTGGGGCATCGTCAGCGGTGGCGAGGACAAGAAGGTGCAGATTAACAGGGGGAGGGATCTCGTTTCTTCCTCGTAGGAAATCGGCCGTAAGTGGGCGGAGAGGGAGAGAGAGAGAAAGAGAGGAGGGACGATACAAAAAGTTCACGGATTGGTGATTTTGAACATGCGGTTGGGAAAAGTTTGCTAAGACGGAAAAAAAAAAACCATAGACTACAAGAATAATACCCCCAAAAATTTATCAAGACTGCATTGCATGCATGGCGGCTTTCGAGAGCATCCGACATCGACGTTTTGATTGTCGTACCGTCTATATCTCGTAATGATGGCTGACCCTTCCCCCCTTTCTTCCCAAACTCCTCGCAAGTCGCAAGCATGTCTAAACTCATTCAGTGTTCAGCCGTTATGGGCGGGCTGCCCCGCCCCCTCCCCCCCGGCGGAACGTCGATCCCTGAAGCCGATCCCCTTCCCCATCCATCCTACGTCTGCCACATGTGCTCGCTGAGGCCGAGCATCTTGTCCGCCATCTGCCTCTTGGCGGCGCTCGCGATCCCGCGCTCCGGGTTCGCGAGCTGTTCACTGAAGCACAGCTCCAGCAGGGTGCGCAGCTCCTCGTAGTTGAACGTGTCGGACCGGTCGGCGTGCTCGTCCTTGTCCTTGTCTTCGCGGGCCTTGTCGACGATAGCGTCGGGCCCCTTATCGAAGAGGGCAAAGTAGTTTGCCGCGCGCGCGAGGTCGACGCCCTCCTCCACGTTTTTGAGGTTCTGCTGCAGTACGAGGATGTTGAGCTGCATGCGGCCGCAGCCCTTTGCGTTCATGGGCGAAACGAAGGCCGCATTGGTAACGAGGTAGGCGTTGATCAGCAGGCCCAGGCCGGTGCGGATGAAGGCCGTCTCCTTGGCGCGGAGGTACCGTGCTATGGTCTCGTCGTAGAGGACGAGATCCGAGTTGAGGGTCAGTATCTGCGGGTCCGGCTCGGTGACTTCCTGATCGAGGAGGTACGGGGCCGTGTCTGTGGAGAGGGCGGTGCGGAGGGAGTAGATGATCTCGCAGCGGATCTCCATGTGGAGGGTTAGGAGGGCGGTGGCCGCGAGCTCTTCGAAGGAGGTGACGATGCCGTCGAAAGCCCTGTTGGCGTGGTTAGCATCAAGATGTAGGAATAGGTTAGGTAGGGAAAAAATACTGGACAGTCTCCCGCGTCATAGGGAGATACACAGGTCCATCTTCACTGGTGGCTTTGTTGGGGTCGTTCATGAGCGTCCACCTCTTGTTCGACCCCCGGTTCAGCTGTGGCCTTGAGGAGTCCGCTTCATTGCGGGTTATGTGACGGAGGCTTGCAATCTTGACCGCGAGCCACTTCATACTGGTGTACAAGAGACAGAGAGACGAGATGGTGTCTTTGTCCTGAATGATGTCTGCCATGTCCATGCGCTTCTCGTTTGTCTGGACAATGAGCAGACCGACTTCCTTCTCCAAGAGCTCGCGGTCCAGGGGTTCGGAGGTCCACAGCTGCTTTATGGTCTCTTGAACATCGCCCTCTTCCAGAGTCATTGCCGCTGACATGCGCAGCTTCGTGGGCTCACCCGCCTGCGCCTGAGTCTTGCTCACGAGTGACTTGTACCACCCGAAGCAGCGGTCGTAGTACCTCATCATCTGGGTGATGATGAGTGTGCTCAGGGCCTGGTCGTGGGGAATAGTGCCAAGCATGCGGCAAAAAGCAGTGACAATAGCAAAGAAGGCGGTTGTGCCCTTGAAGACGGGCCGCTTGGCAACCTGTGCCCATTCCTGATCTTGCAAGAATGTGTCAGCTTCGCCAAAGATGGTGTCGCTCAGCTTGCCCAGAGTCTCGTCCAGCTGAGGCTGGAACACGTTGACCAGAAAGTTATCCAAGAAAGATGTCAGTGTGCTGGTTGCGAGGTCCGAGCCTGGAGGCACAATCATTTTCAACCGCTGGAGGAAGACGAGCGTAGGCGGCAGAAGCAAGCTCATGTTAAAGACACTGGGCTCGACGATCGACCTGTATGTGCCGGTCGTCTGTTTGTTCTCCCAACCCGCCAAACCCCCCCTCTTGGTGTTGCCAGTATCAAGCCCCGGCCGCTTCTTGTCAGCGCCAGACTTGCGAGACGTATCCGTCAGACCAGGAACAGCAGCCCGAATGATGCTCTCCAAGGCTTCATACTCCGTAGTCATGTCCACAGCCTTCGGATCACCCTCGGCAAACTTGAATAGATGTTCCCGAACAGCGTCCTTCTTGCCATTATTCGCACCCAGAGTCGGTGATGTGCTGAACTGGTACACATCGGCATCTGTTGTAACATAGTTGTGCAGGAGGGAGCGGATCTCGTTTTGATAGAGGTTCCACAGCTCCTTGAAGCTTCCCAGCAACGCGCTGTTGTTTCCAGCACCCTCCCGCCGGATGAGCGCCTTGATCGACTCGTGGAATACGCGGTGTCCCTCAGCAATTGCTTCAAATTTGCCAAACAACGTCCACAGCAGATCGTAGATGACATCCGCCCTCATCTGCGTCTCCCGGTTGCCATAGATATGTAGTCCTTGGGTGTTAGTCGAGCCGCCGCGCAATGAGCTAGGGTGCCGTTGGTCGACCTCCCTAAGCGTCTCGTTGACAATGGTAAACAGCTCGACAGGCAGTCTCTGCTTGAGAGTGTCGACAGCCATCTCCAATCTGCCCAGTTTGTTCAGGGACTCCACCAGCAGAGCGATGTAGGAGAATGTGTCGGCCTCTGGGTTCTTGGCTGGATCCTCAGCCACTGTCCCTTCGAAGTCCATGGCGTCCAGTGCTTGGTGGAAGGGGGTGACGGTGATTGATTCATAGTTGCCCTCTTTGAATGCGCCTTGGGTCTTGGCCAGGTTCTGCCACCGCTCCTGGCAGTACGGCGACTTGAGATATAGGTGTTCGTGAAGTTCCTCGACGAGAATATCCATGAGAGCCGTGTCTTGATTGGCAAGATAGCTCCGCAGGTCGCTCAATGCGCCGATCTCATCCAACTCCGGTTTCCTCAGCTTGCGCAGCGCATTCTGCAACACCTCGACCGCACTCAGAAACCGCTTCTCGGATATGCGTGCTTCCAGCTGGTCCGGCACGAGGCGCAGCTCTTCCAGTTCATTCAGGGATGTAAGAAGCTCATCGTAAGCCTGTGATGTGGCCGAGAGCTTTTTGAGTTCGGGATCCGATGTGCAAAGGCTCACTTTGGAGGCCAACAGGGAGTCCTTGAGCGCTCGCACTCGCTTCTGCGACGCCTGTATGCTGCCCTGGATCTTGTGGAAGGTTCCGATGGAACTGTTGAAGCCCTGATGGTGCTCATGAACGATACCCTTGAGAGAGCTCTGCAAGAAGTCGTGAGTCTGTCTGAACTTGTCGTACTCGTGGGCGCGGCCGACGGAGCTGGTGTCTAGGAGCTGTAGAGCAAGCTGAACGGGCACGCAGTCCGTTTGACACATAGACGGCCACTCCAGTTTGATATGCTCGAGGACCTGGACGATCTGCCGTTCGGCGCTCGTCTCCTGGGCGCGTTCTCGGGTGCGGACGGGCGGCGGTCCGCCACTTCGAAGAGAAGATGGTGATCGGGCATTCGTGTTCGTCGGCAGGGGGCCTACGGCGTACCGGTCACCTCTGTCGCTTCTGTCACCTCTGTCGCCCCTGTCGCCTCTGTCGTTGCCGTTGTAGCCATTGCCGTACGGGTCATAGTCTTCTTCCCACCGGCCAAAGTTGCCGTAGCCGTTACCGTTGCGGTAGCCACTACCGCCACTGCCGCCGTACCGGTTCGACATGGTGGAAGTGCGGGTGTATGTGGCGGTTTAGACGGTTGGGAGGGAGGGGAATCGCATCGCGGATCAGGGTATCTCAGAATCGTTGGGCTCGGAGGCGATTGTCAGGGGTGGAAGTGATCCGAATGAGCAGCGACTTGGTACTGCCCAGATTCCGTGTCGTTAATGCTGTCGCAGTCGTGGTAGGATCGAAGTGAAGCTCTCAATACGTCAAGGCCCAAGTCGGATTTGAGGTTGGAGGTTGAAGGTCGAATTGGGCACCGTGCTTCGTCAAGGTGCTGGCATCCCATCCCGCCGTAGTTGCTTTGCTAGGGGTTCGGACGGCTCTAGGCTTTAGCTGAACCATCCGCATGCACGTTTCAGCGATGTTTGGATCTGGTCTGGGGCTTTTAGTGGCTCGCTTTAGCGGCCAAAGTTGGTACCCTACCGCCCCAGGACCGCCCCATGCAATGTAACTCACCCACCCTGTCGACCTCTCGCGCCGCAGACGCTCCTCTCACAACTTCCGACGCCGATGCTGAGACCGGAGCTATCGAGCGAGTCCGTACTCCATCCCGACTCCCTGACCATGAGAGCGCGTCTGAAGGAAATCTTGATTAATTTTCTTATCATCTGAAATAATATATTGCTGCACGGTATCTATTGCTATGCCGGATCATTTCTCCATCCAGCCCATTGGGCGGTTTTATGCTGCAAGCCAGCCAGTCAAACGACCAAAGGTATGCACGTTTTTGTTCTTTCCTCACGGCTTATTCGCATTGGGTTACACTTTCACCCGATTTCATTTGAGCACTTTGTCTAACGTGGCCCAGGAATTTTCTTGCTTCTCATACGACGACAACCATGATTTTCATCTGGACGACTCGTCACTGAGATACTATTATACACCAGCCCTAGGCACCGACCTGTCCAAAGGCTACGATACCTTCATCAAGCATGACGACTCAAAGCCTGAACACCTCGGAGCACTTCTCAAAACCATCAAAGCTCATGAAGAAGAGACGGGGCAAAGGATTGACGCTCAGATTGTGACATGGCGTGGCATGATGACCAAGGTAGGAGTCTTCAGCTGTTACTGCGTCCCTCTAGCTAACTTCGACTCAGATCATGGCGACCCCTTTCGAAGATCGCGACGGGTTAGTATCCAATATCTCATGGATGTGATAATCAGAATCTGACAGCAGAGCTAGCTTCGAGATGAACGCAACGCTGTACCAAGTGCGCATGAAAAACCCTCCTGGCTTGACCGTCGATTGAGCTGACACTACCCAGGACTGCATGTATGCTGTTGGGCAACACCACGCCCTTGAAATGAAACTGACTTTCAGCTAGATACATAGAAGAGAACCACGAGTACAAGGTAGCGTCTCAGAAGCAACAGAACGCATCACAGCGACGAGGACCGATACCTCCTGAAGTCATGCAGTTTTGGGGTATGAGGCAGACCTTACCCTCAAGGAAAGAAGGCTTACTATGGAAACAGGTTACAAGTTTGAGACCTTGGCGACGCTCCCCGCCCCCTGGGGCGACACACCCAGAGAGTACATCGAGAAGAGAGACGAAGAGATCGTCAACAACAAAGCCCAATACTGCTCCGTAGTCCGCACAGGCATCGGGCAGACCGTCATCTGCATAGGCGGCGAAGTCGACGCCGGTGAGCATTCATTCCTCACAGCCCCCCACCCCAATTTCTACCTCCCCATCGCTCGAGAACGCTCTGATGCATCCAAGTCTGGGACTCCAAGCCCGCGAAGCCCGGCGCGCCGACGAACTGGGTCGAACTCAAGACGAGCCTCGCCATTCGTGACGACCGCGACGTCGACAACTTCCACCGCAAGCTCATGAAATTCTGGATCCAGTCCTTTCTCCTGGGCGTCCCCAAGATCATCGTCGGCTTCCGCAACCGCCAGGGCATCCTCACGGGCGTCGAGGAGATCGAGACGGAAAAGATCCCCGACACGGTGCAGCGCCGCGGCAAAGCCTCGTGGAACGCCGACATGTGCGTTAACTTTGCCGCCGAGTTTCTCGTCTGTGAGTCCTCCCCCTCCCATCTTTTTTTCTCTCTTCGTCCCTCCCTGGAATAGGCGCTTAGGAGAGAAATCTAATCTGCGACGAACGGGCCGTTGACAAGATAACAGGGCTGCGGCAGACCATCGACGACGACGGCGTGTGGAGGATACGCAGGCGGGCCGGGGACCCGAACATTGAGGTGTTCAAGATCGATGAGGCCGGCCACGGGGAGGTCTTGACGGACGAGTTCATCAACTGGAGGATCAAGCTCTCGATGAGAAGCACAGCGCCAGAACCGGAACCGGAACCGGAGCCGGAGCCGGAACTTTAGGTATCGAAACGACAGTCAATCGCAGGAGGCCGTCCGTCCGTCCCTTCTCAAGGCAGCATTAACACGATGATGGGCTTGGGAAGGTATTGCGCAATCCAATTTTATTGTAAACGCGATCTCAATGCTACCTACGAGGTATCTGACTAGTGCCAAAGCAAACCCGCAACGCCTAAAACCCATGAGACGCAGATAAAACCCGCACCGGCCGTGTAGATATCATCAGTCATGAAAGCTACATAACCGGGAGCTCATCATCGTCTTCATCAGAACAAAATAAACCCAACCCTAGGTAACTTTCAATTTGCCGACTGTCAAAAGAAGGGGCGAACTCTAACCCCCCCCCCCCCCCCCCCCCCTTCAACACGTCAGTTGTGTATAAGCTTGGTGCTTCTACCGAGGGCGCAAACTCCGGACAGAGTTCATCGATGGGCTAGTAGATTGCCGGCCTTAGACCCTCCCTTGGTAGTTGGGAAATGCACCAACCCTATAGGTACGCTCACTGGTGCGACTCCTGTCCTACCGAGTGTGTTATCGGATAAAACCTTAACAAGCTTTGCGCCCCATTGTGTTGTATGTATAATTCGGCCTTGACTAAGTTAGGGCGCTCCGGCGCTATACGTTTAGTAAGTAACGCTACCCTTTCAGGTGTCCTAGCAGGGGGTTCATCCAGCTCGTTAGCATTTACAATGGCCCCGGATTACATTTGGTAATTTGTATTTCGCGTGACGTCGCCCAATGATGTGCGGCCCCGTGCTACAGCCAGTCGTAATTTTCACTGGCTAACCTCTATACTGAAAAAATTTGAATAGCCCGCGTCTGCGGGCATCATCCGAACAAAAGGCTATCTAAGCGATTCGACCCGACTCGTCGGTACTTTTTTCAGCTCGGGATTGTCCATCGCTCCACATATTCTCGTGCCACAATACCAAGGCCATCCTCCTAGGCACTCGAGTAGTCTTCCGGGGCTTCAAAAGGCGACAGCGCCAAGTATAGCGATGTAGTATCGATGCTCGGGTGTCGTAGCGCCCTACCTCAATCTGGTTCCCATAGCTGAAACCCACGCACCCCCCCCCCCCCCGATGCTCTTTTTGTGTGCTGTCCAAACCAATATGCTGTGACGTGATCGTTACACTCTCATCATACAGCGTGTCCTCGTGAATAATGATGTTGTTTCAGTCTTCTGAGATGTCCCTCAGCAATCAATCATGTTGAGCCAGTCGAGGCTGTGGCTAGACGGCTGGCCATCTGACCCTCAAGCCCTCGGTCCAACGACCGTAAAGGACGTCAGACAGTTGCTTGCAGTGCTCCATGCCAGGACGAGGCTGGCGTCCTGGATACTTGGCCTCCACCGCCGCCTTCTCCCTCACGGGATCCTTTTCAGCCGACTCGGGCGTGGCAATCGATCCGTTGCGCCTCCTATGGCTCTTCAGGTGCGGGTTGTTCGACGCCATCATCAACTTGGTGGGGCTTCCTGACGATGGCGTTGCCGCCGCGCTCCGGATGATGACCGTTCCCTGAGGCGTACCGTCAGACGGGGTTTTAATTGACTGTTGGGGCATGAAAGCCGCGCTCAGCTTGTTGTCCTGTGAGACAGCCGCCATCAGGTTCTGCATCAAATGATAGGCACCTTCCGGGTCCACCGAATCCAGGAGCGTAAACGCATCAGTGAGCTTTGCTAGCGCTTCCCGCCTCTGCATGCCCGACGTCTGCGCGTGGAGTTCGGCCAGAGTGGGTTCCACGGCCTTGCTGAAGAGTCGCCGGCCGAGTATCGCCTCCTTGCTGCTGGGCTCAACTGCCGAGGCTCGCGGCAGTGCTTTGTTCTCATTGCTGAACGTTCCTTCAGGAGAAGTGTCCTCGTAGGCCGTGACAGAGCCGTCCGAGGGAACCCGGCGGAAGAGCCGCACCGAGGAGCCAGAGTTGCCGTACGACATGTCTGGCTGTAGGGGTCGTCTGGCGACGGTCGAGGGGGGTGAACCGTTCGCTTGGATCTGTGTGCCCGAAGCCTGGCGGCCCGAGGGTTGGCGACGCACAGTCGACCGGCGGACGGTTCCGGAAGCGGGAGACGAGGGGCCGAGCGGGGCGTCCTTGAGGTCGAGGCGGCGCATGGCCTCTTCTGCCGAAAAGTAGGACGGCTTGCGCGCATGACCGTTCGGTCGCTTGGGAGCCACCGACTTGACCGTGTCGAACACCCATTCATCCGAGTCGTCCTTATGCGACATGGTATGTAGCGTCTCTTGGTAAAAGATAGGGTGTGCTTTGCGGTTCTGGTTGGCATCCCACATCTGCTTGCGAGCAATGAGCTCTTGGAGGGCCTCGATCTTGCCTGCCGACCTGATGAATCGGTGGCGAAGGAGGTCCTTGGCCGAAGGCCTATGGTCGGGGTCCTTGACGAGGCACTGGGCAACAAAGTCCCTAAAGTCCTTGCTGAAGTTGTTTTCCAAGCGGGGGGGAGGGTTCTTGGGAATGTGGAAAAGAACCTTCATCGGGTGAATATGTGCCAGGGGAGGTTCGCCATTAGCCATCTCCATAGCGGTAATGCCCAGCGACCAAATATCGGCCTTGAAACCATACCCATCCTGCTGGATAACCTCGGGCGCCATCCAGAAAGGGGTGCCGACAAAGGTGTTTCTTTGGGATTTGATGTTGGTCAACTGGGCGGCGACGCCGAAATCGGCTAGCTTAACCTTGCCTGCCTCGGACAGCAGGACGTTGGCGGCCTTGATGTCTCGGTGAATCTTGCCTTCGGCATGCAGGTATTCGAGGCCGCGAAGAAGCTCTCGGCAGATGATGGCAATGTGGACTTCGGCGAAGTTGGCAGGTTTGAGCTGAGAAATATTAGCTGAAGAAGATCCGGCAGACCCGTTGGGCGTGGAGGCTCACCAAGTCCAGGCATGAACCGCCGCCGAGGAACTCCATGACAATCCAGAGCTTGTGGCCGCGCAGGAAGCTGCCCTTGTATTGCGTGACGAAAGAACTCGCGCATGTGCTCAGGACAGCGATTTCGCCCTGAATCTCTTGAATATCATCTTCGCTCGACTCTAGGTCGATCTGCGCGCGTGGTTATCAGACGGAGTCCTGGAGCCTCAGCACCGAGGATAGGGTCAGACTTACATGTTTGATGGCGACGGTCTCGCCGGTGGCCTTCTCAATGGCCTTGTAAACGACACCAAAGCTTCCACCTGGTTGTCATATCAGCGCTGCGGCCCAAGGAAGCACGCGATAGCGGCAAGACTTACGGCCAAGCTCCTCCAGTACCTGATAATGTTCGGCAAGACCCTCGTCGGCCATCGCGGCCGATCTGGACGTCATTGAATCGGCGTGGTCGCTCAATCGAGTTACCTACAGCAGAGATGGAGTATGAGAGAGGGAGGAGCTGGCGAGATTGGACCCGGAGTCCTAGGACGAGGGGTTTCGAGGGAAGAGTTGGCGCAGGCAAGGCGGCGGGTTGTTGGGAGACAGTTTCGAAAGAAGAAATGGATATAGGAACGGGGCTGTCGTCTGTCAGTCAGGACGGCCTGGCTTGTAATATTTGGGCCGAACCAAAAAGCAAATGGGTCTAACACAATAAAGCAAGCGGGATCGACGCAACCAAGGTTGCTTGGGACAGCAGGCGGGCTTCTCGCTTGTCCGTTCGGGCGGGCGTCTGGGATCAAGCCAATGTGCTCTCTATTTTCCTGGCTGTGGACGTTCGGTCGGTCGGTCAGTCGGGGGGTTCGATTGTTGGTGTGCTTCGTCGCAAAGCTCGGGCCCTTTGTTTACTTTCTTCCGTTTTGGTATAGCTGGGGGAGCTCCGGGGCACCGCAATTAGTACCAGGGGTTCCATGAACCAAGACGAGTCAGCCGGTCTTGCGACGGAAAAGCAAACGAAAGGAAGCCGATCAAAAGCGGCTGTTTCTGAAGCATCGTGAGGTTCGCGAACAAGAAAAGCCAACCGCAGGGGGAAAGGCCGAGAGTAGTAATAGTTTATACGTGTGTACACATGTGTGTGTGGGTGATGTTTAATGGTTGATATGCAGGAGAGCAAGAGAGAAATGCAGTGTGTGATCACGGATCGAGACTGTTGTGTGAGTAATTGCGTCGTTCGCATACCAGCCCAATGCGAGCGTGACCTTGATCCGGCCTGCGATGGAGAAGAGACGCCCGTCGACGTCTCTATCATGTCTTTCCATCTCTTCTCTTTGGTATTGTCCAGATTTCCTGCGACCTTATTCGCGGAGGGGGTCGTGCACTAGCCGCGTTGCCTTGCAGAATCTGGTTGCCAACGCAAGTGGACGGGAGACAATAGACGGTATGCAGGGCGTACCCCTTGAGACGACGCTGAGTTGTCACCCGCGCTAAGACAGAGTGCCTGCTTTACACTAGTGTAGACAGAGTCGAGGTAGGAGACTACGGATACCCGCCTGCCATGCCGTTTTCTTTCACAGGCTTGCTTCACTTGGCCGGGAGACAGGCATTTGCCAGCCAAGGGCGCCATGGCATATATCCGTACTTACGGAGTGTGCGTATCTCGGCAAGTAAGGTACGGACGGCACTCGGGACAGTCGAGCCTATGTGAGTGGGCGGCGTAATACTCCGTAGGCAGAGGTAATAAGACGACTTGGATCAGGCAAGCTGAAGAAAAGGTTAAGAGTGGGAATACCGACAAAATAGATGACCACCTTGGATCTCACCTTGCAGCTGGCTCGGCATCGCAGGCGGTGACGGAGGAACACCAAGCCTTCTCCAAGGTCCCAGGGGCCACAGATGTGCCACCCTGGGCTTAGCGTGGCGCCAAGCGGGGCCCACTAGTCACCGGTGGAGATAGGCCAGCCGCACAAGAAGGTCGCAACCCGTTGCGAAAAAAGCTCGAGCCTGGATTGTCCCTCATCCCCGATCGCCTTTGCCCATCCAGTGTTTGGAGACTTCCCGGAATCCCCCCGCCAACGAGCCCCTCTGTTTGTTGGTTGCCCCGGGTCCGCGACCCCGGCCGCCACTAACATTCACCGCATCCCTTTCTTGGAAGTCGTGTCCGGCAAGTTGCCTTTCCACAAGTCTGCCATCATTATTCCGCACGCACTTGGACATCAACGCCGCGGTTTCCTGATTACCCACCCGCCCTCCAACAAGGCCATTGTCGCTGTGCACGCGCGAGACTTGTTTGCACTGCTCACCACCTCGTCCAAGGGCCGGCAAGTGCAACAAAAAAAGGACCTGCTGCTCTTCCCACAAGCTCAGAGTCAATTTCTCGCTTGCCTCTCGCTTCGCTGCGAGAGCCTGGAGTCGTCATTATCCCCAGTTGTTGCTTTCTGCCTGCGCCCACCCTCCTTTGCATGGCCACCACGTTTGCCAATCGCAACTTACATCATCGCGCCCAACAAACTTGCTGCGTCGCGAGCCGAGTGCCGGGCTTCGCCAACAACCACAAAGGCACTCGAAGACAACTGTCAACTGGTCGCGGCCGATAACACGCAACCACTCTCGCCAGCACCGTCATCACAACTTCGACCATGGTGCCCGCACCACCGTCTCTGCCCACTCGGTTTCCGTGCTGGTGCAGAGCCGTCTACTCTTGGGGAGGAGAGGTATGTTGGCATACCTTGGCCTGGGTGGAGAAGAGCGGTTTCCGAATGCTGACTTGCCGTCCCACAGTCCAAGCGAGATCTCGGCTTCATCGAAGGCGACCTAATCGAATGCCTCAATGCCGGCGACGGCTCTTGGTGGACAGGCAGGTTATGGCGCGACCGAAGGACGATAGGAGTGTTTCCTTCCAACTTTGTTGAGGTTCTGCCCTCCGATTTCCGGCCCACAACCAGATCCGCCAGCCCGCTCCCCGCAGACACGCCGAGCCCGAGTACACCTCAAAAGTCAAGAACTTTCCGAAAGCCCTTCGAAGCATACTCCAAAGCGCCGCACTACACAGCAGCGAAACAGCCCGAAGTCTACCGGACGAACCCCAATACGAGACCTAGAGGGCACTCTGGGGAATCCATTCACAGCGCGATGGTTGAGCAAAGCAGGAGAGATCGGTCACCGGCGCCAGAAGCGTATGTTTCGAGGGAGAACTCGTTCAATAGTGCTGTCTCGAATAGAATGCGAGCGTACACGTCGCCAGCCCCGACCGGCTATGTATCACGAGGCAACTCGTTCAACGACGGCGAGCAGCAGTACACATCGAGAGGGAGAACCCCCGTCCCAAGGGCTAGGACACCCGTTCCCGACTACGGCCACGGATCGAGAGTGAACTCATTCAACACGGAACGAGGCCCATCCCCCATCCCACCATCTCAAGGCTACAGCTCAAGAGGTGTTTCGCCGGCTCCTTCGATAAGCTATAAGCCATATCGTCCTCCCACCCGAGAAAGAGTGGACTCTCCTCCACCTCCAGCGCCACCTCCACATCGACACGTAGCAGCGTCGCGGCATAAGCAGAGCATATCCTACGATAGTCGACACGACGTTTCCCGTCAAGAGTCCAATGCCTCCCACGACAACCGCTTTCACCCGGGGAGGCAAGGTTCTGGGAACTCTTTTGACAAACGACTTGATTTTATGCGCCAAGACTCGACTGCGTCATACGAGAATCGGCACTCCACCTCGGACAGGCAAGGCTCACATCTTTCTTACCAGGCTCATCGACCGCCGCCGATACAGACATCCAGGCTGCACTCGCCGTGCCCGCCTTCCCCCTCGGCCAGTCACATGACTCCTTCACCATTGCGAGAGGCAATGGACGGCGTAATAGAGCAGCTGGACGCCCTTGGCATGCCTCGAGATCCAACTCCTGAACCGCCACTCGATCCATGGTCGCCCGAATCTTTCAACATGGTCAATGACCGTGCGAGGAGAAGAAACACTTACCAAAGACCACAGACATCCATGGGCATAGCACAGCCAGACGAAGGTTACGAGACCTGGAGCGGCGGATCTTCGCGAGACCAATCCCACCAAAACGGGCACCGAGAGGACAAGGAACAGCTACCTCAATTAAGTAACTACGTCGAACGTATGGAAAGTCGTCTCAAAAAAATGCATCAACATAGCGCAAGTATGGCTGACCTTGAGGACGAGGCACCAAAGCCGCCACCCAAAGGCCAGTTATACGAGAGACCCAAGTCTTCAATGAGTGGACCGGAGGAGAGGAAACTCAACAAACGGAAGTCAGCCTACGACATTGGCCGCAACGTGCTGAACAGGACATTTACTACCAAGACCAACTCTACCAGCGCCTCTTCAGGCAACCAGAGCTCGACAACGCAGAGCAGCGACAGGAGTTTGATGAGTGGGTCATCAGCCGGCGCCATTAGCGCTACAAGCGCGGGCAGTCTCGCTCGCAAGACTCAAAAGCGTGCCCAGAGTGCCCTGGGCATGCGCGACGTCGATGTCGAGCGCCCAGAAACCCCCTTCACAGGCATCACCTATCACAGCAGCCACGCGTCAGACGCTGCCAGGCCAAAATCTACAGTCGGCTTCCATGATGACGCAGGACTTGGAGGCCTCGTCACTCCGAAACCCGCGAAAAGAAGCATCTTCAAGAAGCTCCTCGACACGGCAAAGACTGGGGTGGCCTCCGGGCGCAGTAGTATTGCGATGGGCGCCGACTCGCCCAGGTCATCGCCTTTCGCCCGCTCCATGCCTAATGTCGCCGCCGGGGCTAACGCCAGCATCTCCAACTTGTCCGCCATGGGAAGCTCTGGCCTTACTAGGGAAGCAGCCAGAGACATGGGTCCTGCCAACGGAGTCGACTGGGTCCAGGTTCGAAGAGATGTCAACCGGTCCAACTCTCTGAGCAAGAACGAGAGGGACGAACGCAAAGACCGCTGTCAGATGCTCGACTACCCTGCGCTGAACCCGATCGATGAATTGTTTGAGGGCATGGAGGGTGACGAAGGGGCTGACGGCATGCCTGTGGAGGATCCCATCGACTACCAGTCGCTCAACCTGACACAAGTTGACAAGAACTCGAGGTTTGTGAGCAGTCTTCCGGCGACGATAACAGCGCAAAGCGTCGCAACGACCTACGTCTGCCGGCCCTATCGGAGCGACGTTCAAAGACTGCGGGCCATATTCACTTGGGTGTCGGAGAAAATCCTTTGGGAAGAGGACTTTGAAGGAGTGGTTGACACCCGGAGAGTTGTGCAGTCGAAGCGAGCAAGCGCCGAGGAGTACGCCGTCCTCGTGATGGAGATGTGTTCCGCTGTCGGCATCCAGTGTGAGGTCATCCACGGCTATCTCAAAACGCCCGGTGAAATTCCTGAGCATAACATCATGCCTAGGGCGAATCATTGGTGGAACGCCGTTCTTGTCGACAACGAATGGCGGATGATGGACTGCTGCATGGCCAGCCCTTCCTACCCCAGAAGGCATCTTTACTCGAGCGCTAGCAGTAACGTGGCCGACTTTTGGTGGTTCCTTGCGCGGCCGACAGAGCTCTGTTGGACGCACATTCCCGAACACCACACCCAGCAGCACATTTGCCCCCCGCAGGCCCATGAAGTCTTGCTCAACCTTCCTTGCGCTTGCCCTCCATTCTTCAAGAACATGCTTGAGATGGTTGATTACAATACGGCAGCCACCCGCATCGAAGACCTGGAGATGGTGCATATCAAGTTCAACACTCCGCCAGACGTGGAGGTTGCTGCTGAGGTGGAGGTCCGAGCCTACACCAGAGACGCCGATGGCGATGTTTTCGAGAGCGGCGAAGTTGTGAGAAAGAGAGCACTGGCCCAAGCGGAGTGGTTCAACGGCACCAAGCGATACACGGTCAAGGCTCTACTGCCTGGGGACGAAGGTCAAGGAGTCTTGAAGATCTACGCCGGCAAGCGTGGTCTGATGCACAGCATCAAGGACATTCCCCATCCAGTGGCTTTCGCTTTGCCAATAATCCACACGGGTGAGAATCCTCCGTATGAGTTCGTGACGCGACACCCGACGCCGCATGCGCAGCGTCACGACATTTACGTTGTTCAGCCCCAGTGTCAACGGCTTGCTTTGAACAACACTTTTGTGTTTGCAATTCGACAACATCCCAGCTCTGTCGGTGGGGGTGGCTCGGCGATGACCCCATCGTCGAATCCCGGGGGCGCAAGCCCGATACCTTTCGCCAGACCGGGCTCAGCCATGAGCATGACGGCCTCCATCGCCAGTGGGTCGAATCTAAGTTCGGTGGCTGGAGGTGGGAAAAAGCCCGCAAAGCTTGCAATCCAGACTCCTGGCGGCAAGATTCTCCGTCTCATGCGCAAGGAAGAGCGCAGGGGAGTCAGTGTTGGCAGCAGAGCAGTGGAAGACGACCTTGGTGACGGTGGTACGTGGGAGACCATCATCAAGTGTTCGGAGAAGGGTGTGTGGAGGGGACTGGTTTTGGCGGACCGCACCGCGCGATGGTGCGTATTCGCCGAATGGGTGTGTGTTGGATGAGCATTGCATTCTGGAACGTCCCACTTCTTTGGACTCTCATGCTTGGAAAGACAATATCGAAAAGGGGGACTTGAGCGGTCATAGCAGGTCGGTTCGGGGTATGCATAACTCGGCGTTTTCTCTTTTATTACTTTCCTCTTTTTTTTTCTTTTTTTTTTTCTCTGCGGTATTTGGGACTGGATAGGGTACGGCTTGGATGCATTCCATCATCATTATCAATATCATGGCTGTGGGAGTTTCTAATGTACAATACGTAATGGGAATCATGCATGTCGAGGATAGGATGGTTCTGTAACACAAAATTCACGCGTATATGGCCTTAATGAGAATTATGATGTATGATTTGTTGGTCTCAATACTCTGCAGTGGTGTTGTGATGAATACTTCTGTAGTGCAGTTGCGATACGCTGTGTTCCTGTCTGGATAGCGACGCAGTCGGCACTGTGTCTTCTATCGATAAGGCGCGCTGTGGTGCCTGGACGACAGAGTCCTCTCGAATGTAAACAGAGGGGCGCTGGCACCGACGACGACCATGCAAGCCACATCCCTACTTACGCCCGGCTCTGTCTTGCTCAGCATCGACATTTCTCAACGATTTGCAAATCAAAAGGGAAGAAGAAAAAAATAGAGTCACCATCATTTCTACCGGCATTCGACGACGCCTAAAAGATAGACAGAAGGGACAAAAAAGACAACAACAATAACAATAAGACGCAAAAAGAAAAGACAACATATACGAGATCCACCATCCCCCCTTTTTATCCCCTTGCTTGCACCAGAGACAAGAGAAGATCTCAAACGCCATGGCCGACAGGACCTCACGACAGGCGCCACCGCCGGGCGCCCCGCGGCGGCAGGTCCGGAGGAACCTCTTCCAGGGCCTGACGAGGCGGCCGACGGGCCCCACGGGGGCGTCTGCGGCTGCGACAACGACGAGCGCCGGCGGTGCGGGGGGCATCGTCTCCGCGGCGGCCGCGGGCGCGGGCAGCGGTAACGGGATGGCGGTGGCAACGGGGGGCGGGTCATCGTCGGGGGCCTCGGCCGAGACGCTACGCCTCGACGTCGACGTGCTATCGGACGGTGGTGGCGCGCCTGTGGAGATTGTCGTGCGCGACGAGCACGGCGAGGTCGAGCTGGGCGAGCTGCCAACGCTGGTGTTTGATGAGGCTGACGAGGTGGCGGCGACGGACGACCGGGAGGAGAGCAACAGTACGTTTTCCCCCTACTTTCGTCGAGCACGAAGAGAGAGAGAGAGAGAGAGAGAGAGAGAGAGAAGCTGTAGCTTTCTTTCATGTTCATTTTCTTCTTTCTTTTTCTTCGGGATGGAAGGGGGGTATAGAGCTATGGGGGTTTACGCTAACTATGATTTTTCTTTCTTTATAGAAGAGCGCCAGAGGCTTGCAGAGGCGGTGAAGCAGCATCAGGTCAACCACACTGCGATTCGTGAGCAGCCCGAAGGTGAGTCGCCATCTCTCATATGTTTTTTAACTTCTTTCCCCTATACGAACTGTTTTCTGAATTCATTCTTTTTGTGTAGAGCTGCTCGAAGCTGTCAGAGTCAGTCTCCGGGCCAAGGTGGCGGCTCTCGCAGAAGACAACTGGATGTACGAGGCCGAGCCGGAGCTGCCCCGTGCCTTCTGAACGCGATGCGAAGCCCACTCACATCTACGAAACTTGGCGCCGCCGTCACTGCCACGATATTTTGACTCCATGTTTCTTTTCCTTTTCAGTGTCTAGTCCGGGCGTGTTTAGCAGCACGTTCGGCAGATAGGCGAGCCATCTAATCCAGCCCCTCAGCTGCGGGCGCCTCAACCCGTCTCGTCGCGGGACGTCTCTGCTGCGGGGCGCCGGCACCGCCAAACAGGCTGCCCATCATGTCCATCAGCGGGTTGCTCTGCTTCGGGCGCTGGATGCCAAAGTACATCTCGGCAATGATCTCGAGCGCCTCGTTCCACGCACCGACTTCGGCGATGTTGGACGAGTACTTTGCAAGGAGCTGCTTGTAGGCGTCGGGGGCGCCGCGCTGAACCGCCAGCAATAACAGGCCAAGGAAGTTGAGGAGGGGCAGGCCGGGGAAGATGCGCAGGTCGGCGCTGTTGCTGCTGACGTCTTGGACGCCGAGACCCTTGTTATCGTCGCTGAGGGAGGAGGTGAAGACGCGGTAACACGTGTTGGCGGCGCGGACGTTGCCGACGAGGAGGTAGGGCAGGATGGCACGGGAGGCGTAGAGCGGGGCCGTGTGCGAATCGTCCTCCTTGTACCATACGTATTCCATCTTGGCGAGAACCTCGGCCGAGTCCTTCGTTCCAAGCACCAGGTGTCTTTCGGCCTCGTAGGCTTCGTGTTCCTCGGCGTAGAGCGATCCGGTGACGTGGTGCAGGTCGGCGTCACCGGCGGGGTACTCGCCGAACTTGGCGGACCACCTGTAGGATCCATAGTTAGCTTGCCTAGGCTCTCCCCCAGGCCATTCCAACATGATGACTTACGCAATCATCTCCCCAATGAACTTCTTCCTCGTAGGCTCCTGGGCGGGGAAGAGGCGCAACAACGTGAGCAGCTTGCCCTTGCTCGCAGCGTCAGGCTTGAGCTCGGCTTGACGGAAGACGTCGACGAGCATGACGGCGAGGTCACCACCACTGCCGCCCTGGCCGGCCTTGAGCAGGGACTGGGCGACGTTGTAGAGGATGTCGGTGGCGGCGGGCCAGTTGGCGGCCTTGATGTAGCGGGCGGCGACCACGCGCGTCTGTTGCTGGGCCTCATAGAACTGGCCCTCGCCGATGCGGGCCTGTAGCCGCGCGATGATCTTTTCGATTTTGTCTCCCTTGGCTGCCATTTTCAAAGGTGTTGATATGGGTGCGGTTGAAACGTCGAGGTCGCGGTTCAAAGGGAGAGGGGAGGAAGAGGGGAACAGACGGCACTGAGTGTATTAGAGAGGTGACGATGTCGTTTTGTAGCTTGGTGGCTTTGGGAGTCGAGATGGTGGGGGGATTACGGGGTACCTTGGCCCCTCAGCCCAGGCCTGGGGGGAGCTTCGCTTCCATTCTGTCATCCTCTTCGGTTAAAGTGCGGGCAACGCAGTCTACCTACGGAGTACTCAGATTGCAGAGCAAGGGTGGGGGGGTGATCACTGATGGCTCACAAGCGGTGCACTGACCAGTACTTTATTTTCTGCAGTGGGAAAGACACAAACCATCAGCCAAGCTTTTCAGAATATCATCAGCTTCTAAATTCGCGAAAGAATCTACGAGGCTTTCCAGAATCGGTGGTTTTGATATGAAAGTGAACAATTGATATCAAATTACATATCTAGCTCCATGTCCACATCGGAAAATCAGACTCGCGACACGCAAGGTGTGAAGCTGTTGGCCCTAATTCGACGAGTGAGGTACCTAGACAGACGTACCTGTTCCCAGGAATATCTATTACCTATGAACTTATGCGACTCATCGTTGGCAGCTTACAATGCCGATTCGGAATATGGACTATGGCGCGATCATCAAAGCTCGTCTTCGATAAAACCCCAGTGGCATGAAGGTTATATACACAATTAGCTGGATATCCTTGTCTATGGCTCAAATCAGAATGGTAATATGCTAGTCTGTAGTTGTGACACCGCCATACGAAAGTTCGGGAGGAAATCATAGCGTCATATCGAATATATTGACATAAGCCGAAAAGGAACAGCTATGGGTAGGCAACTTGATTTTGCCGAGATGGAAAGGCACCAAGGGAAAACATCAACAAGTTGTCGATCAATGTTCCCTGCTGAAGCTGGGTCTCACTGTCAGGGCCAGTGACGTCCTGTTTGGTGGGGGCACAGACCATGGTTCTAGTCAGTGCCCCTGATGATTATAATAGTTGCACAAATTTTCTACCACCAACTTTCTTCCAACTAACAACACTCAATTCAACTATCCACTAGTTGAATTGCCCTGCACCTTGCGTCTGGGCACGGACATTGTTTTCCTCGGGCAATGCCGTCAAATCGAGCCCTCACATTATACCCATTATTAGCTTTCCGTCAGAGAACATGTCAATGGGCTGTTACCCCGCACTCGTACATAAGCTGAAGGACAACGGTGACCTTCCAACGCATTGCAACCGATGTCAAGCGATGATGGTGTAGGGGTAACATCTAAGCTTCCCATGCTTAGGCTCCGAGTTCGAGTCTCGGTCATCGCATACCTTTTTGTGTTTGTTTGCTTTTTCTACTGTATTACCCGGCCGCACCTCTCGTTGAAGTCCATATCTTAGCCTGCTATTATGAAGACGTCTGCAGTTGATGGGAGTTATGTACAGTCTGGATATGAACTTTTGAGCAAGACGCGTCATTTATACGGTTGTACCACGGGTCTGGAAACAGGCATTCGGGTATTAGTACTTATCACGTCACGATTGACGTACACAATAGATTCCAAGCGTCGATGTTGTGATTGTAGCAAGGAGGTGGAGGGATCAGGCGATGCCATTCCGTTTTCCGCCGTACAAAAAGATCATGTCGGGCTGAAGCATTGGCTGGCATTTGAGATCCAGCACTTGGAAATTCGAAGCCCGTATATTGAAGGATATGCATAGAGGGGCGATTGCTCTAGCGATGCATCATCAACGTGGACAAGTGGCGGGGAACAAACGCAAGGTCGGTACCCCCCTCACGTCGAACATCCCAGGCCAGAATACAGAAAAACGTCACCCAGGTGAGGAGGACAATGGTTAGGTATATCTTTAAGCCGAAATCTCACCCCCTGTTCATGTCACCTGGCCGAATCGTTGCCCGCTTGCTCATGCCATTGTAGTTGATTGGTTCTCAGTTTATACTTTTGAACTTTCTCGAGCTTGGGCAGTCAATATAAGTTCCGATAGAGGCGTCTCGGCTTTGCACCACGTTCCAAGGTTCAGACTATGGATCTCCGGAGTCCGGGGTACACTGCGGCATTGACGGCGCCTGGGAACAATATGCCGATGTCGTACTCAAATCACCATTCCCATGGGCTCCTGGTTTTGCAGACCCGGCCTCTGTTATCATCTCTCGCAAATGTGCCCCCGTTCAAGACGGACGAAGGGAAATCGTTCGCACCCGGCCAACCCGGGTGGTAGGTACGCTTCGCTCATTTCGTCCTTCAAGTATCAATGCCACGCGTATCCGTACAACTGCAGGCCCGTCACCTTTGCCTCTCTACCTGCCGAAGGTTTTCATTGCTGATGAGAATGACTAAGAACACCGGTTTTGAGAGGAAATGTGGTTGCCATCCTTAAAAGCCGGCACCTAGCCGTGAGATCTGGCAATTGAAGCCACTGCGCGGGAGTTGGAAGTATAATGTCTATGAACCAACAAATGGCCATCGGTCCACTTTGCAAGGTTGATAGTTGATATAGAAAACTTCACGCTCGAGCATGTCACTGACCCTGCGCTTTTTTTGTTGCAACATACAGAAGCCGGCCCGAAGCGCGAGGAGCGAAGGCCTTTTTGGTTCGGACACGAGCGGCCCCCCACCCTCCATGCCTTTTCGGACGAGTCTGGAACGGCATGGCGTCACCATGCCATATACTTCTTTCCGGGCTCCGGAAAGCATAGACGAGACAGCCCATCCTTGTGGTTCTGGTAGCCGGGATGCTGCGGTTGATAAGGGGCGAGCACCCAGCTCCTTCTTCGCCGATATGAACTTACACAAGCTGAAATAACCAACAACTATCGAAACACCACAGAAGATATGGCGCCTACAATCAAGAACGTTGCCCTCGCCGGTGTAGGTACCTTGCGCGTGGTGTGGCTGCAAACAGTACTAACTCACATTTCCAGGCCGGCGGCAACCTTGGACCCGCCCTCCTGAAGGGACTCATGGCCTCCAACAAGTTCAACATCACGGTCCTGACCCGCAAAGCCGGATCCCAAAAGTTTCCGCCGGGCGTCACAGTCAAGGAAGTCGACTACGACTCCCTCGACTCCCTAACCCAGGCACTTAAGGGCCATGACGCCCTCGTCAACTCCACCAACAGCTTCGACCCCAAGGTCGCGACCCGCGTCGTCGACGCCGCCGTCGCCGCCGGTATCTACCGTTACATCCCGCCCGACTTTGGCCTCGACCCGGTGCGCTGCCACGTTCCCAGCCTCCCCGTCTTCGGCATCAAGGGCTTGACGTGGCAGCATATGAAGCAAAAGGCCGCTGAAAACGACGGCAAGTTCACTTGGACCATCATCACTAACGGCCCCTTCCTCGACTGGAGCCTCCGCACCGGCTTCATGGGCGTCGACTTTAAGAACAAGAAGCTCTCCCTCTACAACGACGGCGAGAACGCCATCCCGTACACGCTGCTCGCCGATGTCGCCAAGGCCGTTGTCGGCACGCTGCTGCACGCCGACGAGACGGTGAACCGGATCGCGTACGTCCACTCCACCGTCAAGTCGCAGAAGCAGATGGGCGCTCTCGCCCAGGAGGCCGTGGGCGGGCCCTGGGAGACCACCACCGTCGACGTCGACGCCATCTATGCCAACTGCATAGCATCCATCGACAAGGGCATCATGACCCCTGATGTCATGTACCCGCAGCTCCTGTACGCCTGCTCCAAGAAGGAGTTTGCTCAGCCGTGGAGCAGGAGCGACAATGCGCTGTTTGGCATCAAGGAGCTGAGCGACGATGAACTAAAGGAGGTTTGCAAACAAATCTCTCTGGAGTAAATAGTTAGTCTTCCGTAGCTCATGAACAGGAAAGTGAAAAACAAATAAGTGCCTAGAGGAACAGTCTTCAGCATCATGTAGCTCATGAACGAATGAGACAAAAGGATAAAGCCACTTGCAACTGATGCAAATTCAGCCATCTGATCATGACACTGCGAGTGTGGCGGGCGATGTTATATTGGCATTTGAATTCTATCTCCTTCATACACAGTACATACGAGGGCTGTTCATCAAGAAGGCCAATCAAGATGCGCAGCCTCAAGCAGATGCTCTCGTGGGTTATGGCATCAGCCATTCGGCGTCGGGTATGCCGTTCCAAGCGTCCCAAATTGCATCCAAGAAAGCCAATACACCACCGTACTGGCCCCGAATCTTGTACTCGGGCAGAGCGTAATATACACAGGTTTGTTCCGATCGGCCAAGGTGAGAAGTCGAAGTTCAACGAACAAGAGCGCGACAGGCAGACCAAGAAGTGAGAAACCCTCAAAGAGGTAAGAGGTCATGCAAAACTCAGGTTTGCCGGTCTGTGCTGTCAAGGCGTGAAGTCGTGTGTACTAAGACAGCAGTATAAGAATGAGAACTTGCAGAAGAAAATCTAGTTCGTCGATGTCGTTTCTTGTCCTCGCCGGTGGAAAAACATTCAATTATTGGGTTCGATTAGGAGCGGAGCGTCGGTTCGGACTTTGCAAAAGAGCAAGCCGTCCTCGGAGGTTTCGGGATGTCTAGAAGGGGATGTTGGGGGTGCCCTGGGCACCAATAGCCTCCTGCTGCTCCTGGAGCTCCTCGCCACCAGCCTCGATAGAGATGGCAACACCGATCTTTGCTTGTTGCTGAGAAAACAATATTAGAACACGGTTGCTGAATCGTGGATGGCAGAACTTACCGCAAAGTGGTCAACATCGGCAGCCAGAGTCATCATGACGGGGGCGGCAATGCGCTTCTCCAACAAACAGCTAAGCTTGCCCTTGGAGTCGACCTGGGCACGGAAAGTAGACATTCTGAAGTCGTACTTAGCACCAACGGTGGTGACGCCCTCCTTCTGGAAGCCACCCATGACGCCTGCGGCATTGGGAACGAGCGAAAGAGACAGGTCGACACCAGCCTGGACCTTCTCGGACAGACGCCTCCAGTAGGAGGTGGTCAGAGCTCCCTGAGCCTGAAGCTGAGCGGTGGCGACCCAGTCGTCAGACTTGTAGCGAGCGCAGTAGGAGGTGGCAGTCTCAGGGCCTTGCGTCATGGCCTGGCGCTGCCAGACGGTCTCGAGACCAAGAGCAAGCTTAGAAGTAACCGACTGGAGATAGCTTCCGATGAAGATACCAGTAACACCGCCGTCGAGACAAGAGGGGTTCAGCATCTTGAGGGAGGCTGTGAAGTCGTCTCCAGTGTATTCGTTCTCGACCTGGAGCATCTCCTGGCCAGCACCAGGTGCGGCCTGGAACTGCGTTCTCGACACGAGCTTGTCGGACCACCGGTAGTTGAATCTAGTGGAGAGCTGCCCGTCGTTGTCCATGTTCCCTTGCATAAAAACCTGTGAGGGGAGGGAGAACAGTCAGTCAGCCATGGTTGCGTCCAAATAAGTATTTAGGGGGGGGGCAAACCTTGCTCGTTCCGTACAGCGCAGCAAAGGTGTACGGATTCAGACGCTCACCCATCGCAAACTGGTGAGAGACCTGAAATAGGGGCGACATGCTGAAGGCCTTGGTGAGGTCGGCGCGAAGACCGGTGAACATGTAGTTGGTGAGCAGGACATCGCGTTGGACCTCCCTGGTCAGGTTCTCGGTGGTGCCGGGGTTGGACAGGCCAAGCTTCGCCCTCCGTTCCGAGAAGGAGTTAATGGCATCTGACAGAGTGTTGGCGACGGGGTTGTTCAGGAGAACATTTTGAAATTGTTCCAAGCTTGACGCCATTGTTGCGATGGTCGACGCCAGCCGGGGTCGAACAGAACCGAGGAACTAGGAAACAGGGGGAGAATCGAGAGGAGGCCGACGAATTGACCAAATACTCAGGATCAGGTCAGATATAATACAACTGCGACTGCCCTAGGGACCGATTGTAGCTCGCGCAATGGGCAGGCAGGGGGCGTTGGAGGGAGGTCGTCGAGTCGGAGGCGGTTGGTGATGGATCGAAAAGAGTTGTAAATTTCTTTCCACGCCGAGTACATTACGCAGCTGGAGGTCCCGGTCGAGCACGAGCCACGCTAAAGCCAATGGGAAAAGCTGGCAGCCACGACTGGTTAAGTATTGTGGAGACTTTCCTGAGCAGCAGCTCTAACGTCTGCTCAATGACAGAACTATCACGTGATACGTAGCTCACGTCAAGCTCTCAGCAAGACAAGTCGGTCGGTCCGATGCTTAGCCGGGCCGTGATGCTGGGGGAACCAAATTGCCGGTTAGTTCCAGGATGAGAGGACCCTTGCCCACATCCGGTACGTCTCCTTGGCCCTCTCCATCATTGAGCCCGACCAGGCCTCTCTACCTACAGTGTTAGTCTTTGAGTTCCTCATCGCCTACGATCTTATCCTGGACAGAGAACTGCTTCGAATCACGCCTTAAGATACCCTCGCCTTTGAGTTCACCGTCACTTTCTCATTTTCCAACAAAACCCACAACATACAAAACTCGGCGTTACTACTCGGTTGCTATTTACGGCTCGGCTTGACCAGCACAGGCCTTGAGAATTTTGGCGAAGGAAAGTCTCCTTGCGGGACAAATTGGCGGCTTAAATCGGAACGGGACAGCTCAGACACCAGTGTGACCTTGAACCTCGGCCACGATCACCAAACCCTCAAAAACACTTCTCTGCGCGATTCTACTTGAAACTTACGGTACCCTTTGCGATACATTCATGCTCACGGCGCGTTTCTTCTGACCTTTTCTGAGCATTGTCGACTTTCAACGACAGTCGCACTCCTCGAGCAGACAGTGCGTCATTGTCGTGTCTCCGCTATTCCCCTTCGTAGCGGCCCCTCCACCCGTTCCAGAGGCCGTAGCTGCCTCGAAAGCAGTCCGCTCCCGGCTCAACCCTCTATTATAACCCTCGAACCGGTTGCTGTGTCAAACCAGGAAAGGGTCGCATTTTCGCATCCATCAGAATGGACACACTACTGTGAGTTCGCGTTTCTCTTCTTTCGGCCCAAGAGGAGGGGTCTTGCAATTCCACCAATCCCTGCCCTTCATTCAACCTCCTTGTGGCATGTGAGCGAGTGCTCTATTTCGACATACCTCATTAGAGGGCAACTGCAACATGAGGCATCGTTGTATAGTAGGTACAATAATGCCTGTGGATGATTCCATGCCTCAAGGACAGCTGGCCAAGCTCTGTTTATGACATGGCGGACACCTCATCCTTCCCTAAATACATATTTTCCTGGCAATAGTTCAAGGAGAGTATAGCCATCTCAACATGAAGATTTTCCAGCCCTGCTCTTCTCACAAGAAGTCCACGCAGGATCTTGGGGCAAGTCAATGGGGCAAAGATCAACTGTCCATCTGACGAAGACAAATGGCTCTCAGGTAATGTAAGAATCCGTCTTGGATACAATCACAATCCTCAAAACGACTCACCAAAGCCTTGAATAACAAGGACATCAAGAAGAGTTCAAGTTATATGAAAGATTCACACCATAATCACAGCCGTTTAAGGTAGACCTTTCGACCGCCAAAAACCAGCAAGCCATTATAGACCTCTATATCTGGCCGGGCCAGACCGGCCCCTCACTATCAACTTTGGACGAGAGGGCTCAACACTTTGTGCACACAGGAGCGGGAATGTGCCTGCATGAATTTTCAAAGGGGCAGCGCGGCATCATCATGGCAAATCAGACGGGCACTCCCTATGCCTTCTGTCTTTATTTCACTGCTCAAACCCCATCCTCGCCTTCCAATTATTCTCTCCGAGCCTGTTGTCTTCTCTCCTCCATCAATTCTCTATCATTGTTTTTGCCTCTTACCACCCACGTACTCAGTCGTCATGGCCAATATACCCAAGTCACATGTCAATATTGTGGAGGACTCCCGTACTATGAGTGTGCTGGGAGTGGCCTCCACGATCCTGAAGCCTTGGCCAGGAATTGATCAGGAACAAGGTATTGACATCATCTCTTTTGACAGTACCGCAGAGATCGCGGCCAACGCGCCCCGATACCGCCGCAAGAGCTCAACTTTCATCGACGGCATCCACGATGTTCCTGAGGACCAGAATATGGCGCCTGCTCAGCTCTACAGCACCATGTCCGGCCGGCTGTTCCACTCTGGCCGTATTGCCATCGTCATGGTTGGCCTTCCAGCCCGTGGCAAGACGTAAGTAAGCGTCCCACATTGGATTGATTTGCTGCTGACCTTCACAGCCATATCTGTGTCTCTTTGGCGCGTTACCTCGGCTGGTAAGACCCCAAAATCTAAGTTAGGGGCCTGGCTCATTTATTTTAGGTTGGGAGTCAAGACTCGCATCTTTCACCTCGGTGACTACCGTCGCGCTACAGTTGGTAAGGGCGGCATAGTCCCTGAGGATTACTTCTTCCCCGACGCGTCTCCTCAGTCAGTCATTCTTCGTCAGAAAATCCTCAAGAAGTGTCGCGAGGATATCTACTCTTGGTTGAACCACGAGAATGGTCAGGTAGCCATCTACGACGCTGTCAATCCCACTGTCGCTGGCCGTCGCGCGCTGGCCAAGGAGCTCGGGAAGCATGACGTTCAGGTTAGAAACATATCAAGTCCGTATTCAAGTTGTCTGTCTGACATTACATAGACGCTTTTCATTGAGTCATACGTCAACGATGAGGGCATCTTGCGCGAGAATGCTCGCAACGTCAAGATCTCTTCACCTGATGTAAGTGCGAAATCAAGGGCCTCGACGTACTCATTATTGACATTCACAGTTCGCCGGCATGGATCCCGACGAGGCAGCCAAGCTGTACCTGCGCCGTATCGACATGAAGATCCCTGTCTTTGAGACCATGGAGGAGAAGGAGCTCAACTACATCAAGATGATTAACGCGGGCCAAAAGTTCTTCTATAACAACGTCTCGTTTGGTTATCTCTCTCACCGGATTGTTTTCTACCTTACGAACCTGCATATCAAGTCGCGCACCACCTACTTTGTCCGCGCTGGCGTTACCACCGAAGAGGACTCGTACAGGGCCGACGCGCCTCTTTCTGAGGAAGGCATCGCGTATGCTGCCAGAATGTCGGAGACATTACTAAAACATCGCGAGCAGGAGCGTACCGCCCTCGTCGAAAGTGGAGGCCCCGACGTCCCTCTACGCCCCCTATCGGTCTGGACTTCCACGCGTTGCAGAACCGTCCAGACTGCCGACTATCTTAAGAAGAAGGGCTTCAAGGTCCGCCAGCGCTCACAGATGAGCCAGATCAATCCCGGTGTCTGCGAGAAAATGTCGGAGCGCGCCATCCGCCATCTCTACCCTGAGGAAGTCGAGAAGCACGAGCTTGACCCGTACCACCACAGATACCCGCGGGCCGAGGTGAGCAAAATAACTTTGCCGAGTTCTTCTTTCCCCTAAACTGACATTGTGTAGTCCTACCATGATCTCGCCGTCCGTCTGGAGCCCATCATCCTGGAGCTGGAGCGCGAGCAGAGCGACCTCCTCATCATCGCGCACGAGTCGGTTCTCCGTGTGCTTTACGCCTATCTGATGCACTGCGCCACCATGGATATTCCCGTCCTCAAGTTCCCCCGCGACGAGATAATCGAAATCATTCCTGCCGCTTACCAGAACGAGGCCAAGCGCATCCATATCCCCGGTGTCGATCCCAAGATCACCCCGAGCTCTCCCGAGGATATTAGTATCCCTGTCCCCGCCAGCGGTCCCGCCAGCGGCAACCTGTCGCCCATGCCGGGCCTTCCATCTCCCGCGGAGCCCGCCGAGCGCCCTCCTGAGAAGGTCATCAACAAGGCCGTAGAAATGGTCGCTGACAGACAGAACGACGAGGACTAGGTCCTTGTTTGTGCACATCTTAGGCGAGGAGATCTCTTTTGACATTGCTCAGGGGAATGAGGGGGGGCTATTATCGGCGTGGACCGGGACAGCCAAAGGGTGGCTCGAGTTCTCGCCATGACTGGTTTGGGTCAGGATTGGGTGGTTGAAGGGATGGGGGGTATCAAAGGTGGAACGTGCTCTCATTGATGCTCCTACCGTGACGACGACTTTCCCATAGTCCTTTTCTGCTCTCGCTTCAGATGGAACACATTTCATTCAGAGGAAAAAAGGACAGGTTTCTTGATTTCTCTTTTTGGCATTGATAACTCGAACAAGCATTACGGTCATGGTACAGGTGAGATAGCTCAACTCGATGAATGACAATCTGGTCATTGGTATTATTAACCACCCGGCCCAAAGCCCTCCGTCGCGCAGGGATATCTAAAATTCTAGTTTGTGGTTTTTTTTCTTTTCTTCATCATGGTATCTCGTGTGTCTCAACAAACCGTAAACGCCCTCCCACTCCTCAAGTCTGTGCTACGTAATGCCGCATCTTGCCCAGTTTTCTTCGGTGTACTTGTACGACTTCCAAGTCCAAATCCGCCCAAACTCCTCGCTTTAACAGGACTGAGGTAAGCTGTCGCTAGCCCAAGCCGAAACAAACTTGCTGAATGCTGATGACCCGTTTTCCATTCGCCATCTCTTGTGTCGACATGCATCTACATCACCGCACACTCTCGCTCCGGTTCCTCTCCATCTTTATTCTTCTTCTTCTCTGCGGAGCGGTTCTTGGATTTACCCCGCCTGTGTGCGTTTTTGTGGTGCTCTGAGGACATCCTCTCCTTGAAATCTTTAGAGTCCTTTCTCTCCGGATCTGCGATCGGTGTTTGGTCCGCCTCTGCGTGTTCGACAAACTCCTCTTCGGTCACTGAATCTGGCACAGGAGCGCTCATAGATGTCGCTAGCGCGTTGCTGCTCGCGTTGCTGTTGAGATCGCGAAGTGGCTCCTTGCTTTGCCGCATGAGTCCTCCAATTCGAGACATGGTGAGACTGATGCGCCCCTCGCCCGCTTGGCTGGTGGGCCGGCTCTTGTTCTTGCCTGTGAAGAGGGCAGCGGCACGAGAAAGTCGCTGCGCCGTGGTTTCCTCGCCTGGTGTTGCGGCGGGCGACACGGCTTCTGGTGTGATTGAGGGTGTGCCCTGTGTTGAGTCCGTGAAGTTGACGCTGCCACGACGTGAATCCTTGAAACCCAAGTATGGCTCGTCATCGCCAAAACTGATACGGCTAGGTCTTTCCAGTTCTGACGAAAAGCGAATGCTTGGGGCCTTTGGTGGTGATATTGAAGTGTTCTCAAAGTAGTCGCTCTTTGACGATGTCACTCCTGAGTTGCCGTTGATGGGGTTAGGCGTGGTCGGCAAATTGACGCTCACCTTGGACTCGTTGTAGGAAGGCGGCTCTGTCTCGATCTCTTCCGTTGACGCAACTTCGACCATCGGTACTATCTGGTAAAAGAGCAGGTAAGGCATCTCGTCCTTCAGTGCCTGCTTGATGTCGTCCACGTATGTTACTCTACTGTCGACGTCCAGGTCGTCAAATTTCACCCACTGCGCTTCCTCGTAATCAGGAGGTGGATCGAGTTCGTGTCGCCTGTTGTCGGTAAGAAGCTTTGGCGCAACTCTTGCGAAGGAGACGTAATGTCCACTATAGAGTGAGTCGCCGCGGTGGCAGACTACGGACTGAAGCACCAGCTTGTATTCCATGCTGAAGCCGTTGGGATCCTCCTCGAGCGAGGATCCGTCCCCAAGCATGAAATGTGGCAGCCTCAAGCTGTCTGGGATATCTATGAATGTGTTCTGGCGTTGCGGGATGCCAGAGTTCGTCATCATGTACCGCTTGAGGCAGATGCCAACCACAGGTCGCTGGTTGAAGTTCATGGCGACCTCAATGTCGTTCTTGGGCTCCTTGTTTCCAGCTGCATGCCAAGGGATCAGCCTAAAAAACTGCCACGCCGGGATCGTTACAGCCTTGACCACAGTTGAGCTCGTGCGTCGCGCCTTTTCCAACATGCTTGGAGTCTCGGACTCTTTGGCTCGCTCTTTCTCTTCCAGCACAACCCGCTGGATAACACTAGTTGAGCGGTGCCTCGGAGTTGGCCGCGAAGAGCCACTGGGCGATTCAGAAGCGTCATTCGGTGGGGGTGAGCCTGCCAACTCGTGTTCAAGGACTGGTGACAGCGGAAGGGGTGACGCGCTCAAGTTCTCTGCTGTTTCCGACTCCTGTCCATCTCCCCGGGTGACCAAGCGTATGGTATTCTTGCTTGAGGCCGACCTCTCCAGGTCCTTCTTTTCTTCGTGGCTATCTCTCAGTACGTCCACTTGAGTGTTGAAATATTCCTCCAAGCAGTCCTCGAGTCTGATTCCCTTGCCTTCGGGATCGGGGGGCACAGCTAGGTTCAGCAGTCGTTCGTACACCAGCTTGTGATCGTCTTCGTCGTTCTTTCCTTGGTGGAAAAGGTCCACTTGTAGTTGCAAAAGGGGCAATTGAAGAGTTTCGGTGACGAAAGCAAAGGCTTCGGAAGTGTCTTGCTGTTCTAGGAGCTTGGCGTCGCTCCAGCCACAATCGGCAAGGGCATCTTGTATCAGTTTTGTCTGCGTCGGTTAGCAGAGGCCGGGCGTGTCGTGGGGAGGACCATGACTTACCATATCCGTATGGATCAACTTTCCGCTTCTGAGCATGTTCACCCACAAGCGTAGCAGCGTGACCAATCTGCGTCTTGGCTCGTCTGTGAACTCGTTTCTCAGCATGCATTCGAAGGCATCCAGCTTTGCGAACATGGCGAAGAGCAAAGAGTCGAGGTAGCAAGTGACATTGCCTCTATTCTCCGCGCCAACCATCTCGACTTGTGGGTTGTAGTGTGTGATTTTGCCGGCCGTAGCCTTGCACTGCAATTGGATGAACTCGACCGTCTTGTCGACATCGCCGTCAGCGAATTTGCTGTTCAAGGAGTCTCGAATGTGCTCCGCAGAAACGTCGGTGATGTTGGACTCGGCAAGAAGCCGTGTAATGTCTTCAACCTGTCGTGCCGTTAGACTTGTGCAATTCTTTCTGGCCATGCCGCCGCGTACCTTTGTTAGTTCTTTCTCTCTGACCTCGTCGTCGCTGGGTGGTCGGTCACTCTTGAAGAGCGCTCGAAAAGCTTCTGCTGAAAGTGGCCGGCTCTAGTCCCGGAGCGTATAGTTAGCTTAGCGTTGGTGTTGCTATAGGGACCGCCTGTGCAGGCGCTTTACGCTGCACATAGAGGTGAGAGATTACCTTATGCCCTGGCTCTGAGGATTTGCTCCTGCGGTGGTTACCATTTCTGTCCCTCAGGCTGAGAAACTTCTTGCTCTTCATGGTTGCAGTTGTGGTGCTTCGTTGCGGGAAGCCAGCCAGTTGTGTTTGGGGCCCAAGAGGCTACTCGGGAAAAGCAATGGCTTCAGCGGTCAAGAGTCATGACCAGATTGCAGTCGCACCCCCATCGGCCAGCTGTATCGGAGTGGAGAGCAGCGTTAAGAGCGAGTTTGAAGAATGCACCAAATGCGAGGAGGTATGGAGGGGGTTTGGCGCTTCTCGGCGGGGCAGATTTTCGCAGTCGCAAAAGACGGGGCTGGGATGTTAGATCTGGATCCCTCGACTGTTAAATGTACAGGGCAGCCGGATTTGGCGGCCCGGGGGCGGGGACTTTCAGTACGAGCAATGGCCAGATGTGCCGTTGGGTTGGAAGCAGGTATCGGCTGGTGTTTGAATGGAGGGAGTCTGTCGGCAAATATCTCAGGACGGTAGCAGAAGAGTGTGGGAGTGGAAAGGTGATCCCGTCCAGTAGTCAAATACACGGGGGAAACAGCTGAAGCAATTAAGGTAGGGAAGCCGTTCAACTGGCTCCAGAGGCCAGCAAGGTTCGAGGTTGGCTTGTGGTTCCTTTACTACACTAGGTAGATTCGGGGTCCAGTATAGGTAGTGGCGAGACCCTAAATTGCGATGTACCGATGCGGCAAAGCTTTGGCTTGATGTACTTTGTGGCTCCTCAAAAGTGGGTTTACTGGCTTCGGAGTGTGTGAACGCCTTGTCGTTGGATGGCGGCGGCCGCAAGGCGGACTTTAAAGCCTTCAAGACTTTTGCGACTCGGTGTTATCATTCGTTGTCTAGGTAGTTGTTGTTGAGGATGGCTGTGGCCACGAGTTTATCTAACTTCTCTCCAAAAACGGCTCTAGCCGACTTTGAGCTTGGCAACAAGAGGCAGAGAGATATGGGTGAAGAGCTAGAATGTTCTCTCTGTCCGTCGGGCCTGGCTGACACATTTCTTCTTATTTATGACCGGCCCTAAATGGCTGAGAAAAGGTTGCCTGCCACAACATCCAACATGCACACGAGATGACATACGTAAGGGCCATCCATCATGGGAGGAACATCCGAATTGGATCACGCCGCCCATTTTTCTAGGATGAATTTGGCAGGTCATCCATCGTATCAACCGTAAGTCATTCGATACCCCTGTTCCAACGGCGGACAACGATTGGGCTTCTTGACTTTGAGAAATAAAGAATATTATGGGCTGGGTGTGACTCTCCCCAAGTCTCGTCTCTTGTTTCGTGGTGCTTTGAAATGGCCCGAATGGTACCCTGTGCCACACATCCCAGCGTGTCCCTTACATATTAGTTGTACACAGATCCAACCTCATGGCTCGGGTGCCCATGCTCTAGGTTTCATAAGCCTCCATCTGACTCTGTGGTATTATTCACACACATCAGACTTTAGCCAAGAACAGACGAAGGGCGTAAATAGAACAAAGCCAGCAGCGCCGCCTCTCACCAAATCCCTAGACACATAGCTCTAATATAGCAGCTTCATGGGCTTACTTACACCCAACCCAACCACCCACGATTCCAGGCAAACTCAACTGACAAACGGTTCGACAAACCATCATGGCGTCACCTGCCACTCCCTTACCCATGTTGGACATTGACGTGACAGCGACACTAACCTCCAATCCGAAGAGATGCGCTCGCGTAAACCGTACGCGCTCGCTTTTGCATCCGCCGTCTTTGGCACAATCAGGCAACCTGCATAGTGGCGCACACGCAGTCGCCCATCGAGATCTGCAATGTCCATCTCGCCTGTCCATGCCATCCAATCTTTGCCTGTTCGTGCCCCAGAGTACCGCAGGCAGCCCTCGCCTTGCCAGCTCGAACGGAAGACAGGCTCTATCTCTGCATACGTAGCCACTCGCTAACCCATTGAGCCGGTGACCGAATGACTGCTACGTAATCGAGCGGGGTGTATCATATACCTGCCCTAGAAAATGGATCGTTGCGTTGCCTCTCTAGAACCGGACAATTCGGGAGACGGAGCGCTGGGTGACTCGGATGGCGTGCCTGGTTCAAATGACGACAGCCCACTACTCCCTCCCCAGTGACCTCAAAGGCCCGAAAGTCCGGTGAATGCACCCGAGTCGGATGCTCCTGGTCACGTTCGCTCCGACGGGCCTCCGAGTGATGTAACGATGGTCGTACCTTTCTCTATGCCTGAGATTATAGGCCAGAACAGTAGATCCGAATGACAAGCCACATCCGCCGGGGATGTATCCACCTGAGCATATGCCTCAGCCACACGTGGCACGGGCCGACCTGAACATTTCGAGGGTGAAATTTTGGGCATCGCGATTGACCCTTACAGACGTGTTGAGTTGCGTGACAATTGAGACAACCAGCCATGGCCGCTCTACGGGAAACCTCCCAAATGACTCGGGCTATTTGCAGGCAGCGCTCTCCGTGGCAATTGAGTCCCTTTGTCATCCAGCGATGCTCATCCACCAGCACCGCGAAGCCTGAGCTGGCCGATCTCGAGCCCAGCTCGTCCCTGGCTGCGCCAGGCCCCGACGATGCTGCCGTGAAAGCTTTCGACACGGCAAAGCGTATATCCGAAAGACCGCAACAGCTTCCTGGAAACAGGTATATTTCCATATATTTTGGTACGAAAGGGAAAGCAGAATGCTGACGCATGAGGTGACAGATACCAGTACCATCCCCCTAAGTTCGACAGAGGCCCTCTGCACCCGATTCAATCACCGCCCTCCACCGATCCCACAGCAAGAGACTTCGTTCCCGGACCGTTCAACATTCCGCGGCTGCGTCAGACCTACGATGCGACCATCGCCTCCGACCTTCTCACATTGACCTACCTACACAAGCCCCCCGGAACACCAGAGCGTGAGGTGCGGGAGCGGTTAAGGGCGTGGGACGACTCTTCGCCGTACAACAAGAACCGTCCCCTCCGCGGCCCCAGAGGTGGAAGCAAGCTGGATGTGCTGGAGAGGAACATTAACTGGCGTAGCATTCCTGAGATCAAGGCCGTCTCGGTGCACGCCTTCATGCCCACGGCCCCCAAGGTCCCCGGAACGCTGCATGTCGCCCGCTCCATCATCCAGTCCATCAGCGGCAACTGCCCCGAGGTCACCAAGACCAAGAACAACGTCATCGATTGGAAGATTCGCAAGGGAGACAAAAACGGTGTCAAGACGACCATGTATGGCAACCAGGCATATGAGTTCGTCGACAAGTTGATCAACCTCGTCCTACCCAAGATTAAAGACTGGCCCGGCGTCAACGCCAGCACGGGTGATGGCAACGGCGGTTTGGCCCTCGGTCTGAAGCCCGATGATCTGGCTTGGTTCCCCGAGCTCCAGATCAACTGGGACATGTACCCTGCTAAGGTGAGATGAGACGTCTGTCTTCATCGTGTGACCCCCATGCTGACGAATCCATAGCTCATTCCAGGTTGCCATATTTTCATCCAGACGACAGCCACATCGAACCGTCAGGCCAGACTTTTGCTCCAGGCCCTCGGCCTTCCCTTTTACGGAAAGTTTAAGGATTAAATGGGGACAATTGCAAGGGACGGGTGTCCTTATTGTACGATATCAAAATTAGAAAGCCTGTATATGAATGTACCAACAGATAGGGTCACTCTTCATGCCTCATATGCCAGTTGCATAAAATCCAGCCTTGCGTTTCCCCGTTATGCGGCAGTTTTTCGTCTAATCCCTTAGTCCCAAATTCGTTGGTCATCCCGTACGTCAAGTGGCACTCATGCCGGACCGCCTGCCCAAACGCCGTTCATGCAAAGCCCTGTGCCAAAAGTCCTCCTAGCCCTTTACTCTGGTTTCCCCCCTCATGCCGCCGTGATCTTCGCCTTGAGATCGTTCATGACCTCGTCGACGTTGTCCATGTTCTCAGCATCGACCTTGCCAGAACAGATGCCCTTCTTCTCCAACTCGTCAGTGAGCACGTTCATGCCGGGCTGGTAGTTCCGGACGGCGGAGCTGAGGGCGTAGATGGCCTTCCTCCGCACGGCTTCCAGCTCGCCTTCCTTGATCGCCAGCTCCAGTAGCGGCGGGATGCCGCCGACGGCCACCAGGCGCTCCTGACTGGGCTGGTTGTTCTGCACGGCGGTGCCGACGCACCAGGCGGCCATGCGGCGCATCTCGTGCTCCTCGTGCTCGAGGCAGCCGAGCAGCGGGGTCCAGAGGGAGAGGTTGGCCATGTTGTTGGCGTTGTCAAGGTTCTCGATCAGCTGCTCAAAATTGTCAAAGGCAACGAGCTTGTTCTCGAGGGTCATTTCCGGGTCCGTCGAGGTAATGGCCTCCATGGAGAGCTTCATCAGCTCGGCGTCACTGGGACCGTTGCCGAAGAGGGCGGCGATGGCCTCCGGGTTGAGATTGCTGACGGGGGCTGCCGGCGCCGGCTCGCCGTTTTGACCTGCCGTGCCGTTCTCAATGCTCCATTTGAGCAGCTCGTTGAGGTTTTTGTCCATGATGTGGGATGGTTACGATGAGTGGTGTTGGTGATGTTGTATCTGGAAGTAGTTTTTTCCAGTATTGTTGGCGGGGTATCAGTGAAAACTAAGCCAAACCGACGTGCAGGATTTCAATGTGTGTGTTGAGAGTTGATTGTCATCATCAACCCTCAGTTAGTCTTTCACTTTCACTCTGAATCTCATCGACATCAAAAAGTTCTCCATCATTAAGTGCCCCATCTGCAGCGCTAACTGGCTGCACTGATTTGCTACCCTCTTTTCTGGAACCTTCAAGAAGCTTGTCAACGCCAAAAGAGCTTAGCGCGGATCTCACGTGAGAGCCCTGATCAGGGCCAGCTCAATGCTCGTTTATGCAGCTCGCTCGCAGTTGAAACTTGGGCAGATATGGACCGCCCTCCTCTGCCCAACAATGAAATGGGACCATCACTAATTTCTGAGTTGGCGATTCGCCGGCCAGTCAAAATTGTTAGTGCATCGGAGCCCCTGATGCTTGAGGAACGATTGGAGTCTAAACGAGGAAATAGGAAATGGTGAATCTCCCCGGGGGTGGCTGGTGAAGAACCAAAAAAAGTGCCCAAGTGCCCCACCATGCATTGAATTGCCCCTCATTGCCGCTTTAATCATCAGCCATGGACAGAGCTTCCGTGAGCTAAGTGACTACAACACTGAGCTGAGAGCAGCCTCCGAGCGATGAAGTCACGGAAGCTCCCTTAAGTTGTTGGAATCAGTTGTCAACCATGGCAGAGGGATTTACTTCAGCCTTGCATCTTCTTCCGGAAACCCCTGCCTGACCTTCATTTCAATCATGCTACGTTCGGGAGGCCGTGACAATCAGGCATAGCGTCCCCGTGACAGATTGACAGCTTCTTATGCGCTGTAATGCTGTATCCGATCTGTGCTAAAAGGCCCCGATCAACGGAGATACCGCCAGGCAAGCCGGAGCTCAGCCACATTGGAAACGTAGCACAGTGCCGTAGACTACGGCCACTTCATGTTGGGGCTCCCACACGAAAGCGTCTAAACATACTGTACACTTGTCGACACGCGTTCGTTTCGAAGCGAGAGCGAGTAGTGTGTGAGCATGTAAGCAGTAAGTTCCGATGCGAAAGGCGAGGCTGGAATCCGAGGGCCCCATGCCAGAATTGCTCCCTCGGACCCTGGGCATTGTTCCCGCAAAAGACGTCCATACGCGGATACGCAATTTGGGACCATTAGGGCCGCGACCCATTCAGGAGAGGATGGCCCTTGCATAAGCAGGCCTTCTGGCATCCGCGTCCATCCGCGTAGGCGTCTATGTGCAGTGCCGTAGGCACCTAGCTTGCCCTTGCTCATATGTCGTGCCTCCGCGCCGTTTGTCGCCGTGCATCCGCGAAGGCCGCGAAGACTGCTTGGAGGCCGACCGACGGCTTGCGTACCAAAATAGATTATGCCTGCTTGGCATCTTCGCAGGTCTTTGTTGCTGACGGCAAGAGATGACGTACGACTCAGAAACGGAGGGGCGGGACACGGCCCTTGAACATGTGGTTTTGCTGGCGCAAATTCGCCTACCGCCATCAAGCATGAACCATACGCAGCCGGTAGCGGCGGGAATCTTAAGAGTCTTGCGTAGGCGTCAAGGAGCGACCCCCGTTCCCTAAAGTGATGAGTAATCTCTGCTGTTCGCGGTGAAGGGTCTTGGCTGAGGTGCCCTTATGCTCCCATGCTCTTTCGCTTGGGCTAATCCGGTTGGTGTGGGGATATATGCCTTTGAAGATAATGGCAAGGCCACAGTCTGGAGGAAACCCGGCGCACTGCTGTGACCGTGGCTTGACCCAATTGGTCCGCGGTTCTGGCCGTGGAGAGTGAGCCTCTCACCGTCGGTTTCAAGCTGCCTAGAGAGCAGGCACTGACGGCGAGAGTATGACGAATACGTGTTGCCGCCACGAGCAACGAGCTTGCTGCCTGATGATCTGAAGTGGTGATGGAGACGCAGCTGACCAGGAGGAGGCTGGAGCTTCACTACGATTGTTTACCCAGAGCTAGAAAAGGCAACATCGATAAAAAACCTCGCCAAACCCCCGTGCATGGTTGAACAGAATAGCCTCAAGAGCTTGATGCTGTAACACCTAGGGCGATAAGGAGATTACTGACCGACCTGCCTGTATCTGCGTCAACCGACTTGGCTGCGCTTTCTTCCTTGCTCCAACCACCAGAAATAAATCAAAATCCCCCCATAACCAGCGATAGACGTCGCTGACGATTGTGCTTCTTGCATCTCACATCGGCTCAGCAAGATCTAAGGTACCTTTTCCCTCCCATCTCACATCCTGGTCAAAGTGAGTAAAGCGCGTTCCCTCCCGTACCCCACCACACTACTTTGCCAGAGGTACCAACCAGAAGATGGGCAAGCAAAGGAGCAAAAGCACAGGCCCCCAAGCTAATTGGGCGAGATAGGGAGAAGGATTGCTAAAGCAGCAACTCCTTCCCTGGGCACGCTGCCACTTCTGCCACCTGTTTTACGCTCCTCCTGCCCGCCCACCTTTGCCCGCCACAGCCATTTGCTCACCCACAAGTCGGGTTAGGTCTGCTTCTGACATCGAAACCCGGCCCGCCAGCAGTACAGCAGCAGCCAACGAAACGCCGAGTTGGGACGGCCAGCGCTCACCGCACACTGTGCCTGCCATTCCCACTCTTCTCCTTCTTCCCCCCTCCTCCACCCAAAATCGACTACCTCTCATCTTCCCGTAACCTTTCCCACTTTCGACCTCACCCATCGACGTGCTCTCTCTCCAAGTTCTTTGCCATCCGCTCAGGACTTCTGCCAGTTTCATCTCGCTCCTACGATTCCGGAATCGAGTGAGCTGTCTTCATTTTCATAGGAATTCTCTCGATTTTCCCAGTCCTCACCCACTACCCTAATTCAAAATGGAAGGTACGTGACGCCATCTCTGCCAACTCCTCTCGACCCCGACCCGACGCTGCCGCGTCTCCGCCACCCGTTGTCGCGACGTTCGGCATCCATCGACTCGCGTAGCTTCTTGTATCCCATCGCTAACGTTCGTTTCTATAGAGGAGGTTGCTGCCCTCGTCATCGACAATGGGTAAGCTTTCCCCTGCCGTCTCACCGACCATCCTGCCACCTGGGCCTCGAAAGCGTCTGGCCAGCCGTCAGCCCTCGCGATAACCCATTGGCACATCATCCATCGATCACACAACCCTTCTCGAGAGCGTCGTTCTAACCTGGGTCCAGTTCGGGTATGTGCAAGGCCGGTTTCGCCGGTGACGATGCGCCCAGAGCTGTCTTCCGTAAGTCCCCCCTCATCCACAGACCGCAACCTTGCCCCGTCAGGGGCATGAAGATTCGGTCACAAATTGTCTGATCTGAAGATTCTAACTGTCTCGTAGCCTCCATTGTCGGTCGCCCCCGTCACCATGGGTAGGTTTTGATTCTTGCTGCGGCAATTCCCCCTCGCACTCGCCGCTTCAATCTAACATGTGAATAGTATTATGATCGGTATGGGCCAGAAGGACTCCTACGTCGGTGATGAGGCACAGTCGAAGCGTGGTATTCTGACTCTCCGCTACCCCATCGAGCACGGTGTTGTTACCAACTGGGACGACATGGAGAAGATTTGGCACCACACTTTCTACAACGAGCTTCGTGTCGCCCCCGAGGAGCATCCCGTGCTCCTGACTGAGGCTCCCATCAACCCCAAGTCCAACAGAGAGAAGATGACCCAGATCGTCTTCGAGACCTTCAACGCCCCCGCGTTCTACGTCTCCATCCAGGCCGTCCTGTCTCTGTACGCCTCTGGTCGTACCACCGGTATCGTCCTCGACTCCGGTGACGGTGTCACCCACGTCGTCCCCATCTACGAGGGTTTCGCGCTTCCCCAGGCCATTGCCCGTGTCGACATGGCTGGTCGTGACTTGACCGACTACCTGATGAAGATCCTTGCCGAGCGTGGCTACAGCTTCTCCACCACCGCCGAGCGTGAAATCGTTCGTGACATCAAGGAGAAGCTCTGCTACGTCGCCCTTGACTTCGAGCAGGAGCTCCAGACCGCTTCCCAGTCCTCCAGCTTGGAGAAGTCCTACGAGCTTCCTGACGGCCAGGTCATCACCATCGGCAACGAGCGTTTCCGTGCCCCTGAGGCTCTCTTCGCTCCTTCCGTCCTTGGTCTTGAGAGCGGTGGTATCCACGTTACCGTCTTCAACTCTATCATGAAGTCCGATGTCGACGTCCGTAAGGACCTGTACGGCAACATTGTCATGGTACGTTGTTTGCAGCTTTTTGAACTAAGAAGATTCATCACCTAACACTTTCTTAGTCTGGTGGTACCACCATGTACCCCGGTCTCTCCGACCGTATGCAGAAGGAGATTACTTCTCTTGCTCCTTCCTCCATGAAGGTCAAGATCATTGCTCCCCCCGAGCGCAAGTACTCCGTCTGGATCGGTGGTTCCATCCTGGCCTCCCTGTCTACCTTCCAGCAGATGTGGATCTCCAAGCAGGAGTACGACGAGAGCGGTCCTTCCATTGTCCACCGCAAGTGCTTCTAAGGTAAGCGGCATGGTTCAGGGAGTTGCGGAATCCAACGCGTACTAATCCTTCTATAGCGGCTTCTTTTTCGAACCACATCCTCGCCCTTCCGAAAGCACATCGATCCCAAAGAGGTCCCGACCGGTGCAAAGTCACTTCGGCGTTGCATGTATCGCAGTCAGGCCTCATATTGGCAAAAAGTTGTTGACATGGTCAAGAAGTTTGGGTCGACCCTTCTCCCGAAAGATTTGGTCCTTGTTTTGTAGCAGGGTGCGCGTGGGCGCGTATAGGGGCGGACACGTCTGCAACTGAGGTCGATCATACAATACACTTTGCTTACTGTTCCCGAGCTTCTCACATCCGGTATTATTGTGACGTTGTATTTTCACGATAATGATTTTAGCCAGGAGTAGAGATGTATCAGTTTTATTCTCCAGATGGTGTACTGCATTGTGACGCTGTGTTATGGTTTTAGGTTTTGTACATGTGGACTGGCGTCTGTTGAAGTTGCCGGTTCGGCATGCGCGCTCGGTGCGCTGTTCGTCTGGTCCTCAGCATGTTGCTCTTTGACCTCTGCCTCGGCTGTTTCGCTCTGGGCCTTTTCCTCATCCAACTGGCGGTACTTTCTCCTGCTCTTCTTTGACGCACTCGCCGCCTTTTTGCGCTTCACCTCGCCAACTATGGCTGACCGACTCTGGTCGCCGTTCTGCAGGTCGTCAAGCTTCTGCGCTAGGATTTCGCGGGCAATCTTGCGGTTCTGGGTTCGGGAGCGGGTGGCCTGGGACTTGACGACGACACCCGTGGGAATATGTTTAAGCTGCACAGCCGAGCTCGTCTTGTTCTATGAAGGGGCAAAAGAGCCCGTTAGTTGTGCTGGACCAAGCATTGCTATTAAACATCACTCGGCCGAAGTGGAAGGTTGAGAGGGCTTACAATCTTTTGACCACCCGGCCCGCTACCCTTTAGGTATGACTCTTCGATTTCGGAGTCCGGGGGAGGCTTGGGCCGGGGTGGCATCTCATGCTTCTTCAACGCGGCGGAAGGAGATACGCTGAAGGGAGCAACGAGGAGCAGGTGGTGGGGTTGCTGCTTCAGCTTCTGTAGCGCCGGCCTTGCCGTAACGCAGCGGTAACGCATGAACGCATTGGCGTTCGCTGCCCCAGCCAGGCGTGGGAGACGGGTCGAAAGGGTTAGAGGGGGAGGCATCGCGCGTGCCGGGCCATTGTCCTTGAGGGATGGGTTGGGATGAGGTTCCGAGAGTTGTTTGCTGGGGGAGAGAGGCTTTGAGGTTCACGGCGCAAGGCGAGACCTCCAGCCGGCCGCCCGGCTGGGGGTTGCATGACGGGAGGATGCTGGAGTTGAGGCGACCAATCAGAGGAGGGGGAGGGTTCCTCGTCGGTACTAGATAGGTACAGGGGGAGGGGGGACAGCAGCTGGCGCTGGAGGTGATCGCTGTAAATTGGCCCCCGCTTTTGGTTTGCTGGCGGTGTGGGCACTGGGACTCTCCCGTCAGTGCGTTCTCTGATGCGGATCGGTCGGTATCGGTTGGCTGCAGAGTGTTTTATTGCACGGCGAACGGCGCCCCCCCGAATTTCTCTGATAAGATTCCCGCGCGAACCCGTCTCGGACGAACGAAGTCTGCCTCCTCCTGCCACCACTACTCACAAATCCCTGGGTATCTCCTTGTCGACTGGCCGAGACGCAGCGCAGCTGGCAAGTGTCCGGATTAGACTTTCTCCCTGACGACATACTCTCCTTCGTCATCCTTGGGAGGAAACGACCTGGCTTGGCTTGTCACGCGCAAGACTTCTTCCGCCTCCTTTTTTTTTCTCCCTCCCCCTTCGGCATTTCCTCGTGACTCGCGGCGAAATCGTCCCCTGAGCATCGGCCTCGATACCTACCAGTCCAAAATCTCAACCCGAGCATCGAACCTGCAGACACCGGAACAGTTGAGCTCGAACCTCCGCGAATAGCCAATATGTCGGCCCTCCAGTCCTTCAGCAAGTGGCTGCACTTGAAGCAGTACCAGATCGAGGTCACATTCAGCGTCTACATCTTCACACCCCTGGAAAAGTTCATCTTTTGTACGTTGCCTGCTCGCCAGAGACTACCGGCCGCCCCCTTTTCCAGTCCTAATCGCGATTGATCGTTTTCGAACAACACCGGCTAACTCCCCGCCCCTGCAGACACCGTGCTCTTCCTCCTGAGCAGTCTGACCATCATCGCGACCGTCCTCTACCTGCCCCAGCACATCGCCTTCCTCATGAGTCGTGCCTGGTTCTACATGCACGGCGACCCGATTGACGCCGTCGTCGACGCGGTGGTTGACGCTGTGGAAGTGACAAAGGCTGCCGTCGAGAGCGTGCTGACCGCCGGCTCGACCAAGACCGCCGTCGCCCTGGCCCAGGAGACTGTCGAGCTCGTCAGGGAGCTGTAGGCGGCCTCTCCCACCATGCTCCCCACCGCTCGTGTGCGGAACGTGAGACGGAACGATGGTAATGTGTTGGATGACAAAAAGAAATAAGAACAAGAGAGGGAGGAAAGAGGGGTTTTAATAGCGACACACGTATGGCGGACGTCCAATGAAGCGCTCGAAGGGCGTTGTGCGGGGGCTGTCGTGCCGCTTTCTCTGCTTCTGGTGCGGGCGTTTGTGTTGGTTTGTCAATCTCTTGGTCCAGTTTGGGTGGCCTAGACGAAGGCATACATATATAACTCGTGCATGCGGCGAAGCATGTCTAATCATACCCTCATACATAAAGACTCAATGGAAAATCTCCCCTTCTACGGGGAGGACGTAAATTCATTTGCTCGTCGAGGTGGATGCTCCCTGTCCGGTGAAGCCGTATATCCTCAGGGAACTATCCTCGCCAGCGATGGCCAGTTCGTCTGCGTCGCCATCGCTATTGGAGGGACGCCACGCGAGCTGGGCCACTGGTTTGGGAAGACACAGACTTGAAGAGCGGTTAGTTGTGTTTCTGAGAGTACGTTGTTCCGTGTTGGGAGGAGACTTACTGCGGTACCAGCTGGACTGTGCCGACTGACTGGAAGGTCTCAGGGGCCAAGGTGCAGAGTGAGATCTTGCCGGACTCGGTACCCACCGCGAGGATGAGCTCGCCTGCCGTGCCCTGTCTGCCGAGGAAGTCGACGGCCGTGACGGGGCCGTCGAAAGCGAGGCTCGACGCCAGGGCGAACTCCATCGTGCCGCCCTCCTGGGCCTTTCCCACCCAGACCTTGGCGTTCTTGTCACGTCCCGCAGTCGCGAAGACTCTGGCACTCGTAGACGGGGCCCACGCGGCGTCCAGGATCATGCGCGTGTGGCCCTTGGGGTTGGCCTGGAGGAGCCGGTACTGCGAGCGCTCCTTCTCGTCACGCTCGAAGACAGCCCATTGCCTGTCTCGCCCGACACTTAGTATGAGCTTGTCGTCCGGCGAGAAGCGGAGTCTCGTGGCCGTGAGGGAGTGCGCCATCAGAGGCGGCCTGACCTCGGTCCAGCGCTCCGTCTCGAAGATGCGGATAACGGCGTGGTTCAGCGAGCTCGCCTTGCAAGCACTGGCAATCAGCTTGCCGTCGTGACTCGCGGCCAGGCAGGAGATCTCGTAGCCGTGGCCGTACAGCTTCTCCGTTTCGGGCCAGAGGGTGTGCCGCGACAGCGACTCCTCAAAGGGCGGGTGGTCGATATCGAGCATGGACTTGCGCACGATCGTGGCCGGGTCGATGGCCTCGCGGTCGTACTGGCTGTCGGCCTGGACCTCCTGGTCGTCGTCAACGGCGTCGATGGCCTTGTTGGACAGGCCGAGCACAGGCATGTTGGCGCCATCCGGCATGGACTCGGCCGGCGCGTCCGTCTGGATCCCGCCGAGGGTCTGGAGCATTTGTGCCACGGCGCGCGGCTCGCTGAAGACGCGCATGAGCTTCTCGTCGGCGCCAGAGACAAATTGCGACGCGCCGAGGGTGTCGATGCAGTTCAGGTCATAGCCGTGGATCTGAGGCCGGGACATCTCGTGCCACGAGCGAGCCGCGCCGCGCTTCCAGCGAGCGTGGAGGCGTGTCGTCTGGTCGGAGCTCGTCGACATGAGGTAGTCTCCATCGCGCGACCATGCGATGCCCGTGACGGTCTTGGTATGACCAGTGACGGCGATGGCGGGATGCCAGTCGGCGCGCTCATCGTTGTAAACCCAGCGGCGCCAGCTTCCCGTCCGGCCGAGGCAAACGACGGACTTGCCGTCGGGGCCCCATAGGCCAGTCCAGAAGCCGCCGATGCTGCCCGTCGCCGTTGTCGCGCCCTTTTCTCTGCTGATTTCGCCGAGCCTTACCATGCTAACCCAGATTCCCGACGCGCTGTCAGCCTCCCACATGGCGAGGGAATTGTCCGCGGAGGTCGATAACAGCTGTAGCTTGCTGTTCCGGGTGAACCATTTCGCGCTGTAGATCCAGTCCTCGTGGCCCAAGAGCAGGGCCTCGAACGTGATGGAAAAGTCCTTTCCGCCTGATTGGAGTCGGTGGGCCTTGTTTGAAGGTGACTTACCCGGAAGGTAGGCGCCGCTGGAAGGATCCGAGCCCTCTGCGGCGAGCGACGGTAGCTCCTTGCCCAGGTGAAGGCGCCAGAGTCGGACGTACTTGTCCTGACTCGCCGAGGCAAGGAGAAGATCGCTATTTGAACCGGCCTTCTCCCATGTGAAGTCCAGAGACCGGATCCAACCCTCGTGGCCTGACAGGGTAGCCTGCAGCTTGAAGTCAAGTGTCTCTTCGGCGGCAGCGGCCACGAAGATTTGAACGAATGTCTTAGTTCCCGCCGCCGCCAGGACGAAGACATCCTCGGCCTCATCCAGTGTCGTCAGAGCCAAGCACAAGGGGAAGTACTTGGGACTGGTCTTGATGGTCTGGCGGAGCTGCAGCCGGCCCGCGGTGAGCTGCCAGATCTTGATGGTCGCATCGGCGGCTCCCGAGGCGAGGAGAAACTGTTTAGGTGCGTTTCTCGAGTGGAGAATCGCTATGCAGTTTACAGGCGCAGAGTGCTCGTGAACCGTTTGCACGCACTCTCCCTGGTTGGTCTTGGGGTCCAGGGACCAGACCTTGAGCGTCTGGTCATCGGAGCCGCTGACGAGGAGTTTGCGGTCCTCTCCGTCCACTTGGAGGAGAAACTTGACCGTCTTGACGACCTCCTTGTGCCCACTCAGAAGAGAGACAATTCCTTCGTCATTTTGTGACTACCCAATGCTCGTCAGTCAGGGCCACGTTGAGATTGCATGCCGAACAGAGCTTACAGATGGTGTCCACAGGGCAATGTTGGAGTCCGCACCATAGGCAAGTAGACCGCATGGGCTCCAGTCAGCAATGTCAGTCTGCCGGTTAGCTCCCGTGGACAAGTACTCGATGGATGGTTGAAGGGCCGTCATCTTATCCCTTGTCGTCGCGGGGTTTTGTTACGTCGACCAAGTGACTCTAAGGGTTAACAGAATGCGGCGACGTGATTGGCTCGCGGGCGAGATTCAAGAGGTGAAGTTGAAATTTTTCTTAGTGGAGGGGGGGCCCGGGGGCGGGGCTCTCGGGCCCTGGCTTACAGCGGGCTACAGCGACGTCAAACCGTTCAGTCTCCGCGCCGTTTGCTCCACTGACGTCCGGCAGAGGGTTGCGCCCGCCATTGGAAGGCACAAGTCTGCGCTGGCGCGTCGAGGACAGGGCTCCGGCTTCAGGCTCCAGTATCTGTTGGATACCCAGCTCGGGCCCCGTCCACATCCCTACCTGTACCTTACACTACATCCATCACATCTTCCCTACATCAGTCCGTGCTGTGCAAGCAAGCAAAGAAATCAAACTCTATCGTGATTACATCTCATATTTTCCATCTATTCTCCGATATATCGCGTGGTGCAGCTGCCGGCACTCTAGACTTTGTCATATATTACTCCTAGAGCCGACAAAAGCATCGGAGAAGAAAAATGGCCGCAGGCGCTGCAGATGCGGGGGAGAAGATCTCCATTGTTGTCGAATTCTCGTGAGTCGCCTCTCACCCCTCCGTCCAAAGTCGTTTCTTGCATCCTTCTAGACGGGCTCTATCCCCCAGTCTTTGGCCCGATACCTTCCTCACGCAGCTTGGTGGAGTCGGTCGAAGCAGCGCTTCCGTCAGCACCTCGCATCTCGGTTAGGGGAGACACGGAAAGCATCATGCTAACAAGGTTCTCTGCAGCGGCGGCCTGGAGATGCTCTTCTCGGATAAGCGGCGCCATGCCCTCTCTATCCCAGCGGTGAGCAAGGATGGCAAACCCGCAACTATTGGCTTTCTCATCAACTATCTTTGCGAGAACACCATGAAGGACTCCAGGAAGGAACTTTTCGTCCTCGACGGTCACCTGTACGTATCGAAACGGCACTGCCGTCTCCAACCTCAAGCATGTCTTCATTTCGGCGCAATCAACCTTGCCGTACCTTCCCTACGTTCACCCCGACCTCACTCGTGCATGAGTACATCGCCACTCCTTCTCACCCTTTCGCAGCATCTACCTTTGATCGTGCAGCGTCGTTCTTTTGTATGCAACGCTAACGTAGTCGCTGCAGTCGGCCTGGTATCCTTGCCCTTATCAATGATGCAGACTGGGAACTCGAGGGCGAGGAGGCTTATGAAGTCCAAAGCGGTGACAACATTCTCTTCGTCTCGACTCTTCACGGAGGTTAGTGAAGGGCTCGGAAGGGGGTGGGTGGCGATTCTTGGACCAATGGCCTCGGGCATGACGGGGCCCTGCAAGTGGTTGCGGCCGTATCTCTGGATCCCTGGAATTGGCACGATGCATCTCCGTGGGCCGGCGCCGGTAGAAGGACGTTGAAACTCAGACGCCCTCCCCCGTCTCTCTGCTCGCTTCTTGCAGCCGCATGGCATTTGCATCAGTAATCTGCGGCCGTAGCCGACCGCTCAGCCGGCGGGGAGATGCACGTTTTGCTTCCGCAGCTGGTCTCTTTTCTTTGTCTACCTGTCTGCTACAAACACACCACGTCCCTACGTCCAACGCCATGTCACCCTCGATGCGATGAAACGTCCCGGATGTTATACCCCCTGAGTCCCCGCGGCCCTGCAAATGCCGCCGCCTTGCCTGCCACATGTCCTGTGGTCGCATCGTGGCGACAGCTTCTTCATCCCTTGTGTTCCCTTGCTCTCGGTGGAGTCTCTAGCTACGTCAAGTTACGTTCTCGTCATCCTAATCTCCTCATGTACAGTTCATCATGGGACGGCACGCGGGATGAACCCCCCGGGAGCCTGTCAAAGTCGCATGCACTGATGGTTGAAGGGGCGGTCAAGGGTTTTCATCCAATCATCCGCTAATTGTTTCGCGGCCAATCTGACAGGGCGAGGAATGGGTATTGAATCGACAGCTTCGTATCTGTACATGCGCCAGCCGTGGTGACTGCTACGCAATGACGGCAAATGAAGCACCCTTGATGCGCGCCAAATGAGGCCGTCACAAGCAAGCCCCCAACTCCTGCAAGGACCAACATTGCCTGGGAATATTCCGTGTCTTTCCCTCGCGCATACGACGAGGCGGTGAAGAAACGAGTGGACCTCTTCATGGTGGTTGATAGCGTGCATTGCAGTATGTAGTATACCCAGGATTTATTGATGCAGCCCTTTGGGCATTCGCTTCTATTCCTGCGGTAGACTTCTGGGTGCCGGCTGCGCTGTAAGTCTTTCCGCCCAACTGCAGGTAAAAGCAAACACGGCAAAGAGATAAATGTAATGTGTACGATCACGCCCCCTCCCCCATGCGCAGATGGATGGAAGGCGGAAAGACGGGCAGAGACGGGGAGGGGGGCTTCTAGAATACCAGCCCCCAAATGCACACCCGCCTCGAGGACCCCCACTCACATAGCAATCCAATCTCAAAGCTTCGCTCAGAATAGAATCATTGTTTCTTCCCTATCCCTGCAGGGTTGTTTTGCGCTACGTGACCCCCTGGAATTACAAACGCCGGTCGAAGACGTCAACCGTTCCAAACAATCTTGACTCAGAGGGTGCGCATCTTTGTGGGGGCGACAGGCGGACGGAATCAGAAACCCCAACTGAGACCAGCGTTCTGCTTTTCACAATGCCTCTCAGGGGTTCGGGCCGCGATCTTGTGCTCTTCTCGCTCGCACCTGGGCGGGTGCGGGTCATGCTCCCTCTTCTCGGCGGGTTTTAGATCCTGCTGGCGACTGCTGTACCCAGGAGATTGGGAACTTCTGGGGAAACGTACGTTGAAATCATCGGGTGGCGAGGTGTTTGAGGGCAAGACACGGGGAGATGATAAATGATCAGGCGAGTGTGTTACTTACATGCACATATAATACACTTGGCTCTGGGGTGCTGATCCGAATCACTCACATGACCTCTCCTCGTTGGAGTTATTTTCTTGGGTGTGTACATAAAGACTACGACAAGGCCAATAGTGACCATGATAATGGTGTAAATACGATCGCCAGTATGATTAAAGGAATGAAGAGGGGAGGGTGAAGTGGCGTTGCGGTTCATTCCAAGTCTAACGACTCAGGTCACTAAGGGGTAGACGGACGGGCTATAAGATGAGAGTAGTATAGATACAAGTATCACTGTGATGTTTTGTACTAGCCCGATGCTACATGCTTTTCGCTGATATTCTTTGGAAGTATCCTAACTCCAGGGGTGGTGTTGCTGAGCTGGCTCTCGTCAATGGCGCCGGCCACCTATGAGCACTTTGCCCGAGCCTCCTTGTCAACATTCATTGGCAGTTGTAATTATCAAAATGGACATCCCCGGCTTGTGTCTTGAGGCCCAGAGACCACAGCTAGCCGCCCTCGCGCTAGGCTTCTTACTATCTTCTATTTGCAACTCCGCGGTACGTTGTGACAGGAACTAGGAGATCTAGGTTGGCCTTAGGGGGGTTTTATATGGCTTATTGGGTTATCAGAATGACATGACAGAAAGAGTGAGGAGCAATCAAAAGAAGGTCCGCGAATTTGGGCAGGTGGGCTTGGGGGACGTCTTGGAGCAGACGGTCCCGAAACAGTCAAGAAGCAACCCGGTCCCTAAGCGGACCCGAAAGGAAGACATCAAAACCTAACGCTACGACTATACATGGTTTAATGCTTTGTGCCGCTTCAAGCCATGCAGACTCGTCCCTTCAACTTGTTGGCCCTTGTCGTTCCTGGGGTGTATCGCGGTAGACTCTACGTTTTGAGGAGCTTTGTATGATGCCCGTTCTTCATTCAACCCTGGCTTATTATCCATAGCCTACCGCTATGAACCCTTCGATTGCCCTTCTTGACGAAGGAGGGATGGCCAGCAATTCAACGACCTGTAGTTGGTGATCCAGCATGAGCGAGGTGAGGTTTGCAAAAGCCGGCCACGCCTTCGGGCATTAAAAGGCAGAAGCAGCGGCGAAACGAACCCGGAGTTTATTTAGTCGTTTGCTGAAGCCAATGGATATGCCCGTAAGTGGCTTGCCTGTAGAATCGTGATGCATTACTTGTTTCTGAAGCGGCCAGAGGGTTGTTTATCTGGGCAATGTAAGTTACTATTTTAATCCTTATAAGCGGTCTAGTCCGCCAAGCGCGGAGGAGGAACCAGTTCATAGTTATATTCTAATGGAATGGTAACTCATACTAGCGGAGAACAAATCAACCGATAGCATAGAGCAACTACTGGTCACACCTGACTTTGCTCAGAACCAGATTTCACTACGTCTTACATCTTCTAGACACGTCTGTTTCTCGATTCAGCCTCACCGGTATATTTGGCTTCGCTTGGAAGCCGATTACTGTTCTCAAAGGCACACCCGTTGGGCTTCCTGAGTCAGCCTTTCGAATGTCGACTTACAACATTCCAGTCTACAGACAAGTGACACTGTGTACGCCAACCTCGATCACGTCTCCAGTCTAATCGTGCTTCGTGGCGCGTTCAACAGTCCGTAGTTGGCATTAAATGGCGCACAGTATTCTCAGAGCACGAGACGCACCGATTATGCATCATGGATACGATTCTCGTTTGTAATGAAGTGGAGCGGCAAAGGCTGTCCATCATCGGCTGAATCGAGGGGAAACTTCCTCCGATGGTGCCACTCTTGCTGCTACCTCGTCGTTGGTTGTCGAAGCAAGAAATCTGCTGAGGAGCTTCACAGAGTCCGAGATTCGCAACGATATGTTCGGAAGTCGAAGCTATGAGCGTGAGTATGAGCATCAGCATTCTCAGAGGCTATTCCAACTTATTTCGGCCTCTTGTACCTCTACAGACCGCCAGGCGATGGAAGTGTCGTTATTTCAGAACGTACGGCCTCCTCAGGGTTGATGACATCGTGGACCACCGGTGAGGGCATCGGTCTTCTCTCCGCCTGCGCATCGGCGCCGATTGGACCACTCTTCGTGGGTATGTCATCTGACCGCCCCGAAAGAGGCAATGATTGTCCCGGACGGGGCCGCTGGCGCTTCCAGTGCGGATCGAACGAAGGCCAAGTCCCCACCCCCAAAACAAGCTTCCTGCAGGCTTCGGGAACAAGGCCCCAAGCGGTAGCGGTTAACAGGCAGACACTGTGGATCAAATCTAGCATCTCAGACCAGGTGTCTCTAAGTACTAACCCACCACCTCTTAAGTCACTTCTATTGTCCCCACCCACACTACTAACTTCAAATCCTCAACTCCAAGTTAACAACATGAAAAAGCTTTCTCAATAGTATATAGTTTAGGCTAAGTAACTCTAGATCAAGATGGTTATTCTATAAGTAGATTCTTTTAAAAAGTTGATTTGTGCTACTATTTTCTAGATACACTTTAAGCTGATAGAGATATCTCTGTTTTCTTCTTTTTTTCCTTAGCGAAAGGGTAAACTGGTCTGTGCTGGGGTCTGTGCACGCTAAGCGAGAGACTTCAAGAGGTACTTTGATGACTCAAGTGCTGCCCCTGTTTTCACGCTAAAAGTGTCTGCCTGGTAACCGCTACCCCCCAAGCCCGAGCTTCCTGCCTGCCTTTCGGCGGGTATCCCGCCGCGGTCGGGGTCAGAGGCATCGCGGGAGCGGGAGCGGCGCCCAATCAAAGAACGAGAGCGGCAGGAGAGTGATGTAACCGCGGTTCGTCGCGACTCGCAGTTCGCGCGCAGCCTTGATGGGATACGTGCGGTTTGAAACCTGGGGTGTGGGGGAAGACTCGGGGATTCCACGATGCGCTCCCCGCGGGGGAAAACAAGATATAAGCTTGCTCTCAGCGACTCTCCGGCGATCAGACACGTTCTCTTCCGACTCATTGCCGCAAATTCTTGGGCTGTCGGAAATTCTAACGCGCAGGAGCAGGAGTTATAGTACGAATCCAGGCCGTGGACACCGTCGAAAATGTCAAGCTCCGCAAGCCCGCTTGCGAAGTACAATGTCGCCAACCGGCTCTACAAGAGCTCGTTGCTGAATGCCGTGTGCCTGGTCGCCGGTGTGTCCATCTTCTTCTTCGGCTACGACCAGGGCTTGATGGGTGGTGTCAACACGACGCGCGATTACGCCGAGCTCATGGGGTACGGCCACTGGGACGAGGAACAAAGGATCGTTGTGGTCGATAAGCCGCTGTTGCAGGGAGGTATCGTAAGTGGCCAGGCCTTAGCCCTCCAGACGTGCTTTGTCTTACCGTGTATCAGGTCGCCGTCTACTACCTCCCCGGAACGCTCGTGGGATGCTTGGTGGGCGGATGGTTCGGTGACCGGTATGGTCGTCTCAAGACCATCGCCGCCGCTTGCATCTGGTCTATTCTTACCGCCGCCCTGCAGTCTGCTGCTCAAAATGCGAACTGGATGTTCTGCGGTACGTCAATGAAGTTTCTCCGTCGCCGATTGTGGATCATAGTTTGTTGCTGAATTTGCGGCTAGCACGTGTGCTGAACGGCATCGGCACCGGCATGTTAAACGCCATTACCCCCGTGTGGGCAACGGAGATTGCTTCTCATACATCGAGAGGCAAATTCGTATCCATGGAGTTTACGCTCAACATCTTTGGCGTAGTGGTCGCGTACTGGCTACAGTTGTGAGTTGACATGACCCCAAACCTAGTTCCTACCCACGTCTGACCTCGCCACAGCGGCACGTCAAAGTACAAGGACCCCTCGTCGTCCTTTATCTGGCGGTTTCCTATCGCTTTCCAGATTGTTCCCCTGATCTTTCTCTTCGGCATGATCTGGTTCATGCCAGAGTCCCCACGATGGCTCGTCAGGATGGGCCGAGAAGAGGAGGCCAGGTACATTCTCGGAAGACTGCGCGGCAACGAGAGTGAGGACATGGGGGTTGCCGAGGCGGAGCTCCAGGACATCATCAACATAAAAAACTTGGAGGACGAAACGGCCAAACAGCAGAGCTATCTTGCCATGTTGTTCGGCTCGGGCTCGGGCAAGCTCCACACCGGCCGTCGCGTCCAGCTCGTGATCTGGCTCCAGATTCTCCAGGAGTGGGTCGGGATAGCAGGAATAACTCTTTACGGACCTGGCGCGTCATCAAAAACATCCTGTTCCGGGACCCGGTATGTTAACTTTCAATAGTTGTCTTCACGATCGCCGGCATCAGCTCCGAGCAGCGCCTTTGGGTTAGCGGTGTGAACAACATTACATACATGGTATGTGGAACCTGCTCCGCGGTCTCGGTGCCGCAGAGAGGAGAGCTGACGCCATATAGTTCGCAACCTTGATCTGTGTGTTTACCATAGATCGCATCGGCCGCCGCTGGACTCTATACTGGGGTGCGGCTGCGCAGGGGATATGCATGTTCTGCGCCGGCGGACTGGCTCGGGCGACGCTCAACGCCGACCCCGGAAATCGGGCCGGACTGGGCGGCGCCGCGACCTTCTTCGTCTTCGCCTACACGGCCGTATTTGGCGCAACATGGCTGACAGTTCCCTGGCTGATTCCCGCGGAAATCTTCCCTCTGCAAGTCCGAGCCAAGGGCAACGCGTGGGGTGTCGTCGGGTGGTCGATTGGGAATGGATGGACGGTAAGTGACTCTGCATGTGCCTCGGCTTGCCCGCGAGCATCCGCTAACGTGCGCGGAACCAAGGTACTCCTCCTCCCGACAATCTTTGAGAAGCTGAACGAGAAGACGCTCTACCTCTTCGGCGCCGTGAGCTTCATCAGCATCGTCATCGTCTGGGCGCTGTACCCCGAGTCCAACCAGCGCACTCTGGAGGAGATGGACCTCGTCTTCGCCAGCGACAGCATCTGGGCATGGGATGCCGAGAAGGAGTTTGCCAGGCTCAAGGCGGAGAATCCTGCTCTTGTCCGCTCGGCGCACAAGGGGGGCGATGCTGTGGACTCCGAGACGGGCGCGGCATCGTCTTCGAAGCAGGCCTATGATTATGAGGAACGGCCTTGATCGCAGATACAAAACGGACGACAGGCTTAGGCACTATATCTAGGCGTGTTGTGCAAACAGATAGCCAAAGGCGCATGGCAAGCCAGTACGCCGCCACCTGAACGCAGCTAAGCAATCGCCTTGGCTCTGTAGTTAAAAGAACGCCACCAACACGTACGATGAAAAACTTCAAGAAAGTCCAAATACATTTTCAGATGTCCAAAGTGGAATGTGGGATTGCCGAAGGGGCAATGGATGTGGCAAGGTTGGGTTGGAGCTATCTGAAGGGGCCCAACTTGACTACGTTTCAAACTATACCGAATGCCTTCGCACTTGCGGGCTTCCCTTCTCCGTGCATGACCAAGCCCGAGAATTCGTGCAAAAATTAAACAATATCCGGTGCAGACTCCCGAACCCCTAATTACAACCTTCAAACTCGGCCGATGTATGCTGTGAAAATCAAGACTCATCTCTGACCTCCTGGCTTCGCCGCCGCCATGGCCGCCATTCTGGCCTTGCGAGCCGCCCTCCATCCCGGAGACTTGACGCGTAGCACTATGACAAGCACCGGGTCAGCAAACAACTTCGTGACGGGCCGAGAAACCTCCCGATTCGCGGAAAACATACCAATGACCGCGGACCCGACAAGCACCAGGTCCAACAGCGCCAGCCCTGTGAAACACCACCCGCTTCCCATCCTGGTGACGAGAGAGGGGATCACGAGGGCGGCGATAGCAGCACCTGGGTTCCGGAGCATGTTTCCGAGCGCGAAGGCGCCGGCGGCCTGTTGGGCCACGCACTCGGTCAGGAAGGCTGTCGTGGCCACGAAGACCCAGTTCATGCCGAAGCCAGCTGTGGTTGCACGCGGTCAGTCCTGTGATCTCACAAAGTTTGCGAACAAGATAAAAACAAGACGACTTTGCGGGCTTACTCAAGAATGTGGCAACGAGCACGGCAGCAGGATGTAGCGAGGCGTCGACGAACCACCCGTACATCGCACACCCGCCGGCGCAGACAAGCACGCCCCAAATTTGGTCGGCCAGCCTGTTCTCGGGGTCGACATGGTTGTCCGGGGACATCTTAATGGCGCGCGCGCGGCGCCAGTCGGAGAAGCGGCCCCCGATCATGGAGCCTACGATCATGGCGACGCCGACGGCGAGAAAACCTGCACCAGTGCCGGCGGCAGACCACTTGTATCTGTTGGTGAGCTCCGTGGGCAGCTGGACGGCGATGGCGAAGTAGGTCGAGTAGAGCATGGCCGTGTTGAAAGTCACGATACCGATGGGAGGGTAACTGAAGAGGCGCCAGTACCCGAGCAGAGTTGGCTTGGGAGGGGGAGGGCCTCTTTCCGACTCGGGGGCCAAGGGTGAAGACAGTTTGGGGGGGAAGAGAATGAAGCCGGACTGAGCGTAGAGTCGGCCGCTTCCTACCCTGGCGCGCAAGGTCTCTGGTAGCATCAGAATGATGGTAAGCCAAAGAGCAAATCCGGCAATGGCTGTTTGGCTAGAGTTAGTTGATGGATGGCTTGTAAAAGTTCGGCGGAGAACTCACCAAGGAAACCGAAGATCCAACGCCATGAGGCTATCGTCAATGCACCTCCGATCACCGGACCTAGCACCGGTCCAAGTTGGGGTCCAAGGAGGAAGATACTCATTGCGAAAGCTCTCCCCTTAGGGGGGGTGACCTAAGAACGGGTAAGTTGGTGGTTGCGTGGTGAAGATGTTCTGGGGCACGCACATCTGCAACTGTTCCTGCTCCCATCGATACTACCGCCGCGGACCCAAAAGCCTGGACAATCCGCAAGAAGACAAGAGCGCCGTAGTTCGCCGGCACCGCGGCCAAAAATATATTGGCCACAATGTAGATGGAGATGGAAATGATGTACAGGGGTCTTCTGCCCTTCCAGTCTGCAAAACTGGCCCAGAACATGGGCTATGGAGGGTGTTAGAATCTCTCTTCCATTGCTGAGCAAATATCTTGTCACTTACCGCAAAGGCAAAAGTCAGCATGAAGACCGACACGGTGACATTAATAGCGGTTGCACTGGCGTGGAACACCTCTTCCAGGACGGGTAGAGCCGGGAGATAGATGTTGCCGGCCAGGGGTCCAAAACAACCGGCAACAGTGACGACGCTGAGGATGAAGCGCTTCCGCCATGGCGAGAAGGCCGAGTATGCCGGTGGGGCGCCGGCTTTCTTCTCGGGGTCGGTTGCGTGTTTGTTAGCGTTAGGGACTGGGACCTCTTGCGAGGACATAGCGGAGTCCTTCATAGGCGTTGTCGTGCCGGAGGTGGACGGACTGGAGTCGGCCATGTGGTGGCAGTTTCAAGTAATGCCTAGAACAAGAGACCTAAGAAAGAGATCAGGAGTGTAAGTAGTAAGTTGAAGCAATCATAAGAAAAGATAGAAGGGGAAAACCCGAGCAAGTCAAGTCAGGCAAGGTGAAGCAACACGGCCCCGATGATGGCCGTTGCTTGGGAACAAAGACTGCAAAAGTATCCTGAGCCAGGTCTTTTCTGAAGTATTACAATTCAGTGTCCATTTAATAGCACCCTGGCATCTCGATGATGATGACAGGATCTTACCCCGGCACCTAACCGGGAGGGCAGCGCCGCAACTCTCTTGGTGGCTGTGTGGGGAGGAAGGATGATGTACACCAAGAGGAGGGAGGCTCCGCCAAAAGGTCCGGTACCTCTGGGGGGTTAGAGGCTTTCCACTTGCGCCAGCCACTTTTGGGAAAAGTCTGGAATTCCATCAAACTCTCCTTCCTCTTCGCGTGGAACCTTGATCCTCTCAGCAGGACCCGCTCTTCATCCCATGTACGATGTATCCTCGCGGGGCTCCGTTCTGCGTTGCTGTCTGGTGCCACCAACAGTTGCGCCCGCCTGACGCACACAGTCCGTTCTTCATGATTTGTCTATGGAGCGAAGACCGTGCGACGTCCGATGTGGTTTGTCGAGATGCACAGACGCTGCGTTGCCAAAAGGACCAACGTATGCGGGCTATCGTCAGCAAACGGCAAAGCCTGTTGCCTACTGCGGCTTCAAGTCCCAATCCTTTCCTTTTGGTCCTTCTCATGCATATCGACTCTGGGCATTGAAAGTACATCTACCTTGGGCAGGGCAGGGCTGAGAAGAGGTCGTCTGTCGTCGATGGTCTAGTCTGTACCCATGTAAGTGACATGGTTAGTTTTCCCCCTCTTCTCATGGAGCTGACCCATTCCACCAGGATTCCGGGCCTTGAGGATATAAACTTACCCACATTACGGTTCAGTCTTGCCTCGCGCAACAGGCACTCTACCAGTCGCGATGCTGCTGCTTTTGCTCGAAATCTTGCTTCTCGGAGCGCTGCTCCCCGGCTTTGTTTACTACTTTTTCTTACTGCCACCGAAATACCCGCAAAACATACCGGCAATTCCCTTCTGGGTCGCCCTCATACCTTTCTTCAAAGACGTTGACCAGTCAGACATCTTTCTCGAGTACATCGACAAGCCGTTACGAGCCCACGGGGCGGTCAAGATCTTCTTTGGCGCTCAGTGGAACATCTTGGTCCATCGACCCTCCTACCTGGTTGAGATTTTCAAGGACGAGGACCTCTACGAGAAGAGCGGCAACCAAACCAAGATTCCTCATAGCGTCCTCGCCGACTTTCTTGGTAGCCATTCCTAATTGCGACCATTCATCTCCACCGCGGGTATGCGTGTGTGCTGACCTCCAAGCCAGGCGACAATATCATTTCGGCGAGAGGGGATGTGTGGAAGAGCTATCGCTCAGTCATCAAGCCGGGCCTCCAACGGAATTTCGATGCGTGCATGATTGAGGCCAACGCAGTCATCCTGTGCCGCCTCCTTCGCGAATCCCAACAGCGGGCCGGACGGGGTGGCGTCGCTGTGCAGGATCTCCTGCAGCGGTATTCCGTCTCCAACTTCAGCGAGGCCGTCCTTGGCACCAGGCTCCATGTAAGTCGCCTTCGGCCCCCACGGTGACCCGACCGAACCTAGCAGGGAATCGTCTGACCCCGGGCAACTCCGTACGTAGGCACTCGACAGGGCCGATGCTCGCATCAATATCCTCCAGACGGCGGTCAAGAAGGAGATCTTCAAGCCAATCTTCATGAGCTTCCCTTTTCTCGATCGCCTGCCGCTCAAGTCTCGCCTGGCGGCGAGACACACTGTGGGCCTCTTCAAGAATGAGCTCAAACGCGCGCTGCAGGCGAGCCATCACCTGCAGAAGACACCCCCCCTGTCGGAGGCGTCGTACAAATTGGGAAAGAGAATGCTTGACGCACGAGCGTCGGGCTTGTGGGACGAGAAGCAGCTCCTCGACAACCTCACGGTGGCGTTCGTAGCAGGCCAGGAGAACCCGCAGCTGGCGATGATATCGACACTGTATCTTTTGGCAAAGCATCCCGTAAGTCTTGCTGCCCAGGTTCAACCCCGACCCGTGCTGACCGGCGTGCAGGAGGCGCAAGAGCTGCTGCGCCAAGAAATCGTCTCCAAGGGTGTCAAGTCTCCAGCAGACCTGACCAAAGAGGACATGCCCTATCTCACCTCTCTCCTCTACGAAAGCCTGCGTTTGTTCCCCCCCATCGGCCAGTTGATCAACAGGAAGGCGGCGAGAACTGCACTCCTGGGCGGCAATGTCGTAATTCCGGAAGGAACATACGTCGGCTACCACTGCTACTCTACGAACCGCTGCCCTACTGCTTGGGGGCCGACGGCAGACCAGTTCAACCCCGGCCGGTCCGTCTTAGTCTACCTCCCCGCAAGCTTTAAGATTCAATGAGCTCATATTCAGCAGGTGGGGTTGCTCCTCCGAGGCAATCCAGCAAGAATACCGGCGCCGCCGAGCGAGGGGCGAGTGGATCAGCTTCCATGGTGGTGAGAAAGGATAACCAGGATTCTATTTCCTCGTTTTGCTGCTGACGCGTGCTAGGCAAGCGTGCATGTCTTGGCGAGAAGTTTGCAATGCTGGAAATGAGGGTCACACTGATCCAGCTGGTCCGCGAGTTTTTCTTCACTCTAGACCCGACGTGGGTTGACCGTAAGACGCCGGTAAGAACCTAGTTCCCCCTGTACTCGGCCCTGGACCTCCTACTTTTGTTCGGTACTAACCGAGCGTTTCCCGCCCTCTTTCCAGGCCGGGCCCCTCTACCCTCGGGCTCTGCGATTGGTTTTCAGAGAGAGAGAAAGCGAGGGAAAAGAGCGTGGCACACTCGGGTTAGTGATGTGAATACGGGATGGGTTTTGGGTAGATTGGGATTGGTTTCGATTAGCATTCTGAGTCGTTTAGTTATGGTTCCGGTTCTAGGTTTTAGTGGCCAAGAAACATTCTTCGTACCTTCAGACGAACTGGAGCGGGTTCTTCCCTCCCAAAATGGTAGACCCTGACGTACATAATTAGGGTAGCGTTCTCCACAAATCGCGACTACCTTAGGACTGAGCTTCTAAATTAATCAATCGGCCGACACGCGCATTGAGGGGGGCGCTGCGCAGATCGTTGGTCCACAAAAAAGACCAGACGACCGGGCGGCCAATAACAAGAGCTTCTCCCCCACGTAACGAGGAGATATTAGTACGTACACGCGACCATCCACGCTGACCATATTTCTCACCTCCAACGCAGTTGGAACGCAGCCGCATACCGCGCCAAGTTTTCCAAGCTATAGTCGCTGCGCAAACAATGGCATCTTCAGAGTTCTCGACATGGCCATCAGCGGATAAGACATGCACGTATCTGGACGGGCAGAATCCCACATGTGGAGAGATGGGGGCGATTTCGTTCTTGGGTCGAGAGGCGAAGTGGCCGCCATCGAGCGCATCGGGGGTCCGGTAGGAGCCTTGACCCCGTCCTGTCGCCTAGTAGGACCGACAAGCATGACAGTCAAGCCAAGAAGGATCCGGTACCAAGACCGAGCAGAAATGGTTGGCCTAGCACCAGACCGCCTGGCTGACCTTCAAGGTAGGAAGGACTTTACTACCAAAAGACGATGCAAATAGCCTGAGGCTGACGAGGGTCGCAGTCGAGTCGCACGATCCTGGATTATTCTGACCGATGCCAAGCGAGTGTTTGTTGGAAACATCACCAAGTCTCCATCAACGACTGATGACAGCAACGAGTCTGTCGCAACCCCCACTTTCCACGGACACGGCCACGGATGTTGAATCCTCCTGCTCCCCCCCCCCCCCCCCCCCCCTCCCCTCCTCCTCCTCGCCCAGGGGAGGCTGACCGAGAGTTTGCTTTCTTCCTTGTACGGCCAAAGCTAGTGCCTGTACAATGAGTCTGCGGAACCTGGTCACAGCCCTGGCGGGGGGGGGGGACACAGGTCCTGGATATCCTCTGTGACGGGTGGCCTTGCCCGCGGCCGAAATGTCCCCTGCTCTCGCACGCCCGTGGCTCTGCACTGTATTGCAGGCACCATGTATATGCCTCTTCGAAGCCACGGGTCAGGGCCATGCTGCAGTACCTGTACCACAACCTTTCTCTCCTTCGTGTCGGTTCCATGTCGGGCATGACCTTAATGCCAGGATTCCTGGTGATCCCATATGCACGACCTGCCTTTGCCCGCGTGGACTGGTTGGGCCTGCACTCCCTCTGCCAAAGGTTCCGACTGTTTCTTGCTGCCGACCACCATCGCGTCTTGTATCCGGAAGCGGTATGTTCGTTTGTTCTTTTGGCTGACGATAGTCGTCTTCTGCGCTTGCGCGGCACCACACTCCGGCGCCTCACTCGCTGCTCCTCCTAATCGTATTACCACCAGCATTTCACAGCCCGCCTTGGGTTTCTCGAGTGGAAGAAACTTCGACCACCCGTCCACGAATGAACCGATCATACCGGCCAAGCCACCGAAGGAAGAACTCGAGTTATTGATGCGTACTAGGCCTGCTCGACACGGCCGCCCATCTGGTTTATAAACCCCCATCGAGAGACCACCGGGTCCTCCATCCCAGCCCTACCACTTCAACAACGCCACCATCAAACTCTAATTTTTAACCCCATTTCCTTTCAATATCCAGGCCGCTCAGCAGTATACTCTTCACAATGGAATTCTCAAACAGTGGTGACTCCGTGTTTCACCGCTTCCAGGCCGCCTTCGTCCACGACGGGCAAGGGCAGCTTCTGTACTGCACCGGGCCGCAAAAAGGCAGGGTGCAGGAGCACTGGGAAGTGATCAACCGGCATCTTCCTAGCCGATCCCAGACGGCAACAGGCGAGAGCCAGAAGGCCGGATCTGCGGACCTCGATGGACCCCTCCGAGGCTCAAGGCTCTACGAGATGCGGCGTCCCGGCTCTGGCCCCACGGGCCTCATCCTCGACGCCTCGTCTCAGAACAGTAACACGCCCAGCACGCAGTTCGAGGAGTTCTTTGCGCAACTGCTCCTCGACCAGGCAGACTTTGCTATCCGCGACTTCGGGTTGATGAAGTCGCCCTCCGGCGCATCTCTGGCCGTCACGGAGCAGATCGTCGACCTGTTCGACAGCTTCCTCAGGTATCAGGGGAAAGACGACCGGTGGGAGGTCTGCGGAAAGGCATACTTCACAGAACGCGTCAGGCATTTCACCTCGCAAAATGCCAGCATCGAGCTCTGTCTGCCCGCTTTCCCCTGCAAATCGTCAAATACAAACAAGGTCCTCGGCAAAGCTCCCGATCGGGGAGAGCGGCTAGCACTGGAGCGGCTTCATAGTTTCGTTGAGGCCATCGAAAAGATGTACCAGCCCGGCGCCAAGATGTGGATCATCAGTGACGGCCATGTCTTCAGTGATTGCAGTGAGTCAACTTTACGTTGCCTTTGGTTGATATGATACTAACACCCCTCAGTCGGAGTCGATGATGCCGATGTCGACATGTATGGCGAGAAGCTGAAGGAGATGAACCGTGCCATCGGCATCAGCAGAGGCAACACCGACCGTGTTGGTTTCAGGTCGCTCGTCGACCTCTTCGAGCTGGACAGGGCAAGGTCGCAGTACAAGCTCTCGGCGCTCCAGACGCAACTCAGCATCCTTAATATCGAGCACCACGTCGAGACGAGGTTGACCGTGGAGGCCGAGCTGTGCAGACAGATCCTCATGGCTGGCTGCCAGCCCCAGGAGTCCGCAGTCCGCGCCAAAATCAAGTCGCAAAATGCGACGATCCTCGCCCTGTACCGCGGGTTCTCGCGGTTCATGCTGGAGGACCTTGAGCTGCACCCCCACACGCAGCAGATGACTAGGAGCCAGAGGAAGAAACTGTCGACAAAGGTGGCGTTCGAGATGATCATGGTAGGTTGTAACTGCAACAACGAGAATCCACGGCACGTCTGTTTTGGGACCACGAATAATAACTGACACGGTTGTAGAGGAACCAATCATATTCCAACCTGGTTGAGCTGCTTCTACCGAACCACGTGCGCCTCTCCATCCACGCGTGAGTATCCCCGGTCCGCTGCTTGATCGGTGTGGCTAGACCTAACAATTTGGGCTGTAGTCACAACAACGCCGGGCCGAAATTCGGAATCCAGCTGTTCGACCCCGCCGTCGTTCGCGCCGTCGAGGGTCTCTCACCCGACGGTACGCCAATGGCCTCCCGCGACCTCCTTCACATTCCCACGCCCTGGCACAACTGCGTCGCCGAGGTCGAGGGCAGTCCCTATCTCCTCGTCACCAAGGCCAGCATCCCCCGAGAGGCGATGTCCTTGGGCGCCGTGACCGGCGAGGTTGCGACCAGGGAAGCGCCGTGCTTTGTCCTGCGGCCAAGGGAACATGGTGTTGCCGCAGTCGACAAAGCAGGAGAGAAAATAGAATCCCCGCCGGCGGCCGTCGCCGATAAGCTCACCCCAGCCCCGACGACGCCAACCCCCGCTCAGAAGCCCAACGCGCCGAAGAGCAGGGGGCGGTTCGACTGGGCTCGCAGGCTGGCTGCCTTTCCGGTCATCTGCTGGCTGGGCATGGTGTTTTATCACCGCGTTGTGGAGGCGTTTGTGTAAAGTCGGATCATGAGGAGATTGCAGTGCTGCATGGTTGAGGAATTTTGAGCGTGGGTAATAAATATAAATGGGGGCACAGCCGGGATAGGGAGTATATGAGGCGTTCTTTGTAGACCTTCTTTCGTCAATGTCCAATCTTCAATCGGGTTCAACCAGACCACGCCCGTCAGAAAAACTTGCTCGTTTCGTTTCCAAGCCTGTTGCTGGTCCCTATCCCCCCTCCCCCATGCGGCTCGTGGGAATGTCACGGTACTTTGCCTGCCTAAACTCAAGGGACCCTCTGAGCAAGTTACTCAGAGCGGTAATCTTCTCAAACGAGCGCGCCAAGACGGACCCGGGGCTCACCAAAAACCCCGACCCGGGAGGAAACGGTAAGAGGGGGGGGGGACATCCCGCTGACCCCAACCCAAACGGGGCCGGCCTATCGAGATCCGGGAGCCGGGTTTGGTTAAACCGGCCAATCAGTCCAGTCGCACAGCTTCGCGGTCCTACCGCAGCCACGCAGGATGTGGGAAAGGGGGAAAAGGCATGTTTTCGAGCCGCTCGCGCCACGTAAGGGAGGTCGCTGTGCAGTCCGGTAATCCTGAACCGACGCAGATCGTCGAAGCATGGGGGGGGGGGCGCGTCGAGATATAAGCCAGCCGCTTCCCCGTTGCCTGCGGAAAAAAAGAAAAGGGGTGTCAAAAAGTCACCCCTTTATTTCTTCCTACCGGTTCGTCCCCCGATCACGTCCTCGAAAATGCGTCTTGCCATGCAGACGCCTGGCCGGTGGTGGCCTCCCTTGGTCTGCCTCCTCGGGGCGTGCCTCGCCGCGACGGGCGCGGAAGCGCAGGAGCCCACGGCGACACCGCGGCCACCGCCGCCGCCTAGGAACTTTGGCGTCATCGTCTCCCGCGCGTACGAGGTGCTCGATATCTTTGGGCCCCTCAGCGCCCTGGGGTCGCTGGCGAGGATGCACCAGATGAACCTGTACATGATCGCCGAGAGCATGGACCCGGTGACGGTCGAGCCGGTGTCGCCCGCCATGAACACCAAGAACTCGAGCTTCGTAAGTCCTGAGGTCCCGTGATGTGGTTTGAGGGGTGTGGGTGTTGCCCCCTCCCTCGCTTCCCCGCGGAGCATCAGCTTCCGTGACCCGGTCTTGGAAGCGTGTGTGTGTGTGTGTGCTGACGCTATACAAAGTTCCCCCTAGTACTACCGACGCACACGTACGCGACGGCGCCCAAGGACCTCGAGGTCCTCATCGTGCCCGGCGGGCTCTGGACGCGGTCGCCGAACCTCAACTCAACCATCGCGTACATCCGGACCGTATACCCGAGCCTGCGGTACCTCGTCTCGATCTGCACGGGGGCCGGGGTGGTGGCGCGGGCGGGGGTGCTCGACGGGCGGCGGGCGACGACGAACAAGGCGTCGTGGGCGAGCACCATCGTCCACGGGCCGCGGACGGAGTGGGTGGCGCGGGCGCGGTGGGTCGTCGACGGCAACGTGTGGACGTCGTCGGGGGTGTCGGCGGGCATCGACGCGACGCTGGACTTCATCGAGCAGGTGTACGGCGCGGCGAACGCGACGTACATCGCCGACGCGATGGAGTACGACTGGCACCGGGACCCGAGCTGGGACCCGTTCGCGGACAAGTTCAACGTCACGGGCGCTTGAGCGGCCGGTCGGGTCCCGGCGTGTCTGTGATGGGACCACGTCCGGGGGCAGACTTGGAGGGGCAGCCCCGTTGGCTGGTGCACCTGGTGATGCGGTGGAACCAAGAGAGGGGGCTAGTCCATGTGCCGTCTTGGACACCTTGGCCCATGGAATTTGTATCTGAATGCGCATTCGATATTTAGTCCAGACTTCGGAGTCGTCGCCTTACTCGGCGACTTGCTGTACTAATTTCTTCACCATGTCCTTTCATCACGCACGAGACCAGTGTTTACGAAGAATCAAACGACGTGACGAAAGGGGGCGGACGTGAAAATGCAGCTTATACCCCCAGAGTGTCGGAAAAGGTGGCTAAACATAACTAGGTATAACCTGGAGTTACAGGGGAAGCCCCGGCTGGGGCATCGAATAAGGACTGTGTACCTATATCTCGTCAACGTTACATGGTACAACATAAGATATATGTTATATGGTGGTAATTGCTGCGATGATTACGTGCGTTGTTGATCTACGGCAGGTCCACAACGCCATATACTCCTCAGCCATTAAGTTTTCAAAGTAGCCGATTTGAGACGGCCTAGCTTGGTGTTGTTTCGTATAGGGCGTCTTCTATAGTGTATGTATCCCGGGGTCGAAACCCGAATGCCAAGCACCTCCAGCAGTGGGTTGACAAATAAACATGTTGCGCATGCGTGCCAGCCATGTCGTGTCGTATAAACATAACCGAGCCGCTATAGGCTATTGGGTCTAATACTGCATTCGCAAAAAAGAAAAAGCAAAGAAGACAAAACAGCAATCGTCCGATTCCAAATGGAAGACGCACAGCAGCACACTTCATGGATCGCCAATCGTCCATGGAAGAAGACAAGGGGTCGTCGGGATTTAGCTCAAACCCAAACTCAAACTCAAAAATAAAACATAACCCCCCCCCCCCCCCCCCATCTGAAGTCTGGCGAACGCCCCGACCCCATACCGAACCAAACGAACCACCTCAGGATACCTAGGTAGTTCCCCGGGACTAGACGGGCCCTCCCGCTTGCAACGGTCCCGTTTCGGACAGGGGGATGCTGGGAAACCGTCAAATCGCGTTTCTGCTTTTGGGTAAGCCGTTCTGTTGCCTTTATTCAGCATTATTCAGCACTTGGGACGACATGCCAACTCTTTCGCTTCTTATTTGCTTTTTTTTACCTTCTTTCTTTGCAGCACCCGACGTGACAATTTGAGCGCCCTCTCCCCTACCAAATGGTTATTATCGACATCAATCAGAACGTGCCTGCCACCCTCCCCAATGCATCATAGAGAACCTAAACGCTCGTGTCACAACGTTGGCGATCGTTCCACAGATCGCAAGGACGGGGCTCCGACTCCCGATCCCTCCATCTCAACCCCCCCTTTCTCGCCTGTTTTCGAGGTGACACAACGGGAAGAGGGAGACCGTCAGACGGACGACGGACGTCGCGGATGCGAGCACGCCCGGAATCTTTGGGAGGAGAGTTAGACGCGAGCCCAAGCGAGATGATACAAGGCTCCTTCGCGCGATGCCGAAAAAAATCGAAAGATTACCGCCTCCCCCCCCACCCCCGGCAGGCCGCCACCGGAATAGATACTCGCCTGGTCGGGCAACCGACACCTGAGAGAGGCTGCACCATCACCCTTCGTCACCTAACTGCTGGCCAATGGGGGCGGCCCGGACTGTCTTCGTACCCGCTCGAGATCCCACTTACTCTTCGGCAATCCTTGATCTATTACCGTACGCTAGCGCACGTTAGCCGCACATGTGCACCAGATGGGCAGCATCCTCGCCTTTCTGTTCCTGATGTTCAGGAACGGGCAGGGCTCGGCGGGTGCGTTGAAGATCAGGCCCATCGTTGTCATCACAAATCAAATCGCTAGTTCGAGGCGCCTCTCTCGGAGGGACAGGGTACTCCGGAACATTTGGCCATCCTGAGGAGTATTGAATGGGCAACCTGTGTCCAGCTAGGCTGAGACGCCAAGGTCGTATAGCCTATCGCCATATCCCCCAGGCCGCTTGATTGAGAGAGAGAGAGACAGGAAGAGAGCGAGAGCGTGCAAGCGGTGACAGCGGAAGATCGCGAGCTACTCCCGTGGCAGCTGGGATACCACTTCCACCAAACAGGAGGGGGGAGGGGGGGGGGACCCTAGGACGAACGAGGAACGAAAAGTCACGGACATTGGATTTGAGGATTCATACGGCCCTATCTCTGTTCGATCCCCCCAGCATACGAATGCCCATTCGGACATTTACGGACGCATTTACACCTGCATTCTTTCACGCATCTCGACGACGACCTAACCGCCTGCCATACACAAAATCCACTCCCCCCCCCCTCCCGCGCGCCTCGATATAGGTCGCCCTGTTCTTACCATGTATGTGGGGGGTTATTAAATTCCCTATCCGGTTTTCTGTTTCCCTTACGGCCATAACAGACGGGGGCAGATCCCTCCGACGTACCTACCTACAGTAGTTTGCATCATCTTGTTTACATCATCTTCTCACCCCCCCTCCCTCATTCCTGCCATTACCGCCACACGCCCTCCTCTCACACATTTCCCACCCCCCCCCCCCCACCCAACCCCATGCACCGCACTCATCGCGCATAGCAACACCTCTCGCCCTCCAGGTTGTGGCATCTTGCATCGGGGGGAACCAAAGCCGCGCTCCCGCCGGCAACACCACCACCACCAGCCATCAGTCACTACGCAAGGGGTGCCCATCTTCAAGCCACGCCGCCGCCTCCGATCTCAAGATTGCCCCCACCGCCGGCGTATCTCCCGAGCATGTAGACCGCTTCTTTACCGTCCCGGGTTGTGTGTGCCCACCCCCCCCCCCCCCCGGTCTTCTGCGCGTGCGCCTTCTGCGTCTGCGCCTATCTTTGGTCCACTCGTTGGTTGGTCGGTCCTTCTCACACCGGGAGGGAAAGGACCCGGAGAGCGTCTGCGTCTGCGTTTGCGTCTGCTGCGTCCTCCAGCACCAGCACCAGCCAGCACCGCAGCCGGCTCGCCTTCCCCGGGCTCGGCTCATCTGGAGATCCGGTTTCCCAGTGCATCCCCTTTTTTCCCCCCACCGAGATGAACGGAAGGCAGGCTCTGGTCATTGGTTCCCTTGGGGGAGAGTCGACCCAGTAGGTCCCCCTCCGCCGAGAGGCCAAAGGGAATGCTTGGGTGAGATGCACGCCGGCCTGCATCACAGCCCATTCCCGAAATTGCGAGCACTAAGGCAGGCTGTAGTCATCATTATGCGTCACGGTAACGACCACGGACGATGTGTGCATGAAAAACAAAATGGTATCAATAATTCTTAATCATCATACGGCACGCTCAGTAGTCCCACCAGCGACGCAAGGGGTGCATGATACTTGAGATCCTTCCTATCGGCCCAGTCCAACCTCGTCCTAAGGCGCGGAAGCCGAAAGAGAAAGGACCAACAAAAACAACCCAACGCTTGATTCCCAACTCCCGATCCCGTTGCCACGCTTGACCATTGTTTTTTCTCAACACAAAAGAAAACCCAGATGGCGTCGAAGAGTCTAGTAACTCTAATGCGAAGCCTCCGCCGTCCCGAGATGCACATAACCCCCCCCCCCTGTTCTGTGTGGATGGATGTCTAATAACTCCAATGATGTAACCTGTCTCACCCCATGGCCGGCGAAGCCGACAAAATCCCTCTACAAACCCCAAAGAGACGAAAGAGAACAAGAGAGAAAAATGAAGAGCAGAAATAAAAAACCACCCGCGTAAAAGCAATGTTTTGCCTGCATCGGTGTTTCCAGCCCGAGCTAGGCCACGAAGGAACAAAAAAAAAAAAGGAAACCGCTCAACAACTTTCTTCAACACCTTCGTACACGCTCCGTAGATTTGGAAAACACAACTCTGGCGCCAACATGGCGCGGTGGTCCAAGGAAACAGTATGCACCGCTTTAGTAAAGCAAAAACGAAACGAAACGGCTCGAGTATAAAAACCAAGAGAACTAGACAGAAAAGAAAAAAGAAGAAGAAAAAAACCGTGAATTGTTCAGACAACCGCCCTCATCAAGGAATAATAACCTCGGTGAAATTATTCTCTTTTTTCGAACCTCTTTCCGAACCAATGTTTTGGCGCGCCGTTTTGTGTCTCCTGGGAGTGGTTCTGTCCCGCAACTCCTGGTATAGGTCAGGGCAAGGGTGTATTCCGTTACTTTTTTTTATTTTTACTCCGTACCGTTTCCGTTTGTATCTGCCCTATATGCTTCATTTTCGTATATTCATTCAGGAGATGTTGTCATTGGTTGCGTTGTGATGCTCGTTTCGTGCGCGCTCAGTACATTGCGTGGGTCGACTGCTGGTACATGCGGTCACGGTAAGTGGCGGGCAGGCCGTCGTATCTGGGGCTGCTTGCGCTTGAGGACTGGTCCATGTCGGTGTCGTAGACCTCATAACCGTGCTGGTGGTGTTGCTGCTGCTGCATGTACTGCTCTGGGGGAGGGAGACGCTTCGAGCTGTACGCCGCTAGGCTGGCGGGCCCAGGAACCCGCTTGACGGGGTAGGATGAAGGCGCCGTCCTGGACTTCGCGCCACGGTTGCTGACCCTGCGGTCCTTGCCGCGGCCCTTGATTCCCTTGTTGCTGTTCTTGTACAAGTTGGCAAAGTACCAGTACATCTCTCTCTGGTCGTCGGACAGAGCATCGATGTCGGAAATCGAGACGATCCAATCAGTCATCTCCATGAGAGTCTTCTCGTGGTACTTGTTTTGGTGATTCTGCCAGGCAGTTAGTTAGATAATGTCGCCTACACACGAAGCAACACGCGTACCTTGAGGTTTCCTCTCTGAGTGAACATCTTGTTGCAGTCGTCTAGCTTGCAGACAAACGGCTTCGCGTTCGTATGCGTTGCCATGTGCGTCTGGAGGTTGCCGCGCTGCGCAAAGACCTTGCTGCACTGCTCGCATCGGAATGGTTTCTCGCCTGTGTGGCGCCGCATGTGAGTCTATAAGCCCGATTAGTTACATTCGCCAATATGCAAACATGGCTTCTTCTTACCTTGAGGTTACCTGGCTGCGAGAAGGTGCGTCCGCAGCGAGGCCAGTTACATTGCTGGGATATGTTAGTGCCGCTTGGATACATCCTTACCAAGTCTCAACTTACATATGGCTTCTCGCCAGTGTGGGCGCGCCTGTGAGTGTCCAGGTGAGTGCTCTGGTAGAAGCTCTTGCCACAGCCCTCGACGTCGCAGATGTATCGCTTGGGCTTGGGGGCATCCGTAGATTCCGTTGCAATAGGTGCAGGTGCTTGAACGGGGGCAATAGACCCAGCCTCGGGCTAATCAGGTATTAGCGGATGCTAGTACTAGGCATTCCATCGAGACTTACCTCGAGAGACAACATGCGCTCCGGCTTGACAACCTGCTCGATCTCCGGAACACCTTTGACAATATCCTCTGAATCGTTTCTCTTCTGGATGGCCTTCATAAGGGTGTCGATGGCAGTGGTGAAGTTCACAGGATCAGCACTCGTAGGCTTGTTGTACTTGATTTCCTTGGTGTTGAGCGGGTGAGGTGTCTTGGGGTTGCTCATCTTCGTCTCACTACGACTGGAAGGACTCCGGTGCCGGTCGTTTTTGACCGATGGGCTTTCTTGCGGGTAAGAGCTAGCCCGGGGGATATCGTGCTCCGAAGCTGCCACGGGCATGACTGGCCGCTCTGGCTGGGGCGGAAGTCTGAAAGGCATGTTCATGTTGGTCGGAGACGAATCGTACTGCGTGTAGGCGAAGTGGTTTTGGGTTGGGCATTGGTGCCCCATGGCCGGCATTTGCGTCATATTGTACTGGGGGGCGACCATGTATTGAGGAGCCATGATGGCGCCGTTCATGGGAGCAGACGTTGCCGCCCTCGAATCGTACTGTACAAAGGTCGAGTTATCCATCATGCCATAGTCGTGGCCGGCTGGCTGTTGCTGCCAGCGGCCCCAGGCCTGGGGCGCAGCTGTTTGCTCCGGCAGTGCCATTGGGACGAAGCCAAGTTGATGCCGTGGCAGTGATGAAGAAGGTGTATGTGAATGATGGCGTTTGTAAGCAAAAGAAACAACGAAGCCAACAACGATGTGAATCGATTGGCTGCGACCTTGGGGAAAACGAGGCGTTTGCAGAGGAATTGAGCAGAACGAAGAAGTGACCAAAGTAGTGGACTATACCAAAGGGGAGATGAGGATTTATGATCTTTCTCGTCTGAAGGGGAAGAGAGAGGGGATAGAGATAGATGAAGGTAATATAGGTTTGGAGAGGTTCGAGACTGTATAAGACCAGAGAGGAGAGGGTAGATGTGCGACCAGGGTTGCGTTCTTGAGCCCAGTCGACTGAATTGGGTGACGGAGATCTGGGCAGGACTAAATATACCAAGTCCCTGCAAGGCCCAAAAGTGGGTTGATGAAAAGAAAGAAAAAAGAAGTCCAGAACCAGAACATGGAGAGATCAGTGGAAATCATGGACCCCCACCATGTCGAACAAGATGGCACATAGTGTAGAAAAAATAAAATAAAAAGCCGGGGTAGACTGGGCGGGTCAGAACCCGGTCGACCGCGGACGAGGGCAAGACCCAGCTTGCCAGGGTGGCCGGCGGACGGGAAGAGGGGAGGGGGGGAGGGGAGGGGGTGGGAGAAGGAGTGAGAAGAGGTGTTATACCCCTGCACCTCAGGTCAGAGGTTGTAGGACTGGGACAATGTCTCTTATTATCTGGCTACTATTATTCCCCTCCCATACATAGTGGAGGCGGCGGCGGCGGCGGCAACGAAGAGCAGCAGGTAGGTATTTGGGGAAAACTGCCAGTCAGAAGAGACGGAAGACCCCGAGAACAAGAACAAGGGGAAGGACAACTCGAACCTTGGAACACTGACGCCAAGTATATACAACAGATGTACAGAAGCCTCGAGAATGAAGATCGGACGCTCGTGTATAGACAGGTGAGACATCATGGAAGGATGACTTCTGCGCAAGGACAAGGAAGTTGGACATTGTCTGGTGGTGAGAAGAGTCTTTTGATCGGCATTTGCTCCGGGGGCAATGCAAATGGCGAGAGCATGAAACAAGCATATTGTAAAAATCTCAAATAAGGACTACCACTGGAGCTTAGATCGGTTGCCGTGGCCTCGATCTGTTGTTTCTTATTCTTGGAGGTGGACGCACAGGATGGTGGTCATCCCACCCAGGACGTATACACGATCCCGCCAAAATGGGGAATATATATGCTTGCTTTTCGTCAGAGACCAGGATCGCCGGGAAGGAGATGTTGCAGCCGGACGGCAAGGCGAGGTACGGGAGGGTGGTGGTGAACTTTTGGAAGAGGTGTCGAGACAATGTGAGATGAGATAGAGATAGCGACGGAGAGGGGCACAGATTGCGTAATAGGCCTGGTGATTACTTTCATGTTGATGCATCATTCATGTAGAGGACTGCAAGCCACACGGAAACAGGGTCCTCTTCGCCGTGTCGAGTACAATGTAAATGAAGCGTGCCGTATGATGAGAGGTAGGCTAGGTATCTCAGTGGGAGGTAGATGGCTAAAACTAGGTCATCAACACACGTAGATGACCATGACGATGGTAGTCCGGGGGAGATGAAAGGAGAGGGAGAGAGAGAGAGAGAGAGAGAGAGAGGTGGAGTACAAAGTCGGGTGAACAGACGTGGCCAGATACCGGTACCATGGGGGAGCAGTCTGTGGGCGACAGGTAATGAGCATCTGTCAAGAAACTAGTCGAGATTCGAAGAGAAAGAAAAAGCACGCTGGCTGGAGAGTTGTCCAAGGTAGCAGGATCAGACATCAGAGATGAGAGACATGTAAGACACAGTGAGACTGAGCCGAAGAGAAATGGCCCGGCACTCAGCAAGGGCGCCCTGTCCATTGGACTCTCAGTTTTCGTGCAGCAGGCGGGACTTGGATACAAGTAGTACGACAGGGAGAGCGTCCCAAGGGACGCTCCCAATTGGCACCGGGAAAGGACAGGGGGCGAGCTGAGGAGGGGGGAAGGGTTGTTGATGGACGATGAGATGGGTAGGGGATGTGCAGCAGCTTGGTGTTCGGCTGTCTGTGAAGTTGTAGTGTACACCTCACAGCCGAACACCACCCAGCTGTGCAGTACGTAGCCCAGAGCAGCAGCAGCAGCAGCAGCAGCAGCTCACTGCTGCCGTTGCCGCCCTGCCGCCGCCGCTGTGGTGGGGAACGCTTACCTATAATACGTACGAGTATGGGCACCTAGGTAGGTAGGAACAGTCAAGTAAGTAGGAATCCAGTACGTACTTTGCTTCCCCTGATGATGCCTTCCTCGCTGCACCTCTCTACTGTACGTACAGGTACTATGTAGAGACTAGGTACTCGAGGCCCTGGTCTGACGGGTACTTGTATGGCGACAGGGCTGCTAGTTGACACGCCCGACTACGTACCTACCAGCAGCGCTGAGGTACGTACATCTGATACCAAGTCAAGTACGTACCTAGGCGGACTCGGTAATAGGTATCCTTATTCCACGCCCCCCCCCCCCTACCCTTTTTACTTGTCCCATCATCCTTCGTCCATCCGACCTTGCGCGTACACCCCCACATACCTACTCTCCTGTCCCGAGCTCCCGTCAGGTCCCCTACCTTTGGCACTTCAAGTCACTCACTCAACTCCATTCAACCTTACTTGCCGGGACGTGCAGCTGCTGTTGGCGGCTTCCTCCATCAATCGATCCGGTGCATATCCTCACACCCCAAATTCTACTTGCCTTCCTCTCTACTTGAGATTGCAGCCTGAGGCCGAAGCTGCCGCCGCCGCCGGCATCTTGCAACCCACGCAACACGCAACAGTGACGGCCGGTTTCTGAGCTAGACATCTCACCATCGTCCGCATGCTTTCTCTCTCTTCCTCTCTGTCGGGCCCCTTAGCATCACCAGCTCTGGCGTATCTCCTGGGCCGTTATCGCCACTTCGTTTATTGGCCGGCTTCGTTCGAAACACTCGGTTCATGAATCAACCTGTCAGCGCTTACTACAGTCCTCTAAAGAAATCCCATCTTCGGAGCCCGCTTGCCTCTTGTCGCCTGGATTCCAAACCGGGCCTTAATGCAAACAACATGGCCTGGGTACCCTGGCCGGCCCTGGCCGGCCCAGCTCTTTCTTCCCAATGGAGAAGACGCTGTGTTTTCCGCTGTGGCTGGCAGCGCAACCCAGAGGCACAAATCTGATCGTCGCCATGGCCTTCGTTATCGGCATTGCATCAGCACTACATCCCCTGTCGTTTCTAACCGAAAGGCTCGGCGTTGGAGCCTACTGAGAGGAGCTTGGCTGGCATCCCGTCCCTCTGCCGCCTGTCGATGCGACTTGCATCATGGGAACCGAGACCGTCGACTCATTCCATTCGGGCCCTTTCTTAACTGCAACTGCTAATCGCCTCATATGGCGCCTCTCTCCTCTCGCCTAACGTCACAATCTTCATATCCGTACGAGCCTGTGCGGCTCTTCCCCACTTCACTTTGCTTATCAGCAGCCATGTCTGCCACTGTCCTCGTCACCCAGTGACAGCTCGCCATGATGCCTGATTTTTCGTCCGTTTCGAATGCTTCGTTGCAGCCTGCTTTGACAGACTCGGCGACCTGATTACCGGCTTGGCATCACTGCGAGGCTGATGAGCGTCAACAATGGTTTTTGTTGTTTCTGGTCCCCAGTTCCAAGAAAGTCACCATCAGTCATGATCGTGGCCCACACCCGAATTGCCATATCCAACGTCATCTTCGCTCCGGGCTCGCCCTCACAAGACGACCCCAGACGCCTCGGAGGACCAGCAGCAAGGCCGAGAAGCACAGACCCAAGAGGCGTTGAATGGACATCGTATAATCTGCGCCAATGAGCGCCCGAGACTCGCAGTCGGCTGTCCGCAGACGAGGCAATGGACAAAATTACGGAGTTTACCGGCCACAGCCGTACAAAAGATACCAAAGCCACGTACCCGTACAGAGCCTCCATGACGAAACGGCGGCCCCGGTCGAATGATTCCATATGCGAAAGACAATCCTTCTGTCTGCATCACAACCCTCCGACTTTGCTGTAAAGCAGGGGGTTGAAGACGGTGGAGGCAGCGGTTATGTTTTTTTTCGCAACCACGCACCGTAAGCGGAATCTAGGGGTGTGTGTGCGTATGCCGCTTCCCTGTGGTCCCCGGCAGCACCCTGCTCCTCCCCGCCTGGGCCGGCGATTTAGTTAGGTCACGCTGTGATCATGGATCCCAGCTCGGCATTGCTATAGCAGCCCATGTCGTTATCTGCCCAAAAGCCGCAACGCAGCGGCAAAAGGAGCCTTTTGCTTCACCCAATCATCCTTCTTGCTAGGCGACCCAATCACCCCAGACCTGCATCACGATAATTTGGCACACAGGCAGGAGTTACTGTCATGGTTTTCTTCCCCATGGCTCATGTGCCACCACGAACCTCGGGGTTGTTGAACTAGGCAAGTAGAGGCGAAGCCAGCAGTATCGCCACTGAACTCGCACCTCCTCAGTGCCGTATCAGTGTTCTCGATAACACCCCGAAGCACACTCTGCCTCATGTTTCGAGTACCGGCATCGTTTGAACCCCGGTGCCTTCTCAGCAGACGTCCAATACCTGGCGCCAGAGGCTGCCGTTCGCTGGGGGGGGGGGGGGAAGAAAGAAAAAATCTAAATCTGCAGAAAGCATTCCATCATGCATGCAAGAATCGAGGGGGGAATACCTAGATCCCTAGCCCCTTGGCCTGTCAATTTGTTCACCACGCAGCTCGAATCGCGATACGAGTGGAGCACCGCTAGCAACTCTAGACTCTCTTGTCAGTAATCCGATGCGACTTGATGCATAATGACAACCCACGTGTTGCCCAAGAATCTTACAATTCTGGTACTGTACCTGAGCTTATGCAGGCCGTGCAGAGGCATCGAGAATGGCATCGCCCAGAGTTGTTGTGCTGGTGCTCCGAATCAAGCAACAAGCCAACCACTTGAAGAGGCT